AATGTCCTTATTGATTTCCACAGGAAGAGGATTAAGCCCAGAAAATCAGGGCGGAATTGAGCCGGCACCACAAAGAATGGGATGGTTCTGTATGGCTCAAAACCCCCTCTGTTTGCAAATGTGTCACAGGGGGCTGCAGGCCGGGCAGCCACCTTGCCCAAGGCCACCAACTCTCTGAGTGGCCAGGCTGGTCCTGGTCTTGTCTGTTTCCTTACCTGGCTGAATGTGTGACTTCTGGGGCTTTCTCAAACTCTAATCTTGTGCAGAGAGGAGGAAAGGAATAGAGAGCATGAGGGAGATGCTATAGATGTCCGTAGAGTTCCTTGAGTCTTCTTCTGGTCTACTCATCCTCCCTGTGTACAGTGACAGCCCTGGATCTTCAGGGACCCAAAAGAGCTATTTTCAAGAACCAAGATTGCCATTGGATCACCTGTCCTAGTGGCCAGGAAGGGTCCTGCTAGTCCTGAAAGCCATTCAAGGGAATGAAGCCAATATAATAGGGTGTGTGTGTGTGTGTGTGTGTGTGTGTGTGTGTGTGTGGTGTGTATTCCACACAGGGCATAAAGAATGTAGGCTATTCAGTTGGAAAACCAACCCACCCAATTTCCTTTTTTAATTTAACAGCCCAACATGTCAGCACACAAGAGAGTTACATAATATTTATGGTGTGGCTATACCAATTACTTAAATCATTCCCTATTGATAGGAATTTAAAGTTGGTACCAATTTTTAAAATTTAGGACAATGTTGCAATCTGCATCTTAGCATACTCTTGCTTTTTAGAGTTCTTCTTGTTAGATACTGCATGAGTTTTGTATTGCTGCTGTAACAAATTACCACAAGTTAGTGGTGTAAAGAATACAAATTTAGTCTCTCACAGTTCTGAAGTATAAGGTCCTGAAACAGTCTCACTGCACTTCAAATCAAGGAACAGTAGGCCTATGTTCCTCTGGAAGCTCTATAGCAAGTCCATTTTCTTTAATTCCAGCTTTTTGAGGTTACCTGTATTTCTTGGGCAATAGCACTTCTCCAACTCCAAAAATGCATCACTCACAATGCCTGCTTTTGGGCATTCATCTCCTCTCTTCACCCTCTGACCCATCTTTCTTCCTTTTATTGAGAATCCTGTGCGACCCCTTGAGCCACCGTGATAATATAGGATTCACTTTGCTGTACTTCAGATCCTTAATCACATCTGCAAAGTCACCTTTACTATGTAAGGTAACATATTTCACAGATTCTGGGATTCAATGTGGTATCTTGCGAAGAGCCATATCAGTATACACAGCTTACCTTAAGAGAAATAGGCAGCTGATATATACATTTTAAATTTAAATCAAACATATTCCAAAATTTCTGTCAGTAGACACTCATAATAACACTGCTGGCACTGGTGCTTGGAGGGCAACTGGGCAACACTGATTATGGCTCAAAGTCCTCACCAGCTGCCTCCTGTCTTACCCTCAGAACAAGTTGGTTGATTTGCCTCTTGCTAATCTTTCACTAAAGTGTTTAGCCTAAAAAGAGGTTGGTTTTCCCCAGGAAACCAGCCTGGGAGCACTGGGGAATTTTGGCCCAAAAAGTTGAGTGGGAGGTTTGGCTCTCTAGCAGACCAGGCAGTTGGGAGGTTCCTGGTAGGTGTGGAGGTGAGTGAGGATGATCAGCCAAACACACAGCTGTTCAGCAATGAAATGTATCATCTACTGCCACACGTGAGTATCTGGTGAGAGTGGAGCAGGGGGACCGAGGACCTTGCCTTGCCAACTAGAGCGAAGAAGGGTCAGGCTCTAGAGCTAAGTCACCAGTAACCAGTCGAATGTTTGGAGAACAGGTGTCTGAAACAATAGGGACACCGTTTCTAAACTGAGACCACAAAAAGACATTTAGGTCAAGGCTGGCTCACTTAAGCTGATTCCCTCTGCCTCTGTCTTACCACAACCTTTAGGCTAGAATAAACCCCCACTCAAAAGCTCTTTTCTTATGCATTGACATAAAGGGATGCTGGTGACAGTGAGGATTGCAGGGATGAACAGCCAGGAACACTGGGGATTTCTAGCAATTAAACTAAAGAACCACCATCTGTCTGAACTCTGAACACTCATTGTATTTAATTTTTAAATCAGTTCTCTTTAAAGGTATGTTTAAAGTCATGTTCTGTAGCTCATGGTTGAACTAAGGAAAACATTGATATGTGTTTTAGGGAGTGTGTTGTGGCAGGAAAGGACTTGACTACAAACTATTGATTGTTATCAATGAAGGATGAGTTTTGGGAAAACCCTGACCCACCCCTCTGTGGCTATAGTAATTGGAAATTAGGAAGCCACAAAATTCAGTATGTTAAGGCTATAAATATCCCTTAAATACTTGCTTTTAGCTGCCATCTCACAAGTTTTAATGTGCTGATTTCATAATAAGCAGAGGAGAACCACTGTTCTAATTTCCATTCTGATACTTTTATGATTCATTGCTTAACTAAGAGTGTTCTGCTTCACCCAGTTTTTTGCAGGATGATTCACAATTGCCAAGTTTTGTATCAAAGCCCCGGGCACCCATCAAAAGTCCGTGAATGTATAAAGAAATGTGGTATATATACACACACCACAAATGGAGTATCACCTCAACCATCAAGAAAAAATGAAATTATGTCATTTGCAGAAAAACTGAATAGAAATAGAATCATAGTAAGAGAAATAAGCGGCAAAACTCAGAAAGGAGAAAATACCATCTGTTTTCTCTCTATGTGGAATCTAGACCTAAAAAACAAAAAAACATGCAACATAACAGGGAGACTAGCTTAAGGGAGGAATCAGCAGGGGGTGGAGGGAAAACTAGGGTATGCGGAAGAAATATATGAGCAATGTACTTTGCATATGCACATATGAAAAGGACAATATAATGAACTCATTTAAAAAATAGTAAGAAGGTTAAAAAGACTGGGTGATTAGGGAGAACAAGAAAAGAGTAATAGAGGGAGGATATTGATCAAAGTAACATTATATGTATGTATGTAAATATAATAATAAAACCCCACTTTGCACAATTATTACATGCTAATAAAATTTTTAAAAATAAACATTATACAAAAAAGTATGATGCTTAAGACACTGTAATCTCCTTTTTCATTAAGAAAAGTCCCAGGTCCCTGTTAGCAGACAGAATGTGCCGTGAGGAGAAAACTTATTTGCTAAAATAAAATCCAAGCCTTCCACCTTGCCACTTTTCCTTCCATGCTGGGTGAGCTCTTGCATTTCTATCACTGACTTACCCTAGGAGTCTCCGTCCTCTTACTTGAGGGATGCTTCCCTGGCCCCCATCTTCCTCTTTCGTTCAAGGGGCCACCTAGCAACTCTCTCCCACTTGCTCCTTAGGACTGTGCTAGTGGTCCTTTAAAGTTTGGAAGGTCATTAAAGAAACTGTCCCTGATTCTCCCTTAACACTAGCACAGCCACTGCCTCTCAAACAAATGGCTGCAGCCCTTAGAGAACAAACAGGGGAATAATTAACAACACTGAGAGCTCCACATGAAACTCACTCCCAGCGTCTGCCCTGTTCACATCGTATTGAGAGCCATCTGCCTGCCCCCACAGACTGGGGTTACTCCTCAGACCCTTCACCTGCGGAGAACAGACCCAGCTCCTTGAATATCTCTTCCTTTGTTCCACCCCATTCCTCTGGGAATCCAGTCCCCAATCAGTTCAGTCCCAACCAGTGAGACAGCTGCCAAGGCCTGCTCTGAGTGGAGCATGACCCCACGAAAAAGGTGGGGCAGAAGTCAGGCTGACCTCCAGAGCCCTAAAATAAGATCTCTCTTCATAGTCACAGATGTGCAGATAGCCAGGGCAGTGTGGGGCCTGAACAACATCGGTTCATGCCATTTGGACCCAGTAGCCCAAAAGGGTGCAGAAAGCAGGGAACCTGAATAGTGGAGTGTGGGCAGTAGTGCTGGCCTGGCTTTTGAGAAGGATACTCTGGTTTGGAGACAAAGTTCTGACAGGTTCTCAGGGACACTGGGCTGCCTACACACAGGGGTACATTTCTCATCAACAGATGATATTCTGCTAAACAGTCCATGGAGCACAGAGCCTGGAATCGGCTGAGTCACAAAACACACATGCAGGCCCCTCCCAATACCTCTGCTGTATCCTTGGAGAAAAGGCACATTGCAGAGCCAGAAGCTGCACTTGCAGGACACAATCTAGGACTCCTTAGAGGGGTGTGCTCTCTATCATCTGAGGTGCTGACCCCTTGCTGAGGATCTCAGTCCTCCCCCAACAACCTTACAGAGCCAGACCACCTGTCAGGAAGGCTGGCTTGGGGGTGGGAGAGAGGGTGGCATGTGAAGGCACAGGCCTAGCCTGCTCTTCTAAATACCTGAATATTGGAGTATCACTCCCAGGGAGAGAAGGGACTTGAAGACAACTCCTTCAGTCTGCTTAGCCTCACAGATCTCTATGGGAGGACCTGGGCCCTTAGGCTCAACTCCTTTGCTTTGGGGGAAATCCTTCTGGATAGCTCTTCTTAAGCCTGAAAGTTGAGATTAAAGCCCCCTTTCCTTTCATTGTGTCTATATTTCTCCTATGGTCAAAAGAGCCAAGAAAGAACCAGGCCACCTAGCCAAGCCATCCTAACCCCACGCTTGGACTGGTGTCTACTTTGGTTCTAGCTTCTCAGGGAAACTACTGCAGCCTTCACCATGGCTGGAGTCACAGGTGTACAGGAGCTGCTGCCCCTGGATCTGAAGCCCCTTTCTGACCTCAAGCCAGGGACACAGTTGAATTCCTAGAGCCCTGAGCGATGGCACTTTCCCATGTGTGGAGGAGGGGAGCATAGAAAGAGGGCCAGGATGGGCAAATGGGATCCATTCTGGTCCCTCTTGGGGTCTCTGCCTACCATTCAATGCTCAGCATGTACCAGCTGTCCGCCACCCTTAACCATCCCCACCCACCCTGGGCCAGCTGGAAGCAGAATGTCAGGGTAACAGGTGCCCAGCCATCCAAGCCTCAAGACCACTGGCAAGCACAGTCAGTGGGCTCCTGCACTGTGTAGGGTACCCAGGTGGCATTGGTAGCACAGAAGAGTTGCACAGAGCGCCTCTGCAGCCCCACCTCGCGACAGCACTTGCAGAAGCGGGCGTAGGTGTTGATGTTGTGGTTGTAGATGCTGGCAGAGGGGCACCTTCCATCGCAGGATACTAAGTTCACCTGGAGAAGGGCAGGCCAGTGAGGCAGCCTGGGGAGCAACCCACCCCCCAAATCCCTTCCATCCCCATTTTTGCCTGCCCCCTCCGCCATGTGGGCACCACGCACAGGTGTGTTGCTTCTGCATTCATTCTTGCGGATGGTCATGCGGATGGTCACCTTCTTGCAGGAGCGTCCGTCCTCCTTACCTGGGGGACAGGATGGGTGAGGCAGCTATGACCTAGGTGGTGGCCTCCCTAGGGCAACAGGATGGGCCAGCCTGAGGCAGTTAGTGTCATGCTGGAGGGTCCCTCTTCCAGGTTAGTGTCCATGCATTAGTGCCCCTTCCCATCAGGGGCAAAGCCTTTCAACCCAACACCTGGAAGGAGGTGGAGTCAGGGAAGGCAAAGGCTGCAGCATGAGCAAGTGAAACAGAGAGAGTTGCCTGGACTGGACTCTGTACTAGGTAAGAGGAAGATTTGGGTAAGAGGCAGGCTGCTTCTACACCCAAGCCTATCTGTAATACCAGTTGGCAGCCCTGGGTGTGTCTCCATCCCTCTGAGCATTTTCTTATTCTGTGAGGGCATCTAGCAGTAAAATCCTGCAATTACCTGGGTGGATGGAAACCTCATTCCCTAGCAGGATGCTTCACACAGTAGGTTTGATGGGTTTCCATATATCAAAGGGAGTCAGGGACTCATCCACCTCACAGAACCTTTACAGAGATGGAAACTTGTGGGTGTTGGGTTACTTTCGCCTGGACCATGCCTCTCACAGAAACCACTAACATGGTTAACTCCTGCCTTGCCTCCTTCAGCAATCTGCTCCAGTTTCTCCCCACCAAGGTCTTTCTTCATCCATTTTGTTGAAGGTGCTACTTGCCCCCTCCACCCAGTCCTTGACCTCTCCCTTGTCTTCTATCCAAGTCATAAGCACTGTCCTATCAGAGGCACATTTGTCATTGTGAAGTGTAAGCTTTAAGGGCCTTACTTTACACAGCCCCTCCACACTTCATTGTGAGTTCTTCTCATTCTAAAAAGATAGTGACTTTCACACCTCAATGCAGATTTATAATTGTTTGCTCATTTTCTTTATGAAGTCCCTCAACTTCAGGCTCCACAAAACTCAATGCCTCCATCCTATTATTATATTTCACTTGCTCTGTCTCCCACTAAAATGTCAGCTCCGTGAGGCTGTGTTTATGCTGTGCCCACTGTTCCTAGATCAGTTCCTAGCTCACAATTGGTGCTTAACAAATACTTGCAAGAAGCATGGACTCACTCTGTAAGCCCAAGGAGTCCACCAGAAACAGGGTGGAATCCTTTCTCTTGGACTCCAACTTCACCACAGAGAAGCAGGAGAGCCAAGGACTGTCATGGTCACAGAATTCTGGGGCCTTGGATTGAGACTGGCTGAGTTTCCAACAGGAGCAAAGCAGCTGGTGGCATTGGGCATTGGTGGACACCAGGTGAGTGGGAGCTGCTGAAGCTTTTCCATGCAAGCCCAGGGGACACAGCTCACTACCCAGCATGCACTGTGGGCCAAATGTCCTTTGCCAGAGGCAGAGAGCAGGGACCTCCCCCTCCCTTGCCCCCCCGGAGCTCAGGCCACCTAGCAGAAGGGACACTTGGAAATAGCAATGCGGCTGCCTGCCTCCAGTCCTGTTGGCTTCCAAGAGAAGTACCTGGGCTGCAGAGGACACTAACCCATGGAGGAGAGGCGGAGCTAATGGGGACCACGGGAAACAAGGTCCCCAGGGAACCTGGGGAGAGGGATATGGGTCTCAGGTCACACAGGACATTCAGGGAGCATAAGGTTGTGGTCAGGATCAGCTAAAGACGTCCTGAGCTTAGCTTCCTTATAGCAAGTGATGTAGAGATAAAAGGGGCCCAAATTCTACAGCTCTTTGGGGATAGGGTCTGAGCACTGAGCATCACAGAAGGAGGGCAGACATGCGGACAAAGGTCACAAGGCTGATTAGTCCATTAATGGCTGGGGTTCTGGTTGTTCAGGGTCTAAAGACAGATGCCACACTCTGACAATCAGGGACCTTGAAGGCCTGAATCCCACTCAGGAAGCCCCTCCAAGACCAAGGATCCTGACCACAAAGAAGAATTGATGTGGAGGACATCCAGATCAGAGTTCTTGTCAGGGACAAAAGGAGACAGAGAGACTGGTGAGCTATGAACTTCCTGACTGCAATGTCCATGTGACAGCAATGTTTAATGTCCCTTATCTCCAATGAGAAGCAGAGGCCTTGTATTGGGAAAGAGCTGATGACGTGTGTGACCTCTGGTCACCTGCATATTGGTGCTGGTGTATGAGCTTCTTATTGTGGGGGGGAGCTATCTTTTCATCTGCTCACTCCGAAGAACTGCCAGGAGCCTTGACCTGACACCCTGCTCCCCCAGCAACCCTCACCCCTGGGACTCCACCATGCTCACTCACATGTCTTGCAGCATCCTTCCAAGGAAGGTACCACAGAGCCTCCAACCTAGAGGGAGAGAATGGAGAGGTGGGTGGGGAACCTCTGTTCCAGGATAGGAGCCAATATTCCAGAAACAGGCAAAAGATTCTAAGAATCTCAACTCTGTTTCCCCTATCATGCCCCAGGGCAGGAGCTCCAGGCCCTGGCAGGCATAGGATAGCAGAGGGGCCAACCTGACTGGGACAGCTGGCATTGAGGCTACCTGCAGCCCAAGATGGGGATGAGCCTGGGCAAAGATAGTAGGATGCCCCTTCTTTCCTGTGGCAGCTCTTGTCACACTTCCCTACTACCTCTGTCCTGGGGAAAAGGAGGATTTGGGGACACCCCACCATTAATGCTTCCCTGCACAGAAGGTCAGGGAGAGAGAAGTGAAGAGCTGTTCCAATTGGGCCAGTGGCCCGGGTTCTATCTCAGCCCTGGATAAGTCATCTCTCACTCTTGGGCTTGGTTTCTACCCCTAATATCCTTCACAGCCCTACTTCTCTACCGTGAAATGGATAAATCAATGGATGGGACAATTCTTTGTAAGCGCGCGCGCGCGTGTGTGTGTGTGTGTGTGTGTGTGTGTGTGATTTTGTGAGCATGTATATGTACATATGTGATTTTGCAGGTGTGTGTGAGTGTACAATTGGGTATGAGTGTATTTTTTTTTCCTAGAGAAGAGTTGGAAATCTTTAAATGTCCAGTGATAACCTCAGGAATTTATTAATTCAACAATAACCCAGTGCCCTCCAGGAATCTTTTTCCCTGAATTGTGCCAATACTCTCAGCCCATACATCCATGACAGGGCTGGTCACCTACCAGCCCACAGCAGTACTGATCTGTGTACCTGCGTGGTGCATGTGCAAGACTGTGCCTATTTGAGGGCCTTGGGGACTGTCAGTGTGGGTGTCTACACTGGTATGCCTAGTGTGTTAATGTCCCTGTGGAGTGTGTAGGGTATGACTAGCCAACTGCCTGTGATGGTACCTGGATCACATGACAGTGTATGCTTGCATGCATTGGTGTGTGCAAATGTAGGGTGTCGAGTGGCCTGAGCAAAAACGTGCATAGAGAAATATGGATCTGGAGTGGCAGTGAAGGCACAGACTCCAGGGAAACCCTTGTCCCACACTACTGGGCAGAGGACTCTCACCCCACCCGCTGACCATTGTCAGTGAAACAGAGATGCCCCTGGCCTCAAGCCTGCTTCAGAGAGGAGGCACTGACCTTCACACACTCAGTCTCATTGAGAGGAGGGCAGCTGATGGGCGAGCGGACAAGCACGGCACCCAGGGGAGTGCTGCCACAGTGGTGACGGGCACAATCTGCAATCCAGGATGCTCCAGGCTGGAGGACACAGAGGGGTATGACTGGGGCTTGTGACCACCTGGGTGGCACAGCACAGAGGACAGGTGCAGCCCAGGACTTGGCACTGCCCAGGACCCTGTCTGCATCTAGCCCTTGCCTGGGAGTCAGAGAATGCTCTCTGGTCCTAGTGTCCTCTTCTGGGGTGCCTTGCCAGGTGGGCTTGGGGGCTACTTACCAAGAAGAGGGAGGTAGTGCCATTGGGGAAGGTGAAGAGGCAGGACACATTTCTGCAGGAACCACAGCAGGTTGCTAGGTCCTGTGGGTGTTTGTACTCCTGGTTCTGTAAGCCAGAGTGGAACATGAGATGTCAGCCTGGAGCAACCTCTGCCCTCTGACTCTCCAGTGCTCACCTCCAAGTGAGCCTAGAGCTCTACAGAGCACCCCCCCTCCCCCCGTGCATGCTCAGGAAAGGGACTTCCAGCTTCCTTCTATCCAGATAGGCAGGCAGATCATCTTCATCTCTCTCCTAAGCCCTGTTACTGCAGCCCTAGTGACAGGGTTTCTTCACCCCTCCCAAGGCAGCATTCTGGTAATCATGGTGCCAGTGTTGGTTCCCTAGGAACCCTAGACAAATGATGAGATCAACCTAAAGCTCATTTTTCTTGTCTGAAAAATGGGAACAATTCAAATGCCTTTTAGTCAAGTAATATTTATTTAGGCTTCACTAGAAACCAGTACGTCTTAGGCACGTAGGAACTCAACAAATGGTAACAATGCAAACACACTACCAAAAGCATAGGGAATGTGCCAGGCATTCAGTGGGTGCTTAATAAACATGTGGTCTGCCTGTTAAATAACTACTCTTGCCAGACCTTAAATTTGTTCCTTTGCTCTTTCTGCTCCCCTTCTGGCCTCTCCTTACCTAAACTCTTTCTAGTGGTCTCTGAAAGCTTTGTCTGTTGCCCACTGTCTACATTTGTCAATGGTAGGGGACAGCTTTAAGGGACCCCCATGATTTCTAGAACACCTAATGTCTGCCAGGACAACCGTCCTGATCTGCATGCTCCCCATTTTACATTGCCCCTACCGCCTCGCAGTGGACATCACATAGCACGGAAGTGGTGTTGATCTGGTAGAAGCTGGTGAGGGGGTCCAGCAGGTCTGTGCAGCGGGAGGTGTGGCACACACCGTCTGCTGAGAGCTCCACCACCGTCTGGCCAGGCTGCATTACCCCTAACTCGCGGCTCAGACACACAGGGGCCTTCACTGGGTGGGCAAGCAGGGCAGAACAATTTTTAAGAGCCCAGCTACCTACCCTGGCCACATCTGGCTGACCCACTCAAGCCTCACCCACCCTGGCACTCCCCACAAAAGGTTGTGGGGAAGTCCCTTCCCCACTCACCACACTCATACTTGGCGCAGCCACACACGTTCTCCACGCTGTGCATGAACTCCTCATCCAGTTGGGACTTCTCCCACTGGGTGAGGCAAAGGTTGTCAGCACCCAGAATAGGCACCCCAACCCACACTTAGGAGCAGTTTGCCACTGGGCCCCCCTCTGTCTTTTGCCTCCCTGCAGTGGACAGGAGGGGCAGGGAGACTTCGGGATGCTTGTCCTCCTGGAAACTCATTCACTGTACTTATTCCCATGCCTCCCCTCTGAGGAGTGTCCCCAAGCCTCCTCTTCCCTCACTGAGTGATGGCTGCACAGCTGCTGGCCCAGAGCCCTGCTTGGCTCACACCTACTTTACCAGTTTATTCACCAGTTGCAGGGAGAAGAAGAGGATGAGGTGGAGGATGAAATGAGAAGAAATGTGTGCTGGGATGGGAAAGGGAGGATATGTATCATCCAGAAAGTGACCTGAACATCACTTTGCATTTCTTAAAGTATTTTCACTTCCCTCATGGCTGTGCAATCTGGTGATTTAGGACATGGTCCCTGGAATCAGAATTCTTATTCCAATCCTGGCTCTGTGATTTAGTAGTAGCTTTATGATCTTAACTTCAGCTTCCTTATTTGCATAATTGAGATAATCACAGAATCAACCTTGTAGGGTTGTCCTGAAAATTATGATATCACATATAAAAGGCCCAGGAAAGTTCCAGGCGTATGGTGAGCTCTCAGTATACATAGGCTACCATCATCATCACCACCCTTGTGATTGTCACTATTCCCACCATCTATCATCACCACCATCGCTGGCATCATCAATATATTTGCTCCTCACCACAACTGAGGCGTGGCCATGCCCCCTTCACAAAGGAGGGCGTGGTGTCCAGAAAGCCAGTGACAGAGTTGGAACAAGAATGCTGACTTGTAACCCAGGGTTCTTTGCACTAGATTAAAGGAATAGTGTTGGGTGGGGAAGCACAAACAGAGAAAAAAAGAAAAGGTGGGCCAGACCAAGGTGAGTGGAGAGGGTCAGGGTCTCCATACCAGATGGCATTGGGGCACTGGGATTGCGTTGCAGTCACACTCTGTAAAACAGGAAGGGCCAGGACCCACCTCAGCAGGGATGCCCAGGAGAAAGTCCCCTGGGCTCTCAGATCCCTCACTGCACAGCTCAGAGGTAGGGGGACACAAAATATCAGTCTCTCTCCATTCTCATGTGGGATCCCTTGGTTGGACAGGTGGGCTGTGATGTGTCTGAATAACAAGCCCTCAATATATGGAGTGAGGATAAATAGGTAGATAGGTCACTCACATGTTTCCTTTTGTTACCTGGGATTCATCCTCCTCCTAGGGGTGGAGCCTCTCCAAGAATAAACATGGCTAGGATGGAGCTTCTAACCACCTGCTTTTCCCAAGTGTATGTTTCAGCCAGCTCAGCTTTGCTACTCCCAGCCTTTGCCACGAGCAGGTCTGAGCTGTGCCAAGTAGTCTGGTGGCTACCACTAACAAACCTAAGGGATACACCAGCTCTAGCTCAAGAACAGAGAGCTGCAGGTCAGAGTAGCTATGAAACTCTGAGGCACTCACGCAACAAGTAGTTTAAAGCACCCGTGGATACAGAGCTTTTTCTGTGTTCTAGGGACAAAGCAATGAATAAAGCAGACTAAAATCCTGCCTTCCTGCAGGCCTGGGAGAAGACAAGCAAAGTAGCCAGAAGCAAAATAGCTTCTCAACCCTTTTTTAAAAATAACATTCTTATATAAAGCTCATTGGTTCTCATTATTAATCATTGGTACTTCCACCTGACCCCCAAAAGGATGTGAGATTCTGGGAGTTGAACACAGGACATTGTGCATGCTAGCTAGCACTCTACACTTGAGCAGCACCACGAGCCCTTTTTTTTTCTTCACATTTTGTTTTTGAGACAGAGGTTCACTAACTTTGGCCCTGGCTAGCCTTCAACTTGCCATCCTCCTGCCTCCACCTCCTAAGAACCTGGGATTACAAGTGTGCACCACCACACCCAGCTTTAAAGTGACTTAACACAAATGATGTGTACTATTAGGCAGTTGTAATAAAGACATTAAAAATGTGAAACTATTTTGGAATAGACAATTTGAATTTTTTTCTTCTTTTATCCTGGAGAGAAAGCTGTGGGATGCTCAGCACTCAGGGTGATGTAGGAGGAGGATGGTCACTTGTAGAGACTTTGGGGGTCAGATCTCAGTAGAGCTGACAGTGTTGGAGTCCCCTTCTCTACCTGCTCCTCAGCAAGGACCCTGGATGTCCAACTTGGGGAGGTGCCCCTGATCTGGAACTTACCACAGGATTTGTAGGGGCAGCAGCGGTCCGGGCTCCACACCTCCACCAGGGCAGTGCCCATGCCACACTGCACTTGGGGACAGCGGAAGCTCTCACACACTGGGGGTGGGGAGCAGGAGACATATTAGCCACAGACACCTTGGAGCGTGATTCCTCAGGGTACAATACCCCCAGCTCCTCCATAGGTGTCTCCAATGACCTCAGACATCCTTGGGGCTGGAGTTCTAGGGAAGTCTGGGCTCCCAGTCTCCCATAGGGCTACTTCAGGAGATGCTGAGGCTGCCCCTGAAGGCAGAGACAGGTCCAGAGCCCTGCCCCCATGGTCCTCCTGTGCTTGACCAGGACTTACCACACTCATACAGAGGACAGCAGAGCTCAGTGGTATTCCTGTGCACAGTGAGTGCTTCTCCTTCCTGACACTCAGGGATGGGATCTGAACAATCTCCACAGGCTGTGGGGTGGAAGAGGAGCCATTGCTGTTGTAGAAGTCCCTCTTACGGGGGCTTGTATGGAGCAGGTGGCTGGGGCATGAGTGGGTCACCTCAACTACCCAGATGTGACAGGAGCTAAACTCAAAACAGCATCTCATGGTCTTATGTGATGCTCTGGAGTCAGAATCTGAACGTTCTCGCTATGTTTGCCCAATGACTAACACTGAGCTAGCACCAATTGCCTTGTGCTTAGTGACCTAGGGGTGAAGTGAGGTCTATTTCCTACACACCGAAGACCCCCAGTCTCTCCTCCCATCTGCCCACAGAAGCAAGAATGAGGAAGCGATTGCTGTCCAAGGGCACGTCTACCCACCGCAGAAGTAGGAAGTGCAACATGAGTCCCCCAGGCGGCCTGAGATTAAGACTTGGTCTTGGCGGCAGTTGGGGACCAGCTCTGCTTCACACAGATCAGGGTCACACTCTTGGAAAAGAACAGAATGTAGGCACTGAGAGCAGAACATGCCTGGTCACTTCGAGGACTATCCCTGGCTCTGCCCAATATCTAGCCAGGACCTAGACTCCAGTCCTGCCCAATCCCACATGAGCCCACTCAGGCCAACCTCACTCCCCCTGCCCCTGCCCTCTCACCACAGCTGTAGCTAGGGCAGCAGGAGTCCTCCTGGAAGTGGGTGAGGAGTCGGTAGCCTGGGCGGCAGGTTGGGGCAAGGCCCTCACACAGAGTCTGGTTACACACTGGTGGGTGTATGGGGCCAAGGGAGGACACAAGGCCTGTCACCAGGATGTCCCCTCAATACTCCAGCACTGCCTAATTCCTGGATACCTGGGATCCTTACAACCCCCCATCCCCTAGGGCTTTACTCATGGAAGGGGCCCAAGACTGAGACACAAGGACAACAAACGTTCATTGAGATGTTCCAGGTGCCAGTTGCTCTTCAAACTTGTGTTGACTTATGCAGTTCTCATGGCTGCCTCATGTGGGTACTACCTCATGTTATAGAACCATCTGAGGCCCAGCTCATGCTAAGTGATTGTCTGAGCTTACAAGGTGGTAGAGGAAGAACTGAGTACGATGTCTGGCTCCAGGGCCTATGCCTTTAGGCACTCTTTCACACACGCACTGACAGCTTGGGGTCCTACTCCTCAGGCCTGGTTCTCCACTCCTCTACCTCATGCCCCATAAGATGGTTTAGTTTTCTCAGGCTTTGTCCTATCCACTAAGGTCAATAGGCAGGGCTGGAGCTTTTTAAGTGTCTTACAGTCGAGGGACAGGGAAGTGAAGGGTGGGACTCACCACAGACAGACCCCAGGCAACAGGGGTCCTCAGTGGGCCGAAGCAAGAGAACCTCCCCAAAAGCGTGGGCAGCTCTCAGGCCGGGGGCCAGGGCAGTCCAGATCCACGGGAACGATGGTGTCTAGGGCTTGGCACTGATGCTGGCAGCAACCACTGAGAGAGCTGTTCCAAGTCTCCCCCAGGGCCCGCGGCACCCCCGTACTGTCAGTGCAGGCTGCAATTGATGTCAGAAGACTGAGGAAGTGGGGCAGACCCAGACTGTCCCAGGCTAGACCCTCCCTGGGACAACCTAGAGAAAACCTAGAAGGTCACAGAATGGGACTTCAGGAAGCAAAGGGGACCTTCGGGTGAGGCCAGCTTTGGAGGGCCCACCTGGGGCTGGGAGGAACCTACCACACTTGTCCTTCGGGATGCAGAGTGCAGAGTGGCGCCTGTGCAGGATGGTGCCTTCTGAGCACACGCAACCCTCACCCAGCACCTGGCACTGCTCTGGGTCCAGTGGACCTAGCAGCCCATCTTGGCATGTCTCGGGGGGTTCACAGGCTGCCACACACGCCTGGTAGGTGGAGTCACTGGAGCACAGGAAGGCTGCAGGGGCATAGCAGGCATCAGGCCTAACTTACACCTCACGTATGACTCCCCACTGAAGGCTGAAACAGCAGGAAAGGGCGAGGAGGGGGCTCAGAGCATCATCCTCACCTCAGCATTGCCTGCATAAATCAAGAGGCTTAGTGTCCACCCTCCTTCCTCTAAATCAGAAGTTAGCAAAGTACCGCCCACAGCCCAGATCCTGCCTATTGTCTGTTTTGCAAATAAAGTTTTATTAGAACATATTTGTGCCTGTTCTCAAGTATGTTGTCTGTGGCTGTTTTTGTACTACAAGGCTAGAGTTGAGTCCTGTGACAAAGATCATGTGGTTCCCTATCTGATCCTTTTAAGAGAAAAAGTTTGCCAACCTCAGGCTCTAGATCAGTGCTTCCCAACTTTCTTGACTATAAAAGGTGGCTTTTACAAAGTGGTCCAATACACACAGTGTATAGAATGGTGACCCTCAAGCTTGACTGCAGAAGATTCCCTTGGGAGCTGTGGAAATACCATGGTTGGGACCCCTATCCAGGACCAACTGGAATGCTATGGGACCCAAGCATTAATACTCTTTGAACTTCCCTGTATGACTAAAAATGGTAGTTGGGATTGAGAACTGCTGATATACAGAAACAAAAACTCTTTCATGAAATAATACTTAATCCTCCTATGCACAATACACACTGGTATTTTCTATTCTAGTCTATTGCATTTTTTCAAATGCTACTGCACACATATCCCTGTGTCAGATGTCACAGTGTTTGAAAAACACTACTTTGTATGCTTTTTGTCTTTTTATCTTTTCTCTGTGATATTATAGGTGTGCTCTTCCTGTGACTACCCTGAGCCATTCTGGACAAATTTCCATTTAGAAATCAAACTGCTATAGTCCAGGCCACCCTTGCCTATCCACCTACCTAGCAGGGTGATGAGGAAGAAGTGAATTTCATTTCCATCCTCGAGAAAGGAGGGAGAGACCCAAAGAAGAGAACAATGAGCAAAAACTGCGCAAACGGGGCTAGAGTGTGTCTCAAGTGGTAGAGCACCTGCCTAGCAAGCATGAGGCCCTGAGTTCAACCCCCAGTGCTGAAAAACAAAATTAAGCAAAGAGACTAATATTTACTGGCTGGTAATCATGTGACAGGCATGCGTACACACATTATTTCTATGGTCTTGATTAAATAATAAACTAAATAAATTTGTTTATTAATTATTAATTTACTAATATAGATTATAATAAAATAATTCATTATTCATACAAGGTATATTTAGTGTATCAAAAATTAAACATAAATATCAAATACCAACAGGGGACAGGAACCCACCCTTTGACCCCTACTCACGGCAGTAGTCGGAACGCCGCCACTCAATGCACACGTGGAACTTGTGGCACATTGCCACATACACAGTCAGTGCCACACAGGGCTGCTGCACATACTTGGTGTCCCGGATCCACAGCTCACAGAAGGACTCTGGGGGGACCTGGGCATACGCATCAGGCAGTGCTGCCCACGCTGGTGCCCCATATCCCAGGCCCCAGCTCCTCCCAGCCCTTCCCAGGGGAGCAATGAGGTTCTGCCTGTGGCTTCTGTCCCCCTCCCCAGCCCAGAAAGTCTCCCACCCTGGACCCAGTTGACACATACAAAGCGGTGGCAGTCACTGAAGGTGTGGTTGGACACCATACGAAGGCAGGGTGAGCAGTCAGCTGTGGCACAGCTGTCTGGGCGGAAGCGGGTCTGGCCTTCTGAGGTCAAGGAGCTTGGCACCTGCCAGCTGTCCAGGAAAGGAGCTGGGTCCTCAGCTCCACCCACCACAGAGCCATCCTTCAAGGTGAAGTCATTGGCTGCATCTCCATCACAGACACCTGAAAGGGCAGAGTTGTCCCAACATCCACAAAAATCACTGCCACTTCCAGGTCTTCCACTTTCACTTTGAGTACCCATCACAATTCTTTGGACTACTACTTTTCTCCACTTTAGATGAAGGAGATGAGGCACAGAAGAGCTAGGAATCACGCTGTGTGAGAAAGTGTCTTTGTCCTTAGGAAATACACACCAAAGGGCACAATGTCTTGAAGTGACTTCCAAATGGTTCAGGTATTCATATATACATATGTGTATATGTTATTATATGTGTGTGTAATATATGCATGTGATATGTATATTATATACTGCATATATATGAAGAGAGAGAGGAGAGGGAGAGAGAAAGAAAAAGAGAAAGAGGGAAAGAGAGAGAGAAGCAAATGGGACAAAATGTGAACAATCAGTAAATCTGGATAAAAGATAATGAGAGCCTCTTATGCTATTTTTTTCAATTTCTCAGTCTCACATATCAAAATAAAAAGCGATCCCAAAGAATGTACTTTAGCAGAGATTGCTAGCTAATTATAACACCTGTTTCTTCTTCTTGGAGTCAGTCATCCTGTCTTTTCCAATCTCCCTTACAATTGGCAATGGCCATGTGACTGAGTCCTAGCTAGCGGAGTGTGAGTGAAGGTGAGTGGCTCCCTTCCCAAATGTCTTCCCTCTATGGAGTTGGAAGCTTGTGCAGAAAATGGCAGAGCCACAGATGGAAGGAATCTGGGTCTCTGGATTACCACTAGTCACTTGGAAATTCACACACACAATAAATAAATTCTGGTGTATTAAGACAGTGAGATCAGGATGTGACCTTGGTCTCTCATACACCATGCCATATTCAGGGCTCCAGACACACACTTCCCAGCCTCGCATTTTGCTTTCTCTTCTCTCCTTACTTGAAATATGTTCTCAGACATCCTTCAAAGGGCACATCACACACACCCATCCGTGACCTTCCCAATTCTGTATAATAGAATTTTGCAGGTCTGTCTTTCACAAAAGATTTTAGCTGAGGGCCAATACTCATTTTTCCTGAGAGTCTCACTAATCTCAGCATTCACCTTGTTGCTTAGTGGAGTTCCCTAGATATTAAGCACTAGCTCAGATTAAACAAAAATATAAATGATATGACTTCTGTTCTGACATCTCCAATTACCAGGTCTATGAACATAAACCATAACTTGAGTTAAAACTCTCTGATTTTACTCAAGTTCCACTGATCACATTTTGGGTCTTGGTTTTGAGTCACTGAGAAAGGTCACAGAAGTATTGGAAGGATGATTTGACCTGCTGGGCTTCCGTTGACCACAGGGTTCTTTGCAAGAGATGAGCAGAGTAGAAGAGAGAAATGGTGAGAAAAGGCTGTTGCTGGGGGGTAGTGGCGGCAGTGGTGCTTGTGTGTGTATGTGTGAAAGGAAACATGTTTGTGTCAGTAAGACTGGAAGCTCCATAAAATAGGATTTTGTCATTTTACTCACTATTCTGTACCCAGTAACTGGTACATAGCAAGTATGTGTGGTGCAAAGGACAAGTATGGAGCTGCCTTGCACGTGTGAGTGCATGTGTAGAGGTCATTCTGAAAGCAAGGGCACGGATGGAAATGAGCAATGGTGCAGGTAGAAGATGGCAGGCATACGTGTGTGTGTGTGTGTGTAAGTGTTCCTGTGTCACCCATCATCACAACCATAGCAGTCTATCATGAAATACCCTTGCAAAGGTCAACAGCTTATACTTAGACTCCTTCCGTACCCCTTTTTCTTAGTCAAACACATCCAATTCCTTAGAACATGTCTTCTGTGGTCATGCTGTGGTCAGAAGAGCACAAGTTCTCTGTGTTGTGGCAACTCTGTCACATGTCATCAGGGAAGCACTTAACCTCTTTGCGCCTCTTGTCTTTGGTTTATTGGGGATACTAAGTGCCACCTCTCAGGGGTGTTGTGTGGATGACCTGGAGTAAGTGAGCTCACAAGTGTGGAGTGCTTTGTGAAAGCCAGGCACATGCAGACAGGAAGGATTATCTGGCATTAGGAGGCTTTCGGAAAGCTGACAGATAAACCTGCCGGAAGTGACAACTGCCTAAGGCCAGAGCCCTGTATTAGCTCCCTGCTATCTTTTTCAGCTCCAGAACACAAGACATCTGCCTCGCTTGCCTGGCAGCTCGGATAGTCACATCTCTGGCCTGGTACCCTCTCTTCCTGGTCCAGGGGAATCTATGTCTGGTGGCAGAAATGGATTTGAGAAGCACTCCCCTCCCTCAGCTGGGTCCCACCTCACCACACAGGCCATGGCCCTGGGTCTTGCTGGCTTTGCTGGTCTCCAAGATCATGAGTCCTGAGCTGTGGAACCACTGGATTTGGATACGTGAAGGCGTCCGGACCACATACATGTGGCCTGTATCCTCAATTCGGAACCCATACCTGCTCACGGGTGGCCACACAGCCTGTGAGTCCACAGTCACCTTGAGAGGAAGGGGGATTCAGTGTGAACACAAATTGTCCATCCATCCATCATCCTTTTGTTAATCCATCTGTCCATCCATCATCTGATGAATATTTACTAGGTACCTCCTATGTGCCACATGCATACAAGACACAGTCCAATATGGCATAGGATAATTCTGAAAATATTTTTATGAGCAAAAAATAAATACAACAGCAGGAGGCAGGCTGCATCTCATGCCTGCATAAACACAAATCCCGAGCCTTTCTAATCACTGTCTTCTTTCCTGATTCTGTTCATATCATTTCTGCTGGGAGATTTTCCCTAAATCCACAGACTCGAGGGTTTGATACTCCTCTGATGTCAGCTCACCTCTGTACTGACCATTAGACCAGAATTTAATTGTTCCCTACTCTAGGTTCCTAGTGACTATGAGTTTCTTAAAGGATAAGCTGTGTCTGAATCTTTGAATCCCCAGCACCTGCCTTTGGACTTGACATAAGTTGGGTGCTCAATCAATAGTTGTTAAATATTCAACACATCCTAATCCTCACAAACAGTTTAAATTCAAAGCTGCAACCTCTATTACATATGAACAAGGATAAATGTGGACGTAACATAAATTATTAGTTTTATGCTATAAAACTGAGAAAGGAAAAAGATTAAGATTATAAAATATTTATTATGACTTAACCTCCTTCCTTCAAGAAGAGATAATTTTATTCATCACTTTACAAATTATTCAGTACATGAACTACCGTGTTGGAGTAGAGGGAGTCCCAATCCAGAACTCTGTGATGTTGGGAAAGTCCCCGCTCTCTCATAGCCTGGGTCTTTCTATTTGTACTGACAGGGGGCTTGGACAGAGAGCTTGGACAGTTTCCAACTTCTCACCTGTGTTCACAGGCCTCTAAGTCCAGGTAAGAGCAAAGGACAAAAGCTTCAAAACTGAGTACTTGGACTTCCTCTTCTGACCAAGATGGAGGAATAGGGACTGGATTTACCTTCTTCTCTAAGCAACCAAAAAAAAAAAACCCTGACAAAATATATGAAATGACCAGTTTCTAGCATTGAACCATTGCCAGCACAGGAGAGTGATTCCTGAAGAGGTGGAAGCAGAGGAAATGAGTCTTATGACTGCCCGAGGTTATTGCTTGGAGGTTCCAGGCCACAGTGAAAGGAGGAAGGACCCAGGCATAACCTGGAAATTTTCTTGGGTTTTCAAGACTTTTAAGGTTCATAGAGGCCAAGATAGCCAGTTTTCAGAAAGAAGAGGTTGACTAGGGAAAGCATATGATCTGAAGCTTTGCAGAGAGCCTTGCTCTGACTCCATCTTGACTATGTTCTGAGTTTTCAGCTAAATATTGATAAGTATATGCAGATAAGAAAACTACCTGAGACCTCAGGAGAAAATCTGAGGTCCTTTCAGACCTCATCTGAAAGGAACAGATAGAAAAATTCTCACAGCTGACACAGGGTTGGGAATAGTGGGAGCTACCACCAGCTAGAGTAGAAACATGTCATATATAGAGAGTATGGGGTAAGGAATGCTTGTAAAGGAACAAAATCGTACTTAGAGTAAAGACTATTCTGGCTTTGCTTAACACAACTTAAAGACAACCTCAAAATGATCAAACTGCTTCTAGCAAGCCTAAGAATACTTTTACAAACAAAAAGAATATCCAGCATCCAAAGTGGATGGTAAAACTCACAGTGTATGGAATCCAATCAACTGTAAATCTTTCAAAGAAGCAAGAAAATATAACCCATAATTTAAAAAGAAAAGAAATAAAAAATGACCCAGAAGTGACATGGTTGATGGCATTAGTAGACAAGTACATCAAAAACAATTATAACTATATTCTACAGGTTCAAGAGAGAAAAACAGAAGTATGTTGAGGTGACGTCTAAAAGTTATCAGAAACCCAAATCAAATTTCTAATCATGAAAAATCCACTGAATGAGATTAACATATGTTTAGGGACCACAGATGAAAAATTAATTAGCTTAGAGCAGCAGAGGCCTAGTGTGGTGGCACACAACTGTAATTCCAGCAATTTGGGAGGCAGAGATAGAAGGATCATGGCTTGAGGCCAATTCAGGCAAAAGCTAATGAAACTGTATTTCAAAAGCAAGCCAGGTGTAGTATTCATGCCTATAATCTCAGTTACTTGGGAAGCAGAGATAGGTGGATCATGGTTTGAAGTCAGCCTGGGCAGTTAGTGGTTCAGACGATATCTGAAACACAAACTAAAAGCAAAAGGAGTGGGGACATGGCTCAAGTGGTAGAGTAATTGCCTAGCAAATGTAAGGCCCTGAGTTTAATTCAAAGTACCACCCCTCCCCCAGAAAAAAAAAGACAGAGCAATAGGTATTACCCAAAATGAAGCACAGGAAGAAAACAGGTTGAGAAAATGAACATAGTGATCTGTAGGACAGAAAAAGAGTATGAGTGATCTGTAGAACAACTTCAAGTGTTCTAATATACATGTAATTGGAGTCCCCAAAAGAGAAAGTGAACTCTTTATTGATATATGCTACAATGTGGATGAACCTCAAAAACTTGAGGCTAAGTGGAAGAAGCTGGATACAAAAGTCACATACTGTGTGACTCCATTTATGTGAAATAGCCAGAATAAGTAAATCCATAAGCGGAATGCAGATGGTAGGTGGTAGGGGTTGGAGGGAGAGGTTAACGAGGAGCAATTGCCTTATGGTATGAGATTTCCTTTTAGAGCAGTGAAATTTTTCAGAACTAGAAAGAGGTGCTGGTTACGGATATATAGATATATTATACACAAATGTGAACACTGATAAAAAGAAACCTGGAGAAGGTAATACAGACAAGTTGGACGAAGTGAAATTCAGAACAAAGGTTTTTTTTACCAGGTTAAAAAAAGTCATTTCTTAAGGATAAGAGGTTCATAAAAGGATCCCCATATGTCAAGAGGGCATAAAAATCCCAAATGTTACTCACCCAATAACAGAATTTCAAAATATGTGACCAAAACTGATAAAAATCCAAGTAGAAATAAACAAATCAACAATTATAACCAGTTAATTCAACATCCTCTTTCCATAACTAATGGAACAAGTAAAACAGAAGATGAGTGAGAGTTTAGAGACTTGGATAATGCTGTTCACAACTTAACCTCACCGACATCCATAGAACACTCCACCCAGCTTTAGAGTACAGATTTACTAAGATAGAGTATACTCTGGACATAAGTCTTGTTACATTTAAAAGGGTCCAAGCTGGAAAAATGGTATTTTCTGAACTCAATGGACTTAAATTAGAAATCAGTAAAAGAAAGGGTATCTGGATAATCACCAAATATTTGGAAATGAAATAGAATATTTATAAATAAATCACGAGTTAGATAAAAGTCAAAAGAGGTGTTTAAAAGTATTTAAACCACAAAGAGGGTGAATATGGTGGATGTACTTTGTATATGTGTATGAAATAGAACAATTAAACCTGTTGAAATTGTTCTAAGAAATGAGGGTAGGGAGGATGAGGGAGAATGATGGAGGAGGTGAATCTAATTAAGATATACTGTAAGCACATATGAAAATGTCACAATTAATCCCCCTGTACAACTAATATATGCTAATAAATAAAAATGTATTTTGTGTTTTTGGGGTTTTTTTTGGCGGCACTGGGGTTTGAACTCAGGACCTTACACTTGCTAGACAGGCACTCTTATCACTTGAGCCACTCCACCAGCCCCATAAAAATGTATTTTGAACTGATCAGAAATAAAGCACATCTTATCACACCTTGTGGAACACAGATAAGTCAGTATTTAGAGGATAAATTGTAATACTATATGCTTCTATTGCAAAAAGCAGAAAAGACCTCCAATCAATGAGTTAGGCTTCCACCTTAATAAGTAGAGTAAATTAACCCTAACAGAAGCAGAAGAAATAATATAATAAAGATATGAGCAGAAATCAATGAAATAAAAAACAACAAAGAAAATCTATAATCTATTTATTAGTGTCTCCTTGGAATTTTATCAGTGTTTTATTCCATTTGAGAAGAACAATAAACTTGATAAACCCCTAGCCAGATGGTCAAGGAAAAGAGGGAAGACACAAATTACCAATATCAATGTTGTTGGTCCCTCCTCCTGCCTCCTGACAACCACTGCCTTCTTTTTTTTTTTCACGTCCAAGAGCAAGGTTTAATGGCAGGCTCAAACTGCAACCACTGCCTTCTTTCCCTATGGTTTTGCCATTTCCAAAATATCATGTAAATTGAACCAAAGAGTCTATAGTGAGATTAGCCCATGTTTGCAGGGGATGAAACTATCCAACACCATGATTGTGATAATGGTTACATGACTGTAGGTGTTTGATAAAACGTACAGAATTGCCTAAAGTCAGGAATTACTTTCCACTTTTATTCAACATAGTCTTGGAATTCCTAGAGCAATAAGGAATTCAAATAGGAAAAGAAGTAGTCAAACTATCCCTGTTTGTAAATGACATGATCTTCTACCTAAAAGACCCAGAAAAATCTACAAAAAAACTCCTAGACATCATAAACACCTTCAGCAGAATACAAAATCAATTCACAAAAATCAATAGCCTTTCTATATACCAGCAATGGACAGAATAGAAAGACTACAGGAAAACAATTCCATTTAAAAATAGCCTCAAAAAAATAAGATACCTAGTAATAAACTTAACAAAGGAAGTGAAAGACCTCTACAATGAAAACTACCTCATTGAAGAAATAAATCAAAAAAGATGACAGAAAATGGAAAGATCCCTGATGCTCATGGACTGGCAGAATCAATATTGTGAAAATGGCTAGATCACCAAATGCAATCCCCATCAAAATCCCAATGACATTCATCACAGAGATTGAGAAATCAACCCCAAAGTTCATATGGAAGCACAAAAGACATTGAATAGCCAAGACAATGCTGAGCAAAAAGAATAATACTGGAGGATCACAATACCTGACTTCAAATTATACTACAGAGACATGGCAATAAAAACAGCATGGTACTGACACAAAAACAGATATGAAGACCAATGGACCAGAATAGAAGACCCAGATAAGAACACACATAGCTATGATTTTGACAAAGTGCCCAAAATATACGATAAAGACAGCCTTTTCAATAAATGTTGCTGGGAAAGCTGGATCTGCAGAAAACTAAAACTAGATCCATGTCTTTCACACTATATAAATATCAATTCAAAGTGGATTAAGGACCTTAACATAAGACTTGGAACTTTGAAGCCAGTGCAGGAAAGAGTAGGGAATATACTGGAACTTACAGACATAAGCAATAACTTCCTAAATAGAACTCCAATGCTTCAGCAACTAAGAGAAAGGACTGACAAATGGGACAACATGAAACTAAAAAGCTTATGCACAAAAATGGAATTGGTCACTAGACTGAAGAGGCAGCCCACAGACTAGGAGAAAATCTGTGCCAGCTATACATCTGACTATGGATTAATAACCAGAATATGTAGGGAGCTCAAAAAACTAAACTCTCCCCAAATCAATGACCCAATGAAGAAATGGACAAATGAACTGAACAGAGCTTTTTCAAAGGAAGAAGTCCAAATGGTCAAAAAACACATGAAGAAATACTCAATATCCCTGGCCATAAAGGAAATGCAAATCAAAACCATACTAAGATTCCACCTCACTGCTGTTTGAATCAAGAACACCACCACCAAGAAATGCTGGCGAGGATGTGGGGAAAAAGGAAAGCTTATACACTGCTGGTGGGAATGTAAGCTAGGACAACCACTTTGGAAAACAATATGGAGGCTTCTTAAAAAACTAAACTTAGATCTGCCATATGATCCAGCAATCCCACTCCTAGGGATATACCCGAAGGAATGCAACTCCTTAAGGCTATTCCAAAGGCACCTGCACACCTATGTTTATTGAAGCACTATTCATAATAGCCAAGCTATGGAAACAGCCAAGATGCCCCACTACCTATGAATGGATTAAGAAAATGTGGTATTTATAGGCAAAGGAATTTTACTCAGCCACAAAAAAAAAATGAAATTTTGTCATTCACAGGTAAATGGATGGCACTGGAGAACATCATCTTAAGTGAATTTAGCCAGGTTCAGAAAGCCAAAGACTACATGTTTTCCCTCATATGTGGAAAATAGGCCCAATACAAATAAAATCAATCATATATATATATATATACACACACACACACAAATATATACAGAATATGTAACCAAAAGTAGGACTGGTAGAGGAGACCAAAGGAGGAAGAAAAGAGGAAAAAATGATAGCAAATAATAATGAAATACATCACATCTGTGTAGAAACAAGACGTAATGAAACACACTGAAAACAACACAGGATCAGGGGAAAGGCAAGAAAGTGCAGTGGAGGGGGGTTGCATTGACTTAAGCACAATGCATGTACAAGTACAATACCAAGACAAAATTCCCACTGAACAACAAACAGACACCTAAACAACAAAGGATAAGAAAGAAAAACAGGTCATGCTAAGGGGAGAGCACTAACAGCAGGCGGAGAGTAAAAGAAGGAAGTAAAGAAAGTGAATATGGTTGATGTACTTTCTATATAAGAATGAATATAGAATATTTAAACCTGTTGAAATCACCATAAGAATGGGATTAACATAAAATGGAGAAAAATGGAGGGGATGAACCAATTCAGGATATAATACATATATATGTAGAAATGTCACAATGAACTCCCTGTATAGCTATCTTAAACAAAATGTCTTTTTTTCAAAAATGAAGGACAGGAAGGTAAAGCAGGTCTTGTCTGGGAGTTGATACCAGCAGGAGTGGGGAAGATATAAGGAGATGGTGAAGGAAGGTGAATATGGTGGGAATATTATGCACACATGTATAAAAATAGAAAAATGAGACCTGTTGAAACTATTCTAAGAAGGGAGGGAAGGGAGATAAAGGAGAACAATGGAGGGGGTGACTTTAACTAAGATAACACTGTAAGCACTTTGCAAATGTCACAATGTACCTCCAGTACAACAATAATATGATAATAGAAATAAAAAATAAACTTTCAGAATTGTATATTAAAGAGAATGAATTTATGTATGCAAGTTATGCCTTAATTTTTAAAAATGGAAAAAATAAAAAGCTAAGGCTAAAGCTTCCATCTCACGACAAAACCCCCATCCCAAGCTGTTTCTGAGATCTTTAGCGTAAAGAGCTTGTCTTCAGAGATCAAAGGCCGATTCCAACAGGAAGTACAGATCTTGGCTGAGGAATGGGGGAAAGCCATGACTTTGGGACTGTAGGAGGAGACCCTGTTGGGAGGAAACCCGCTGTAAGGGTGGACTATTGTTGAACACTCCAGCTTCCCTGGCTGAGGTAGCTTTAACTTCAAGCTCCTTACTTACACAATCCCATTCTTGGAAGGGGCCCTAGTAATGTATTTACATGTCATATGTTTTTATAAAAATTACAAAAGTGAGACATTTTAACTGAACGATTAAAGGCCATTGTCTCTTGCCATTCTGACTTTGTATCACAAAATCATTCCGGATATGATTCCTGTCAGGGGAGGAAGACCTCAGACATTAGGGTGATAACAAACATTCTAATTAAAGTAACTTCCAAATATACCTAATTTTGCATCCTGCCCTTCTATGACAGCTGCTCTACCCTGGAGACCACTTCTTGGATGCACTTACCTTCCTGTTGAAGCGGTCAATAGTAACGTGATAGACTAGGTGAGTCACATTCAGTGTCACCAAACAGAATGGGGGCCAGTTCAGGTGTCCCTGCAGAAAGAGGCTGGTATCACCAACCCACAGCCCTATCCTAAATTGCACTTTGAGTGCAATTATGAGTGCACTCAAAGGGTTGGGCAGATGGTGTGTAGAATCCTACAGAATACCTCTGATTCCGTCTGACCTCATGCAAGCCCAGCGGAAGGAAGGAAGGAAGGAAGGAAGGAGGAGGGAGGAAGGGAGGAAGGCAGGGAGGGAGGGAGGAAGGAAGGGAGGAAGTTGCTGCTTCCATCCATCTGGCTCACAGGGCCATCCTATCAGGCAATCCTCTGCATCTGGCACCCATGACCATAGGCCACAGCCTTGGAGTGGCCTCCCAGCAGCCCCATACTCCAGTGCCAACCCACAGGAGCCCTAAAAAGCTGGTGTAAGCTGGCTCTCTCTGCTCAACTCTTCCCCCATGGTCACCCAGGAGCTGTCACCTGGCCTGCAGTAGGGAGACCATAACCATTCCAGATGAGTCTTAGGAGACAAAGGGAGCTGTTGCTGTGGGGGCTTCCTCATCTGTCCTCATCTCTGGCACCTCTCAAAGCCCAGCTCACTGCCCAACCTGCCCTCTAAACCGAGTCCAATTCCCAGGTCCTGACAGGGAGGAAGGCAAGGGGCAGTTACCAGGTTGGCACTTTTGCAGTCAAGGACATGGACAGTGATCATTTCATTTGGGCTCTGGCTGAGGATGTAGATGGCCTCCTTGAACAGGGCTGCGTGGCTCCCATCAAAGGTTACAAAGCTCAGGTCAGGGAAGATTGAGCATCGGCCTGCGGGCAGGGGCAGGGTAAGAGAATAAGCAGGTATCTTCAAGGTCAAGTCCTCCTAGGAAGATAAGCAGGTGTCTGGGTTCTTTCCTGGATGACTCAGAGGCCCTGGGGGTTGGATGGTCCCCCAGATCAGGGATCTCACGGAAGTCAGGAGTCAAAAGGGTAGGAAATCTTCTAGGTCAGAGGTCACACTAGGATGAGAGGACCACGGGAAGGAAGACAGGGGAGCACACAGATCTGTGATAGAGATCTGGCTGGGTAGGGGTACAAGGAGGACATGGAGGCTCTGCTGATCCCACAACTCACAGGCACACTCCCAGACAGGACAGCAGCGATCCCCGCCCACTCGTACAGCAAGGCCCAGGACCCCACAGTGACGGGGTGCAGCGCCTTGAGGACAGTGCTGGGACTGGTTCACACGGATCAGCTGGCCTTCTAGGCAGATGTGGCGAATGCAGTTCTGCTCAGCGATGGGCTGGGGCACAGAGTAGAGGGACAGCATCAGAGCCTACCCCCCAGTACCCCCAAAACTTTTTTCATCCCCCAAGCCTGCTAGAATGCAGGTTCTACAGGGCAGAGCACCTTGAGGTTAAACTATGTGGGGATGGTGAACCTGCCAGGCCACCTGGGGCCTGAAGCTGCACTTACTGCAATATTGGGAACCATGGGAAAGATTCCCTGAGGTTTCAGGGAATCTTGTACAGAGAGGTCCAGGTACACAGGCCTGCAGACACATACTCACAGACACCCACATGTACATGCATGTGTGCACAAAGTTTCTCCCTCTCCATTTCACACAAAGATACATATAAAGAGTCTCACACCATGCATCACACACACAAGAACACACACAGATAGATTAGCATTCACTTTGTCTAACACATGAACACAGAAGTGTGCACACAGTCTTATTGCAGGTACTCAAAACACAAACATGCACCTACTTGTACACCCTCATTGTCATACCCAGGGTGTCACAGCAAGCCACCCAATCAGCCCCCAGAGCCCAGATGGGTAGGCTGAGACCCTGATGTGACTTCAGAAACCAGAGGAGGCTGGGAAATATCTTAGGCACCTGGAGCTTGGGGCAGAGGTGAAGACAGTAACTACATCTCCATCTTTTGGCCTGACAGCTGTAAAAAGACAAGGCTTCAGGAGGCCTGGGGATGTGAGTGTATGGTGGTATCCAGTCCAGTGGCACCAGGTGTGTGTGGGGGTGGGGAAGGCATGGAAGGAGAGTCCACAGAGAGGTGAGAAACCCGCACATCACTTACAACACAGGTAGCAGATGTGTTCGCCTCAGTGGTGATTGCCAAGGCTCCAGCTGACCCCTCTGCGATGCTCTGGGCTGGAGCTGAGCGCCCAGACTGCTCAGTGGTAGCCTCGCCCACTGGCTCTGCTGGGGGTTGGAGCCCTGCTGAGGTCCCATGGGCCTCTGCCAGCTGAGGCAGCAGAACCAGTGAGCTCTCGCGGGAGGCCGTCCTGGCTGAGACACGGCTCAGGGGGTAGGATGTGGGCACCAGTGGCACTGTGCGAGCTTGGGGGCCCTCAACCTCAGTCACCAAGGGGGCAACAGTGGGTGTAAGCTCTGTGGACTTACCCTGGGCAGAGCCATAGGTGGAGGTGGGCAGAGATACTTGCTTAGATAGGATGGCCATTTTCTGTGAAGTGCTCTTTCGTGGGGCAACAGATTCTGTGGGGACTGTCCCTGTAACCATGGTCACAACTCCAGAGGTTGACAGTGTGTCTCCCAAAAGCAGATCTGGAGTTGTGCCTGTTACCTGAGGGGCTGGGGAGCTGGAGAGTTGCACCTGGGCCACCATAGCTGGGGTGGGAGATACTGCTGTACCGAGTGTCTGAGCAGGTGGAGTTGTGGCCACTGCCAGAGATGTGGCCTGATGTTGAAGTAGAAAGGTGATGTCAGAGCCTTTGGAGCCGGGTGTGGCCACTGGGGCAGATGTGCCCACCTTGGCTAAGGGAAGGCTGGTGTCAGGAGGCAGGCCAGAGAGGAGCTGGGATGGCCGAGTTAACTCCAGAGACATTAAGGCTGTGGCTCCCAGCCCATGAGCAACTGTGGACAGGCTGGTAGCAGCCAGAGTTTGTGGGGACAGAGCTGGAGGCCCGGTGGCTGTGGTGGTATGTCGGGCTGGGCGAGGTAGAGCAGTGGAGACTGTACTTGGATGTGGGGACACTGGCAGACTCATAAGATGGCTGTGCTCAGGTTCACCCTGCTTTGTGGATGGCACCACCTCCATGCCCTGGGTGGCAAGGGGACTGAGAGGAGCCGGTTCTACAGTTGTGCTCACCATGACCAGGGGGCTACTGGGACTTGAAACATTCTGGGCCTGGGGTACCCCTGTCTTCTTCATGACCTTAGTTACTGCAGGTGTCTGAAAGGCCTTGTGAGATCCCGAGGCGGTAGGGGCCCTGAAGGTCACTCCAGGGGAATCCACAGGCCTGGAGGAGGGACTTGCTGGCAAGGAGGGCTGCAGGGATGTTGTCCTAACAGGCCAAGAGCTATGGCCTGAGACTGTCACAGCTTTGGTCATGAGTGGGAAGCGAGGACCAGGGGGTGACCAGGAAGAGACTGTGATGTTGGGGCTCTCTGGAAAGGTTACAGTCACCTTGATTGTCTCCCTGGCCACTGATACCATACCATGTGTGGGTGTCTGTAGTGAAAGAGGGTGGGATGAGGATTCTGGGAGATGGGAGGTGGTCAGGAAGCTGGAGGTCACTCCCTTGCTGGCAGGGGTCTCTGTGGGGTGGGCAGGAGGTTGGATGCAGTGAGTCCCAGTGGCTGCTGCAGGGCTGGCTGGGTGGGGCCTGGGGATAGCACTGGCCCCTCAGTGGCGGCCATCAGTGGGTTCAGGACAGAGATAAGCGGGGCTGTTGAGGAGAGGGCCGGCCTGTGGCTGGGGGCCCTGGGAGTTTCCTGTGGAAGCTGCAGCTGTTTGTCACTGGGGGTGGGCAGGACTTGACCAGGCTTCAGGGTCTCATTGTCAAGGGTCTCTGTGGGAACCCAAACCGCTGGCTCTATACCTGAGGCAGGCAAGATAGAGAGGAGATTAGGACAGGGTAACTGCTACCCCATGGGCACCATCACTGGGCAGGACTAAGGTGTAGGTTGAAGGACTGGCACGCTAAGTGACAGGGTAAGAGCAGTTTCCAGTGGCCAAGCAGCCAGGGACCTCTGTCTCCTGACATTGGATGACTTCAGGGAAGTTAACAGGTCTGTACTCTGACCTAGACCTCAAATCCTGATACCAGAGTCAGGAGACCTCAGGTCTAAGCCTAGCTGCCCCAACTATTCAGCATCAGACTCCAAGTCAGTTCTGTCACTACTCTGGTCCTCATCTTTCCCCTTGTGAAATGGGTGAGTGGACCGGATCAGGCCTCTGCCTGCTCTGAAGTGTTCTCCTTCCAGAGACCCTCTTCTGACTCTACTACTCCAGAACTTGGAACACACTGGGGACTTGGAGGAATCTAAGCCACTTACAGTCTTCCATATAGACACATCTCTGTGTGACTTCATCCAGGACCTTGGGGGCAGGGCACACAGGGACACAGCCTTCTACCCTAAGGACAGAATGGGGAATAGGTCAGTGGTCTAGAATAGGGGGTCAGTCACTCCTATTTTCTTTACCTGGCTACAACACAGGTCTCATTCCTCCTCAGAACACATGCATATGCATGTGCACGTGCTTATTATAAACCTCAGTACGGTCCCTGTCACACATGTGCACAGGAGCACCCATATCTACATCTGTGTGCTGCACACTCCTACACTACCCCACCTGACCAAGAGGGAGACACAGGTGAGCAAGGTATGGCTACGTACACACTTGTGCACATGCTCACACATCTCTACTTAGGTACATTCTCACAAAGTCTCACATATGTCCTGCAAGCCTGCAGAATGCCAAATGTTTACACACACATTTGTACATACACATTCACACAGACTCCCACAAGTGTCCGTGTATACATCCTCAAGCACACATAGCTTCACATAACATCTGCATGCATGAAGCTCACATGTGTGCATATGTAAAGCTATGTACAGCACATGTACAGTTGTACATGCAAACACACACAAGGCTCAGCTATATACACATCATGCACAAATAGACATACACAGATGCATATGTATTTTATTATATAGTGCACTCATATATAAAGGCACATTTACCCTGGTACACACATCCCCATACACACAACACATGAGCACTTAGACACTGATATACATCAGTACATACACATGCCTTAGTACATACTCATGTATGTGCTCAGACTACAGAAAAGCCCATGTATGTACACAAGCATGCACACATGCATGTTGAATACTCTGGTACACACACATTGATTCCATATCCACAGTTCCCTAGCCCTCACCTGGGCACATCCTGGCAGCTGGCTGCCCTTGGGTCTCGGCAGGTTTGGAAGCAGGGGCTGGCACAGGCCTCATAGTGCCACTCACAGATGGGGTAGGCGGCCCCTGGGGGTTTGGTATCTAGAAAGAAGACCCAATCCAGAATCTCTGGACTGAGTGAGACTGGGCACCAGCTCTGGGCCAGACACCACAGCACAGAAGTAATCCCAGCTCAGCCCATGCCCTTCTGTCCTGTGGAGCAGACAACTGGGTTCACACAGGAAAAGGGTAAAGAGCCATGCTAAGGGGACAGTATTCATAATGGCTGAGATCCTGGGGATCCTAGGATGGGTGCCATGAACTTGGTGTAGGGATGAGCCTGTAGGAGTCTGGCACAGGTACTTGGAGTCGGGTTTTGAGGGCTGGCTGAAGAGTAGGCTTGCAACCCTGATCTCTCCCTAAGGATGTCCAGTCACCTGCCCCTCTGGGACCTCGGTGTCAGGCTTTCCCCTGGCATAGTCACCTCCTCTTGCACTGTCTCTGGCAGGACCATTACAGAACTCCATGGGGGCAAGAGGCTTTCCCTTGAGGGGTGTGGTGAGGCATTGGGGACCTCTTCTCCTCCAAGCTTAAGGCACTCTTGGACATCTGGCCCTAACAGGTGAGGGAGGCACTCTCTTTGAGCAATATCTCTGTTCCCTGAACTAGGACCTGGTGCTGTCTGAGCACTGTCCTACCTCAGGTAGTTAGGCTAATGGTAATAAGACAATAAGGCCAGATCTTAAATAGCACTGAGTGCTACACCACACAGAGCACTATATCTGCTCCTGAATCCTCCTGGTCATCCTATGAAGCAGACACTCTTATTTTCCCAACACTATAGATGAGGAAATCAAGTCACAAATGAGGATAGGAAAATAAACTTCTTGAGATATTCTCTAAAGAGGCCCTGTGGCCATTGCTTTGATAAATGAGGGAAGGGTCTTAGCCTATGGGAGTGGGGACAGTGGAGGGAGACAAGACTTCAGACTATGTTGGCACATGTAACTGGTCTCTGACACCACAGCTGGAGCAGGGAGGTGTGGGCAGGCTCCACGGAGGGCAGAGGGAACAGTACCCCTCACCTCACCCCAGCAGCCCCTTCCAGGCACCCTGATCCTCATGCTGCTGCTGACTGAAGACATGTGCTTTTCCAAGAGCCTGGAGATGGGAACGCAGAACTGACATCGGGGAGCATTTACTGTGTGTCAGGCCCAGAGGGAAGGGAATGAGAACCATCAATCCTCACGGTATCCTTTTGAGACAAATAACCTTATTTTCTAGGTGAAGATACAGAGTTGGGGAGATGGAGGTTCCCTTCCAATGCTAAGGACCAGTGTCAGAATTTGAACCCGGGCTTCAAAGCCTGGGTTCATTCTACTCTGCCCAGTGTCTCTGAGAGAAGGGCAGTTCTTCCATCCTAGCTGATGATGGGTCTGTCCTGATCAGCATCACTAGGGACTCAGTACATGAGGGTTGAATGTAAGCATGGCCTCTCCAGGGTTGAATCAGAGATCAACACATTTTGGGGACAAACCCAGATGGCAACGGGTGGGCAAGCTTTGGCCTGAAGTGAAAAGATCAGGGATTTGTCCTGTCACTGCCTGGGTGCCCCATGGGAGAGATGGGACTGTTAACTTCTTAGCCTGGTGCTACAGTGGACAGTCTTTAAGCTCACAGGCAAATGTGAGCTCATGTGCCCCATCAGCAAGAAACCTGAGCTGTGGGCAACACAAGCAGCCACCAGATCTCCTCTCTCTTCACTTCCACAAAGGCTGTGTATTTTGAGACCATGTAGTTAGCCTACAGCACTAGGTAGGACCCAGGAAATTGGTTGAGCCCCAACCCACGCTGTTACTGCTCCCTAGCCTGCCAACATGGAGGACATGCCACCCCCTGTCCCAGGGATGACCCCCATATGGTCTCCTTGTGCCAGGAAAGTAACAGTTCTGTTTCTTGGGACCTGGTGGGGAGGGGGCAGGTAGAGAAGTTGAGTAAGGGCAGAGGGCTGAGGCTCAAGGGTGATGGCAGGGTAATCACCTACCTAGAAGACGGAAGAGTGTGCTCTGGCGGAACGCCTCCACATGCTCGTATAGCCCTAGGGCCAGCCTAAGGCCCGACACATAGAGGAAGGAGCCAGGCTTTGCCAGGGATTCCAGGGCCACCAGGCCTGCCCGCCAAGTCCCCTGGTGCAGTGAGAAGGAGGCATGGTGACGGAAGGCCTCACTCTCCTGCCACTTAGCCAGCTCCACTGACCCATTGGCTGTGACGTGGAGGAAGAAGTTGGGTCTGTCCGCTGCTTCCAGGGATACCACATCCGGGTCTGTACAGTGCCACATAAGTGAGGTCAGTGCAGAGAAAGGGTCGGCACATATGTGCTTTCGCTGACTGAGGACAACAGTTCCCTGTGGATCAACTGGACTGTGTTTCTTCATGACTGCCCCAGCTTCCTTAGCCCTCCCACTTCTGCCTGCTGACTACCCTCTGCTCACACTGTCTGTCTGATGGACGGTTACAGGAACCTCCAACTGCAGAGCCTCGAACTGTCTCCTGTCCTGCTCTCCCTCCCTCCTTCCCTTCTTCCCTTCTCCTTCCTCCCTCTGTAAACATTCCTGAGGACCTTCACCTTTCCCAGGTCTGTTACTACTCTAGATGCCCAGGATCCAGCAGTGAGTAAAGCAGACAGAAATGGAGTTAGAGTCTGTTGGACAAGCTGGGGTTTGGCCGTTTGCCAGGTTTCAGTGTCCCCGTGACATTTGTTGGTCCCCATTTCTTTCTGTCATCATCTTTCCTATCTCACAGGAACCAAGACAAGGAGCCCCTCTTGTGTAGACCCCTAGTTCCCAAGTGGGCTTTACTGTCCAGTGCCCTGGGCACCGTACAGGAGAAGGAACACAGGATGGGCAGAGGGAGAGCCTGGGCACTCTTAGGACTCAGGAGACACAGGCCTGAATATGACATGAAGCCTGGGAGGACGAGGGTCCTTTCCATGCCATATTCTCCAAGGCCAGGAAACTTGGGGATTCCACTTAGCATGTTCATAAAACTACTGGGAAGCCAGCACCCTCTCTGGACCACACCTTATTTGCTGGACTGCAATACTGAAAGAAGAGCAGAAAGTTCTCGCTAGGCAGAGGGCCAAACTCTGGAGGTTGGGAGACACCCTTTCTCAGGCAGAACCACAAGGATCTGGGGATCAGAAATGCCTAAGGAGGAAGCAATCTCATGGGGTCAGGAGCTTCTGCTCTTCCTCCCCTCACTCCCAGGCTCCTCTTGCAGCTATACAATTCTGCCCTGCACTTCCTACTATACCCTGGCTTCTACCACCACCAGCATCCCCCATATCCAGGGACCTTGGCTCACCTGGAGTGGTGGAGCAGGAATCAGGTGTCCCTTCTCTTCTTATGAGCCCTTCTGTAGCTCCTCAGTAACCAACTCCTGAGCCTAGCTCACAAGTCCCTATCTGACTTCTTCTCACCCCTCAGCGGGACCATCACTTATTTTAAGAAGCTTCCCCTGACTCCCCAAGACTGACTTAGGGGCTCCTGCCCAGTGTTCCCTCAAGTGGCCCCATGTGACTGAGACTACTGCTAAACAGGACTTTTACTCTTACATCGTTGATTCCCTTGCCCAGCTCTGTGTCTGGCATGGGGTTAGGGGTTAATGAAAGGAGGTAGAAAGGGAGACAGGGAGGAGGGAAGGAGGAAGAGGAGACAGAAGGGAGAACAGAGGAAGGAAAGAGGAACAGGAAGGTGGAGGAGGAAAAGAAGAAGGGGGAAAGGGAGGAGTTGCTGCTACTGTGCTAGAACACAGAGGTTACACATCTAGGCCTTGCTCTTCCTGGTATTTTTTTGGAAGATGGAAAATATTTCTTTCTTTCACGGAAACTAAGAAACTGAGCCAGAAGCCCAGTGTGAATTGGGAAAAGGGCACCTGATGGACCCTCAATTCCCCCTCTACAGTGGATGGCTCAAGGTTTCAGCACCCTCTCCTCCACCACCTGCCTCCCTCCCTCCTAAAAGGGCTAGACTGGGGCCAGGGTGGGCCTTACCGTGAGCCTTTGCCTTGTACAGAGCAGCGGTCAACAGGAAGCTCACAATGTCTCCCGGCTCTACATCCTTCGCCCTCACTAGGGCTATGTCATGACCTGCTGCTTTCATGGCCACCAGGGCGCCACTGGCTGCCATGCTGGACAGCTGATAGGGGCCCTTACCTAGTGCTAGAGAGAAGAGCTCAGTCAGAAAACTCACTCCCATCCTACCTGTCCCGCCCCATCAGACGTGGGGAAGAGGAAAGGGTAGCAGGGAGCAACTCTTAGAGAATTCTTATGCCTAGGCCAGGGACCTTGATATCTATGAGAAGGAAGAAAAAAGGACCCCAGACTGGCAGTGCCTGAAGGCAGTTGCCCTCTCTGCACACTGCCTGACTCATTCACAGAGAAACTTTGAAGAAGGCCAGAAGGCATCTGGGCCCCCAAGTGGGTCTCTACGTCTGTCTAGCTTCTGGAACATCACCAGTGTAGCCACTGGGAGAAGATATCACTCCTGGTCTCTGCCCACCAAGGGCCTGAGGGATGAATGCTGGGAGGCCCAGGCTCGATGTTAATGTTCATTTACTTATTTCGAGAATGAGGCACTTTTGTGTTTGGGGGATTCCTACAGGTTGGAGTGGTTGTTTCAGGCAATTGCAACAGCTGTAATTGAGCTTCCTGCTTCTGATGTGCCCCCACCCTCCTCTGCCTACTCCTCATAGCAGCCTGAGTCACCTTCCCTGTCACACTCCCTTCTGGGACTCACCAGTGGCTTCCCATTGCTCTTAGGATAGAATCCAGGGAGCCCAGCTTGAATTCAGGGGCCCTTCCACTCTGGGCCCCTGATTCTTTCCCAGTTCCTCAGCTCCCTGGCTCCTGCTACATCGAACTTCTCTTGCTCTTCCTTGAAAGTAACAAGCTCTGTCCTTATCTTCATAGCGTCTCTCCACCCCCACAGAATAGTCCTCCCCTTTTTGTGCCTGGCAAACACCTACTCAAATCTCTGGAGACCAGCTCAAATGTCACCTCCTTGGTAGAGCTCTCCCTGCCACACACAAACATCCTCCCTTCTCCTCTGTGCTCCACCAGCCCTTGGAACAGACACACACCAGTTATAGCTCTATGACACAAGTCCAAATTGGGGGTCCATGTCTGTGTCCCCCACTTGTCAACAGATAGGCAGTGCTCTACTGGTAACTGGTCAACCAGTTCTCAAAAAAAAAAAAAAAAAAACCAAAACCAGTGTGTAGTGTTTGCTGATTTCCATGGTGTAAAAACACCCAGCAGTGATCAATTTCAAACTGCCAACTAAATGCAAAGTTAGGAGCACACACGTGGTGCTGGGTAGGTTATGGCCCCCCACTCCAGGGTGACAGGTCCCATTTATCACTGACTTCCCAGCACCCCACAAGGCACAAGGCCCAGACCACTGAAAATGTTAGTAAAAGAACGGAGCAAGGAATGGATGAGTGGGTGGGAGGGTAGGTGGAGGATGCTAGATACAGCTTGTCCTTTGCCAGTTACTGCCACCCTAAATGCCACAGAAGGGAGAAAGCTGCTCAGAGCTGTCTCGCTGAAATGTCTTGCTTGATGTCAGACAGACCCTGCCTGTCCTAGGGAACTACAATTCTCCTACCACAGATTCATTCCTTTATGAGATGGAAGGCTTGGGCCATCAGGGACTAATGTTTTGGCAGGATTGTGTCCCTGAATTATCACTGATAGACCCTCGTTCACCCCTCATCTCCCAGACCCCTTTATTGGTGTCCTTGTCTTCAGTTTGTCTCCCTTCATTCCACCAGCCATGCTTTTGCCAGAGGAATTTTGCAAACTAACGTGATTATGCAGGTGAGGACAAAGCCTTTGGCTTATACTCATGTCAGCTGGCTCCTGTAGGGTGGTACCTGGAGGAGGGCAGGGGCTCAGAGGTCAAAGGTGAGCACCAAGGACTAGATGAGTATTTAACCCTACCAAGGCCTGACCTTGGCCCAACTGAAGGAAGTTCAGTACTAAAAACTACTCTGGGCAGCCCTCCTTCTACTGGCCACTAAACCACAGTGATTAAGCTGACTAAGTGACTCAAACACTATTCACTAACCTCCATGGGGTCCTTAGTTATGACCTGTGTTTTCACCTTCTAGGTGTTGGAGCATATCTTAGTAACTGTGACCTTGACTATATTTGAAGATGGATCTGACAGGCCATATGTTTTGCCCCAGCATTCCTTAGAAAGAGCAGTTTGCTTTTGTCAACTCAAATCTTCAGGGAACCCAAGACGACATTCTGTGGGCCTGATAAGCTAGATTAGGAAGGCTGAGGAGTTGGCACACTGGTACACACAAGTGGGTTTCTACCTCTGGTGAAGCTGTCCTGGTGAGCACAGTCCCTGGGAAGCTTGCTGTCCTGGGCCCCACAGAGGAGTTGCAGGGACTGCTGGGGACAGAGTCCCTGGGCATCCCTGGGTTCTGCACTGTCAGACCTTTCTACATAATGGAGTCCCTCCCAGCTCCACATCACAGTTGTTCCAGGGCCAGAAGCACCTCAGGATGCCCAGTGCTGACGTGGCATGAGGATAGGTCTGGCAGTGCCCTGGCCTCTGACGTTCCACTTGAGGATGATTGTCTTACCTTTGTTAAAGAAGTCACAGTCATATGCTGAAAGAGAGAAGACAAAACAGAGACTTGCTGTGAGCATGCCAAGAGCCTGGAACAGATGGACAGAGCCAGGGACCCTAGCATCCCAGTCTCCCTCCTTCCCCAAGGGCCAGGCCTGGCCTGCCTCCTAAATTCCAAGACTCAGGGATAGTCTTGGATTCAGATGTCTTACAGGGGAGGAAATACAGTGGTTTCTCTTGCACCACCAACACACAGTTCAAGGCCTTATGCTGAGAAGACACTCGAGAATGAATAAATGAGTGATTGTTGGACCAAAGGATTTGCTTGTGTAGCCCTAAAGGGCAGGATTAAAACCAATAGGTGGAAATGTTGTGGAGAAGAGGAAAGCAAACATTAGACAGAAGTTGGATGAAAGGAAACCAAGGTTCACTAGCATCCCGGGCTTGTCTAGGCCCCTCTGCAGTTAAATCAACAGAGGAGCTTCCACCAACCAGCCAGGCCTTGACAAGCTCCCAGTAGTGTGGGCCCAGCGCTCCCTCTTGTGGTCTATTCCAGCATCATACTCTTTCTCTTGGCACCTCTGCTATGAACTCCTCAGTCCACAAGGGTGAGCTGGGTACCTTGCAGGAACACCTAAAGCCAGGCGCAAGGCCATGAGGAGCCAGAAAGGTGGGTCTGAGATTAACGCTGAGAAGGGACCTGCTTCAGATTCAGGCACAGTCTTGAAGGAGCCACCAATTCTATTCCATGCCCCAAACCCATGGTCAATACATTTGGCCTTTTGTTCAGGCACTAGGAGTTAGGGATCAATCTGCTGTGTGGCTACAGGCAAATTCTTGCCTCAACTCGTTAATGAAAGCAGAAAATCGAACTAAAAAGTTAGAAGATGGTTTCAGGTGTGTATCTGGCCAATGGGAGAAGGCCCAGAAGAGTCACTAAAAGCCAGCTCTCTAGGGTTAGACCAGAGTTCAAATCCCATCTCTCTTATTCATCCATTGAGTATATGGGGGCACGTTACCTAACCTCTCCAAAATGTAGTGCCTCCCTAAGTGTGACCGCTACTAGCACCTGCCTAATTAAGATGAGAAACTTGTCAGAATCAAAATGGAGTCACTCGTGTCAAGCCCTGTTAGCAACAGCAAAATAATAAGTAAAGCGGGCGGGGGGTATGAAGGAAGGCTCTCACACATGTACACCTGGTTCAAGAACTATTCACAAAAGACTACCAATCACTGCCTGGCATAAAGAACACTTCTGCAGGGGCTTCTGTCTTATAACTGTCTTTCTAAACTTGGGCTGACATCACCCTTGCTACTGATCCTGAACACTCTCGGTTTTAATTTTCAGGGCCAAGGATTTTTGTTTTTAAAAAAAATCTTGTGTAATTCTCTTCATTTTGCCTTTAAAAGTTTCCTCTTACCTCAACTCCTTTGAACACACTCATAGTACTATTGCACACGTATTTCCAATACTCAGCTGTTACAAAATAAACCTATCAATCTCTGGATAATTTTTCTCTCAGTGTCATTTATGTTGACAAGATAAATACTAATTTAATGCAATGTTTCTTGCATACCAAAATTAATGCAAAAAATGATAAACAAAATATTGAAATTTTAAAATAAAGATTAGAGTAGTAACAGCAGCTCACTGAGCTGTAGTGGAGCCTGAGACAAAAGGCAAAATCAATAATACTGATCCTTTGACATTTTGTTTACTAAGCATATTTTTGCAGCAATTTTTATTTATTTTTTTTAAAAAACATTGCATCAAGGCAGGCAGGGTAGTTCACACCTATAATCCCAGCATTTGGGATTACCAAACCTCTCCAGAACTTAATGCCCCTCTCTAAGTGAGACCACTAGTAGCATCTACCTAATTAAGATGAGAAAGTTGTCAGAATCAAAATGGAGTTGTTTATGTCAAGCCCTAATAGGCAGAGGCAGGAGGATCATGAGTTTGAGGCCAGCCTGCTGTACATGGCGAGACTTTGTCTCAAAAACCAAGGGCTCCTTGTGTAAGTGGCTCCAGAGCTGTCAACACAACAAGGATCTTGCAACCTCCATCCTGCCCTACAATGCTGTGAGCATTGCTCATTTCACCTTCTTCCCTGACAAAGTTCCTATTGGTTTTTAAAAACAAAAACAAAGGCTGAGGATGTAGCTCAGCTGTAGAGTGCTGGCCTAGCATGCACAAGGCCCTGGGTTCCATCCTCGGCACCCCCAAAATACATATGCATATTGCATTGAGATGTTCTTTCACTTGACCCTTGAGTTTTCTGGTGCCCCCCCTAAGTCTCACGCTCCAGGTGAGTGCCTCCCTCACCTCGTCCTAAATGTGGTAATACACATATGGCACAAAGCCTAGCTCATAGTAGATCCTCTGTAAACCTGTGCATCCCTCTCCTCCCTCCCTGACGGACTGTTATTAGAGAGTAGGGGGAGAGGGTGAGAAGCACAGAAAGAAGGGGAGAAGTAGAGGGAGAGAGACTGGGTGAGAACCCAGAGCATTTGTGCTGAAAGGTCTCAAGGGCAGACAAAATGGAGCCATCTTCTTCCTGGGGTCCTCCCGCCTGGATTTCCCAGGGCTCGGGAAGAAAATGGCAACCCCACATTAGCATAGTGTACCGAGCACTTAACATGCTTTGTCTCGTTTAGCTCTAATCACCTGCCAGGTGGGTGGTTAGGGTCACTTCTAATACAGGTAAGAAACTCAGAGTGTGAGGAAGGTGCCTGGGCTACCAAGCTTAGGGGAGCTAGAATCTGAACCTGGATAGTCAGCCTCAGAGCCTGTGCCTGCAACAGGCAAGTCCATTGTATGCAGGAATAAGTAATAATCAGTTAATGAATAATTAAACTTTGTATTTTATTGATCTTTTCTATATTAATTTTGTATGTTAAATATTAGTAATATTTACTATTATGTAATTCTGTTTTGTTATATACATTTATGCTATCAACAGAATATATGAATATATAATTTATGCATACATATGTATGTGTGTGCTCAAAATATTTTTATTGGATAGAAGTGTTCAACCAATAGCGTTTGCAGACCACCATTATTCTGAATAAGCAGATGCTGGTGCCTCCGATGTGCGCCTCCAACTGACAAAGTGCTTTTACACTCATTAACCCATTTGATCCTCACAATAATCCTGATGATTATCCCATTTTCAGATGAGAAAAATTGAGCCCCAGACCGGCTAGGTGGCTTGTTTGAGGTCACACAGCATGCAAATGACAGCTCTAGGCCTAGAGCCCAGGCTCTGGACTCCTCTAGCAAAGGTTTGCATGACTCTCTGGGGATGAACCTCTTCCCGCCACCACACACACAACTAACCTGTGTAACCTTGAGCAGGTTATTTTACCTCTGACTCTAGGCTGCAGATTCTTCCACTGTAACTTAGGAATATGAAGTCCTATTTCAAAGGGAAATTGTAGGACTGCATATTCTATGTTACCACTGGAGAGCTTGCCTAGCCTCTGTGAGGCCTTGGATTCAATCCCAAACACTGAATGATACTACTAATAATAATACACATGAGTACTTGTGTTCCTGATGATAGTGAGTACTTAGTAAATGCTAAGGCGGATGGCAGGCACCCCATTCTGCTCCCTCAGATGATGGGTCTGGTTGGGAATACTCACGGCAGAGGCGAGGGGTCCTCCAGTCAATGGCCACCCCATGCTGGCAGCACTGGTGTGCATAGGCAGACACACTGGCACAGAAGCACTCACAGTCACCACCCCGGCTGCACCCACATGTGTCTGTCAGGCAGTTTGAGTAAAACCAAGTGACATCGACCTAAGGGAGGACAGAAGTCAGAGGTCAGAGGACAGATCCAGAAGGTCAGAACCTGCAGCTTTTCAACTGATAACCACCAGCACAAATGTGAAGGGGCCATGGAATAGGGTGAGTGGCCATGATGGTTGAAGCATCAGGGCAGGAAGGCAGCCAGCTGGGAAGGAAACAAGAACCTTGAGGCACAGGCAGACACCTAACTTTTGAAACCTAAGCGCTCTCCTCCCCTGAGCCCAGGCTGTTGGACTCAAGGGCTAGGGGAGTAGCTAAAGAACAGGTGGAGAGTCTGAAACACTCCAGGCCAGTATGAGAGCCTTCTTCAGGGACTGGGAGCTGGCCTTTGTGCTGAGCCCCATGGAGGGCTGGGAAGGCAAGAGGCATGAGAGAACATGCCCACTCTGCCGCAAAGCTTCTTGATAAGGAGGAAGAGTCAGACAGACATGGGCTTGCAGAGGGCACAGAAACTGCCATTTGTCTGTCTCTGGTCGTCTGCGGACACAGCGTGGATTCATCTGGGCAGGTGAGTGGCAGAGATGGGTCCCTCTCTTCTAGACCTGTGGTATCTCTTCCAAGGCACAGAGAAGCCTGGGAGCAGAGGGGTCCTGGGAAAGTGGAGGGGTTCAGGAGGGGGCCAAGGCAGGTCCACTCACCACAGGGTGGCAGGTCTCAAACACCGCGCTGAGCAGGATGCTACACTCCTTCCTGGCAAAGGGCTCTCGGAGAGGATTCAGGACACATGTGTCCTGGGAGTCCAGGGTTTCTGGGCACTGAGGGGCAAAAAGTTGGGGGTGGATCTCCCAACCCCAAATGCCTGTTGCTATTAAGGCAGAGAGACCCTTAGGATGGCTTCCTGGTATTCATGTCCCTTGGGGAATGAGTGGAAGGTGTATGGCTTGCTTCAAATCAAAAGAACCCTGCAAAGGTGAAGGGATGCACGTTGGTGATGACATGTTGTGTTAAGTAAGGTCACAGAACCCTTCCTGCTGGAGTCTCTGCCTTGCTGGCTGTGAGGGAGCAAACAGCCATGTTGGGAACCCCATGGGAGCTGAGGGTGGTCTCTGGGCAACAGCTACACGAAAAGCTGAACCTCTCAGTCCTGCGTCTGCCAGGAGCAGAATGCCGCCCACAAGCCCACAAGCAGGCAGGAAGCAGATCTTTCTCCAGGGGAGCATCCAGGTGAGAGTCTAGCTCTGGCTGTCACCTTGGTTGCTGCCTGTGAGACACATGCCCTGATTCCCAACCTAGAGAAACTGAGTCATGTGTTGTTCAGTGCTGCTGAGTCTAATATTGTTATACACAATTAATTAATTAACAATACAGATTTCCCTGTTTCGGCTGAACCTCCTTCCTCAGGACTACATTTTCACGAGAGCCCTCAGAGCACACCTAAGGATACAAGCTATGCAGAAATACAGGGTGATATGTGTGGGGGGCGGGGGTGGTCAACAATAAAGGTTAGTGTCCCATCTGGTTTTTCTAAAATGGGGGTGGGTTGGGCCACATTTTTCTTTTTTCTTTTGTTAGGGAACATTTTTCTGAAGCTATGAGAACAGCCTTGCCCTACCTCAAGATCACAATGAGTTCCAGGATACGCCCAACTGCTTGATCTATCCCCTCACACCAGCTCATCTCCACCTACTACCCAAGCCTCCAGCAAGAGTTAAAATCACTCAGTCCAGAAAAGGCAAATATTAACAGTCAATCAACACTCCACTGCTGCACCCCAGACGGACATAAATAATCAACCACGGTCCTCCTTCCAGCTGAACCTGACCCAAGTCTTAACTATTTCTCAGTGTTGCTTTCCTGCCAGCCTCTTTTGATTGACCAGGGTTGTCACACAAAGTAAAATCTATTTACCATCCTTTTCCTGGCACAGAGGACGACATAGAATATGGAACTTACTTAAGGTCACCCAGCAAGTCAGTGGATGATCCAAGATAAAAAAAGCAGGGTTCCTGCTCACAATTCAGTGCTTACAGCCTGGTAGCCTCAGTCAGGCATCCCCCAAGCCTCCCATTCCTGACTCTGGCAATGTTGTCCTCCCTCTCAGAGGCCTTCTCATCTATCCAAATATGGCTGGTCAGTTAACCACCGGCTCCAGTCCCTCTCCTTCATGAAGCTTTCTCTGCAGATTGCCTCAGCACACATCACTATCTCCTCAGTGCCAGAGCTAGTGCCAGGCACTGAGGGGCAACAGGGATGGATAAGATAGTCATGCTTCAGTGAGCCTCGCCTTCCCCACTAGGTGGCCATCTCTCCTAGGTCAGAGACTTTGCCTTCTTCCAAACCCCTCCAACCCCTCTTCAGGCTTGGCCAGGGACAGGGTGGGCAGCTGGCCTTGTGAGATTGAATGATATGTGTCCTCAGGCTGTAAAATGCCCATCAGGAGCTGAGAGCCTTCCCAGGAGCAGCCTCACACTGATGTCCCTCCTCCCTGACCTGGGGCCAGGTCCAGTGTAGCCAGTGCCTGCCTGAGCGAGTGAGGGACACCAGTCATCCTGAGATACTTTATTACCTGCACTGCAGCCCAACTGTTCCCAAACTCCTGGGGGTTAGTTAACTCTAGGTTCTCCGGGGTCCTCATCTCATTGATGGTTTTTAAGTCGAAGTTCCCACAGAGGCCTGCCACCTGGCCCTGAAAGGAGAGAGGACAGCAGGTCTAGGTGCAGGCATCCCAGGTGTAAGCCATGGGCAGAGGGGTCACCATGAGTCCTGGGGTCTACCATGAATGCAGAAGCAACTACTGAGGCAATGTTAGAGAAGGGACCCAGACCCGAGGGGCAGATAGGACCAAGAATACTCTTCTTGTCTCCTCAGGGAGGGATATCTCAGCCAAGGACACCCAGAAGCTTGGCTCAGTCCTGGCAAAGCAGAGGCAAAAATGCTCTGCTCACGTGATTACCTGCCACTGAGGCCCCACTCGGATGTGCACTGTAGTTCTTTGGTCCCACAGTACAGTGATGTGCTCCCGTGGGAAATGCACAAGCGTGAAGAACCCTGCTCTCCAGGTGTGAACCTCCTGCTTCTTGTCCAGGAAGCTCTCAGGACTCTAGAGGGATAGAAGTGATCAGTCCTGAGGCTTTCTGAATGTCTTTCAGTACCCACATCATCTGGGCCTGCCCAACCCCAGGACCTCACCAACCATCTGCCTCCCTCGTGTCCTGACATTGACTTCTGTTCCTAACCCTGGGCAAGGAATTCAGCCTGAGCTCCAGGCCTTAGCCATCTCCTGCCTGAGTCCCCTCACCCACCCTCTGTATATTGTCTATAACAACCTATACATTGTCTACACAACCTTCACCAGCACCAGGCCTTACAGGATTCCCAGAGTCATCATCAAAGATGATGAATGAGTTCCCGACGTTAATGGAAATAAATTTCCTGCAGATGATGCCAGAGCTGTAGCAGTTCACATTCTCTATAATCACAGAGAAGCTGAAATCTGATGTGCTCTGAGAAGAAAAGAGGATCCATTAAAACAGGGAGAGAAGAGGTCTTGCTGAGAGTAGAGGGACATGGACTTTGAAGTGGTTTCAACTCACTTCTTGTTATTTATATGAATTTGTTCTCTGAAGCTCAGTTTTGTTTTGGGGCATGCCTACGGTGGTGTTTAGCACATAGCGACTCTGCTGAGAAGATCATAATTAGTCAATGAAAAAAATGAATTGATAAGGTAGGGATGACTGGTGTTGACAGAGGTGTAGGGAAGGGGGAGCTTCTTCCATACACTCTTGGTGTGAGACCATTTTTTTTTTGGAAGGCAGTTTTCCAGCATTGAATAATATTTTAAAAGTACCTAAGTTTTTATACAGCAATTCTATTCCTAAGAATCTAGAGATCGGTCCACACAAGTATTTGTTGCAGCATTTAACTATTGAAACAATCTAAATGTCCATCAATGGGGAATAATAAAACTAACTAGAGTACTTTCTTCCTGTCGAAGGTACAGTTTCAAAAGAAGTATGCACTGACAATATGTGATAATGCCCAAGGCATACTCATAAATGGAAAAAGCACATTGCAGAATCCTATTCACTTAAACTAACTGTGTGTGCCTGTGTAGATGTGCAAGCATAAGTATGTGTGTGCTGGTGTGTCTCATAGAAAATGATCCTGCAGGATTAACCTGTGACTGTTAGGAGTAGCGGAACAGAAGAAATGTGAAGAGGAGTGTTTTTTTTTAAAGAACATATTTTCCTACATAGTCTTAGAGTATGCAACACTTTTGGAACTTAAAACATAAAATAGGGCCACAGTGGCACACACTTATTGTCCCAGCTACTCGGAAGGCTGGAACACTTGGAAGGTGGGAGGATCACTTGAGCCCAGGAGTTCAAGTCTAGTCTGGGCAATATGGCAAGATCATGTCTCAAAAATAAATAAGGAAATAACAAATAAAATAGGATAAGGTCTTAATTGCCCCATCTTCTCTTTTGTAGGGCTCCTGCCTTCACTGTGCCACCCGTTTCACCATTCCTCTTCCTCTGGGTGAACCAAAGACTTTTTAACATGTGACTCCTGTAGCATACCAACTCTCCAGTCATATTTCTTGTTAAATATAACCCCAGCTCTGCTGTTGACTAGCTTTGTAAACTTCCCCAAGTCCAAGTTACTTATCCATAACCTGGGGCCAGCAAACCCAAACTTGTAGGTTGCTGTAAGAATTAAGTGAACGAATTCACAAAAATGGCTCAGACTATCAGTCATATATAAAAGCTCAGAAAGCATTAGCTCTTTCTCTTACATACAGAAAAACCAGAGGGACCCAATGGGCAAGGTTAGAGTGGTGAGTGGGCAGGCCGCAGGGCTCCCTAAGCTCTGGCTTGTCCCGCAACACTCCTTCCATTCTCTGGAAGCCATGCCTCAGGGCTGACATCCCCTTACCTACCCAATCATGCATCTGACTGGAGTCCAGAATATCAACATGCCCTGATGGGTCCAAAGCCCCGGCTTCTCTAGGTCCCCATGGAGGCAGCTGGGCAGACACATTCTGGAACTCACCTTGACCAGGTGCACTTTGCAGGCCCCCACGAAGTCAAACGGGAGCCCATCAAATGTGCGGTAATGCCGGTCACCATAGGCAGTGCAGGTGGAAGCACAGGGGTGCGGGGTGCACAGGAACAAGCCCTGCTGGCACACGCTGAAACACAAGCACACAGACCGTGCCCATACCATACGTGAATGACCTTGACACAGCCATAGTCTATTGAATGCCCACTGTGTGTCCCTGGGCAAGGGGGTCAAAAAAGATCATCAACTTCCAACAGGACCCTTGAGGGCAGGATTGTGACCCTCACTTTATGTAAGAAACAGTGGGGCTCGAGAGGTTAGGGACACATTGCCAATAACTAATGCATCTTAGATTTAATCCAGATCTCTGACTCCAGAGTCCATATTCTCTTTATCACTGCATTCATTTATTTATTCAATATTAGCACTTACCATAGCTCAGGCATTCCTCCAGAAGTTTGAGGTATGTCAGTTTGAGATATAACACAGAAAAAAAAAAAACCCTCTGACTTAATGAAACAAATATTCTAGAAGAGAAAGCTATACACTGAAATTTTAAACAATAACAAATATGAGTAAATAATATAATGTGTTGGAAATTGTGGGAGATAGGAGAAAGCAAGATGGAGGGAATTGGGATGTGTATGGAAATGGGTTACAATTTTAAATAAGGTGGCCAGGGGACACATGAGCAGAGTCTCAAAGGAGGTAAAAGAGTTAACTATATGGACTGTCTTTCTGTAAGACGAACATTCTGGGAAGAGGGTGCAGTCTGAAAAGGCCCTAGGAAATACTCTGGAGATCACATGGCTAGAATGGACAGCACAAGGGCAAGAGAGTAGAAGAGGAATTCAGAGGGTAAAGGAGGGCCAGAAGACATAGGTCCAAGAAGACCACATTAGAACATTATCTTTTTCTAGGAATGAGAGAGAAATTCTTTGAAGGATTTGATGATGGGAATGAGATCTGATTTGTGTTCTGTTCTGGCTGCTGCATTGAACCCAAACTGAAAGGGGTAGAAGGTAAGCAGAAAGACCTGTTGGGAGGCTACTGCAAGAAATCAGGGAAGAGACAAGGGCTGTTCAGAGGAGGGTAACAGCAGTAGAAGGAGGGAGAAGTAATCAGATTTGAAGTTTGTTTTAAAGGCAAAACCAAAAAATTTGCAGACAGCACTCTTGGGCAAGTCCAAGCCAGCAATCTTCGATTTCTTGCCACATGTACCTGGCACACCAGTCAACTCTGGCCCACCACAGTCATGAAATCCTACAAACACTTGGGTATACCTGCACAGAGCTCTATGTCCTGACATTATACTCTAGGACTTCTGGGGTCAGACAGCCAGGGCTCTGACTGTACACATATACCCTGATGCATCTGGGGGAAAAAGCCTTGGAGCAGATGGGCTTGGCTGTGACCCTGCTGCTAACATGAAAAGAAAAGCCATGCCCACCCTGTGACCAGAGAAACAGTACAGTTTCAACACCAGTATGGGACAGGCTGGGACACAGCTCCAGCTAGAATGGATCTCCAAGACAGAACTTCTGTGTGATGCTCTACAGGGCTCCTGGGCCCCAATGCCAGGGGCTTCCTGGTCACAGTAGACCACCCCTGGATGGTACTCAACTCTGGAACAATAACTGAGTTTTCTCTCCAACATTAGGGCACCAGTTTATTATTTCTCACCTCCTCTCCTAGTGCTCTTTCCATCAGAAGGCTGAGTCTCCACCACCTCCTACCCCCTGCTGCTTTGCTCAGCACAAGCTCTTCAGAACTAGTTCTAACTCTGTTTCCATGAATCCAATCCAGGTGCACCCATTCCCACATATATGTCCTTATATCACTGAATACACAGTGTACAAATATAGTCACATATTCACTCAACTTACTTGTATATGTAGGCATGTGTATACTCATTAGGCAAAACACAAATCCACACTTGTGTATGTGTGTTCACTCATATGTGAATACAAATATGTATATCCAGTACACATATATACTCACATACTTTGCACATACATGTCCAAAAAACCAAGTAGATGCATATGTACACAAATATACATAAACACATGTATATACATATGAAAATTCCTAATTGTATGTATTAATGAACATATTAGGATTTATGAATGCCTGCCTTCTCATATACATCCATGTATATACCTGTACACCCATGCAGAATATGCATTTTGGATTTGCACACATGCTTATATGTTTATATAAATATGAAAACATATTGTCATGCTCACAAATATGCAATACACACATTCATATACATGTCTGAACAAACTCAAATTCATGTAAATAGTTACAAAAATACTCCAATATATTATTTTGTATACTACATTGGTATGTGTACATAAATGCCTATACAACATACATTCAACACGAATATGAACATGGTAGAAGACCAGATTCATGACAATGTATTCCATATCCATGTCCTACCCAGAAAAACCAAAGTCTGCTCAGGGTCCTCACTTACCAGGTATGGCAGGGAGACATCACCTGGTCCCCGGGGAAGTACTCTTTCCCCTTCCAAGTGCATGGGCACTCCTCTGGTGGGAAACATGCATCTCCGTGTCTGAGCAGGCTGTAAGGACACAGTAAGCAAGTGATCAGGAGAGTACCCGTACCCTTCCTTGATCTGCCATCTGGAGAATCATGTATCATGTGGATGCCCTGAGGTGGCTCTCAGCATTTACCCTAGAAGAGACTGGCAATTGTACCGCTGCCATCCTGCTGATGCCCAATGAGGTATCTTGCTAGGTGGAAAAACCAGAGATAGGCAAGGCCCAGTTTAGAAGTCTCTGCCTAGGCGAAGCCCAGTTTGGAAGTGTCTGCCATTCATCAGGAGTTGAGGCTCAGCTCTACCAGCCACAGCCTTCCTGGCCAGGTAGATGGTAGCTGCCCTCAGTAACCAGCTGTAAACTAATGAGCAGACCATGGAGATGGGCAGTGGCCCTCTCAACCAGGTTGTTCATGGAACTCTCAAACACAGGCCCCAAAGCCACAGTTGCTACATTCCAGTCTGGTTTCCATGAAATTTGACCCATGTCCAGGAGACAGGGACATCTCAGGGAATTTATTGAGGTTCTCAGGTCACAACTCTAGACATATCCAGTTAACATCAGTTATCATCAGGGTACAATCTGGAGCAGGGGTAAAAATATAAGCCTTGGCAATCAGCAATTTTTAGTTCAAATCCAGAATTTGCCTAGGACAAGTTATTTAACCTTCCTATTTTATTCTTTCAAAGGCGTGTAAGTACATGGTCTTAAAAGACAAAGAGTGCTTTTACTGGAAAGAATCTCTTGTTAATTTTTCCCCAGATTTTACCTGGAAGCACTTTCTGGACTATGTACTGGACAATAGAGCTCAAACACAGCACAATGTGTTGCTGAGGAGAGGAGATAGAAACGGAGTTCAGAGCTTCTGGGATGGCTAGCATACACAGATCAGGATAGAAAATAGGAACGATCTGCTCAGAGAAGGAACTCCAGAATTCTGCTTAAAGGTTACCTTAAATATCTGGTCAGATATTAAAGTGTGCGTGCACAAGGAAAGATTTATTGTCAAGGCTTAGCAAGAAACAATACTGAAGAAGTATGAGATTAGTAGAGATTTCTTTTTTTTATTTTTTTTATTTTTTTCATTTTTCTTTTATTATTCATATGTGCATACAAGGCTTGGTTCATTTCTCCCCCCTGTAGTAGAGATTTCTGATACAATGCGATGCTGGGAGATGTCAAGATTATGACTAGTTAGGATAGAAACACCTCCCTTAACACCCCAGGCCTCAGGAACAGAGCTACTGTAGACAAACAAATCCCAAACACAAATCTTGAAAAGATCAGGCTAATTAACTAATCTGTGAACTGTCTATTATACCAAAACCCAACAGTCAATACAGGAAGTCAACAAAATACAACAACAACAATGTAAAACTTACAATCCCCAACATCTAGTAAAATATCTATATATGAGAAAATGTGACCATAACTAGGAGAAAAACTCAGTCTATAATTAAAACTGATACAAAAATGATATACATAATATACAGGACTTTAAGTTGTTATAATTATCTATAAGCATTAAAAAGTAGGCAGATATAATGAACAGTAGGAGAATCTCAAAAGAGAAGTAAAAGCTATTTTAAAAAGAGGAATTCTGAAAACCTGTAATATATTCAATGAAAAATTTGTTGACAGGACATGACAGCAGAGTAAATACTTCACAAGTAAAGATGAATAACCTTGAAGCAGGGCAAAATGAACTGTCCAATCTGAAGAGAGGAAGGTTTAAGGGAAAAAAATGAGACAATATCAGATACCCTAATACAAGTATAATTGGAATCCCAGGGGAAAGAAAAATATTTGGAGAAATAATGATTGAAATATAATCAATTTTGATGAATCTCAATGAACTCTAAGCACAATAAAAACAAACCCAAAACATGTAGGCACATGATAGTCCAACTGCTGATGGTGATAATAAAAGAATGTTTAAAAAGTCAAGATATATTACAGAACAAAATCAAGCTAACAAAAGAAAAATTATTTACCTGGAATTCTGAATATTATTGAAAAATCAATAAAATTGACAAACTCATGGCTAGAACAAATAGTTAAAAAAAAAAGAGAAAAGACTCAAATTACCAATATCAAGAACAAAGTAGAGCTATCACTACAGAGCCTATGGATATTGAGAGGGAAATGAAGGAATAATATGTACAGTGTTGAGCCAATAAATGTAACAACTTAGATGGAATGGACAAATTCCTTAAAAGACACAAACTATGACAGCTTAGTCAAGAAGAGGTGTGAAGCATGATGGTGCATGCCTGTGATCCCAGCACTGGGCAGGCTGAGGCAGAAGGATACCAAGTTCAAGGCCAGCCGGGCCATATTGTGAGTTAAGGCCAGACTAAGCTACATAGTGAACCCCTTTCTCAAAAAAAAAAAAAAAAAAAACTCAACCAAGAGCTGGGAATATAGCTCAGTGGTAGAGAACTTGCCTTGCATGTTCAAGGCCCTGGGTTCAATCCCCAGCACTGCCAAAAAGGAATAGGTAACTTGAATAACCCAAAGCCTATTAAAGAATGTGAAATCAAAAACTTCTCTAGACTGGCCAATCAAGCATTTAAGGAAGAATTAATACCAATTCTAAGCAGACTCTTCCAAATACTTCCCAACTCATCCTGTAAGGCCAATATTACTTTGATACCAAAATCAAACAAAGACATTTCAAGAAAAGAAAACTGCAGACCAGTATCTCCCATGAACATAGACTATTAAATATCCCCACAACTGGAGTTTACCCCAGGAATGGAAGGTTGGTTATATCAATTGATATTATTTACCACATTAACAAAATAAAGGCTATGTATGATAGTTCAATAAATAAAATCAACTGACAAAATTCAATACTCACTACAAAACTTCCCAGCATACTAGAAATAAATCTGGGGCCAAAGTTGCAATAGGTGTTAAGGCCTAGGATCCTGTGTAGGTTCTCTTGCAGATGCCCTGGCTGGGAATGAACAGGCTTACAATGCACACTGTTACCTCTGACAGGGGACCAGACCTGTGGTCTCCTAGGGCTGACTGCTCTGGGCAAGGGGCAGGCTTTGAAGTAAGGGGCCCTAGGCTTGAGTCATAGAGCCTTGAACAGAACACTTCCCTCCCCTCAAACTCTGGCCTCAGCTTCTTCATCTGAAAAACCAGAATAAGGAGCCTCCTCCTCTTCTCTCTATGGGCTCTGATATTGAAGAAGATGATGACATCACAATGTCTCCCAAACAGTAAAGCTCCACCTGCCTGTCCCTTTCCCTTTCCTCCCTGGAAGCCCTGACCCTCATCTCATTTTCCTTGGCTTCCAGGCCTGATCCAGGACCCCCAGCTGCTCACTAATCTCTGCACACACTGAGGAGCACTGTCCAGTGCTGCCAAGTCATGGGTTGAGGTGCTCAATAACCTCTTTGGCCAAGACATGGGCAGGAGCACTGGCAGAGCTGGGTGCCAGGCTCCTGTGTACCAATACCCACAAAATTCAGCTCCTGTAGCTTTCATAGGCTTTAATGGCAGCACCGTAGGGACAGGAGAGAAACTGTATTTGGTAGGGCCTTTCTTTTCAGAGTATTTGCGGGTATCTGCCCTCCACCTGAGGGCTCTGCTCACAATTATTTTGGGAGGACTGGCAGAGTGGCTCAAGTGGTAAGAGTGCCTGTCTAGCATGCACTGAGTTCAAACCACAGTGCCACAAAAAAAAAAATTGCTCAGGGAAAGAGGTCAAGAGCAGAAACATGGATTTCTTCTTGCCCGGTCTTCAACCCATCATGCCTGTTAAGCATTCCAAACACCCAACTCAGTGCCTCCATTTGGGTACCTCACTTAATCTGCCTGTAAAGGGGGTGGGCATTATCACCCCCATTTTACAGATAAAAAAACTGAGCCTTAGAGAAGTTCCTCATCCAAACTCACACAGCTGGTAAGAAGCAGAGCAGGACAGAATCCATCCCAGGCTGGACCCTCGGGCTCCTGCTCTTTCCCAGTCTTCCCTCTGGCATCACAGCTGCCCTGGGCCAGGCGGCACCAGTTGGGTTGTGTGACATTGTCTCTGCCCCCCATCCCCCACCCTCCACCCCATGGTTCCTGGCTCTGCCAGCCTTCAAATAGGAGGAAACATGATGACATGGGTCCATACCCCTGGGGACAGGCGCAGCCCGACAGGCAGGGACCATGGACTGGCACACTCAGGTTTAGCAGCTGCTGCTCACACGTCCTCTCCCTGCTTAGCCCGGGGTCTATGTGCAGGTCACTGCAGTTCACGAAGACCTGACCTGGTGGGCAGGCCACAGCTGGAAGAAAAGAAGTGGATGCTGCAGCCCCTGGACCTGGGGTGGGCCCACGCTGCAGGCAGGGGTCCCAGCTTGGGATCCTGCGACTGGATGGGCTATTCCTGGGGCACTGAGTGGGTTCCCACATACCATCCCAGAGGGAGGACTGGATGTGTGCTATTGCATCACATGACAACCACAACTACCAGAACCCATTCCTGAACAGGTCCTCTGCACCAGCTGCTGCTCCAGGCTCTCCCTGTGCATCGTGCATCGTCTTATTTAATGCTGTAATCACTCTACCAGGTGTGATTAGCCCCCTTACCCATATAATGCAGTGAAATCACCTCTGCTTTCAAAAGGCAAAATGGACTGACAGGAAGGGTCTCAGAGGGTCCAAGAGAGGAGTTGAAAAGGGGATAACCTAGCAGCATGGCAGAGTGGCCAGAGGACTTTGAACAGGGAGTTCATCTCCTGTCACCTCTATTGTTATGACATAAACCATCCTCTCTCCTGAGACTTCAGTATAGTCTGCTGTGCACATTCACACTTTGTGTGAGTTATCTTTTTAGGAAAATCAGTAAAAGGCGGTTGAGTTCCATGCCTAGACTGGGATGGAGGAGAGAAAGGCCTAGCCATGTCCCAAAGAAGCAAAAATCCAAAGCCAGAAATGGCCAAAGAGAAACTTTGGGGAATATACACAATACGTGGGCAGGATGTAGGAACCTGGGTTGTCTACAAAAGAAGAAATGAAGGGTCAGAGAGGTGAACTTAGTTATCCAGAGTTATACAGCTTGTGAGTGCTGGTTGGGATTTGAACCCAGGGTGTCTGAGCCTCGAGGCCCTGCTCTTCACCACCTGCTATATGACTACTCTCCAAACCCCTTTGTATTAATCCCCATCCTCAGTGGGCTCCTCCATCCCAAAAAGTTCTTCCTGAGTGTTCTAGCTCACATGCTTTGCCCCTCCTGTGTGTCCCCTGCAGGTTTACCCACCACCGTTTTACCCCCACCCCAATCTCTATTGCCTGGGCCCAGGCTGTCCTCCCCATCTCCGTGAGCTCACACCCAATGCTAGGCTGGGCAGAGCCAGCCTCAGTGGATACTTGGTAGCTTACACCAAGGAGATCCAGGACCCAAGAGAGGTCACAAAACTGTGCAGATGCCCCAGGTGGCTAGGGAGGACTGAGGTTGAGACAGGGGTCCAGGATGCCACCCTCCAAGCTGGAGGGCACAGAAGGCTCAGTGTAGGGCAAGCTGGGGAGGGCTCACCCTGTCCTGATTAGCACTCCCAGCTGCCCCAGAGTCCTACTACCATGTAGTCCCCAGGAGACCCCCCACCTTCCAGTCCCCCTCACCTGGGGCTCTGCTGTCACAGCTCATGACTCCATCTTTGCAGTGGCTGTAGAAAGATGGGGGCACTGGGATTAGCTGACCCCATCACTGCAAGACCCATACACCCACTGTAGGGTCACTGCAGGGTTCAGAGAGACATCCCCACCAGTCATTGTCCCCTGCACCCTACACGGAGGGGAGGGTGGGTATCTCTTTATGGAAAGTTCTGCTCAGCTGCAGGTCTTCAGTCAGCAGCTTCCCTGTAAAGAGAGGACAACAAGACTGCTACCCAGGGAGCTCACCAGTGGCCCAGGGAAGGGATGTCACTGTCCCCAGGTGGATAGTCCACTCCTTGGAAATGACAGGAACACTGGTTCCTATAAAAACAGATTACAGGGAAAGGTGAGCAGACACAGGATCTGGGGGAGGGACAGTCCACTTCAGCCAGCTGGGGTCATGAGGACACATGGCATCTACTGTGACATGAGACACACTTCTAGGGAGCGGGAAATCCAGGCTGGCACCAGCACTGGGTCCCAAATCGGAGGCCATCACTGAGTTCAGATAAGGGCAGCCCCACTGGTCTCCATCCACTCCCAATGCCAGCCTCACTTGGACAGAGCATGATCAGAACATGAGCTGAGGTGATCAGACGTGTCTCTGCTTCCCCAGCCCATACCATGTCAGGATGGGCAGATATTCTATTGGTGTGGCATTCTGGCTATTCACACCCAGCATCTATTCTGACTGGTCGCTAAATATTTTGACACTTGGCAGGGGACACCTGGCTCGCACTCCATACAAGGGATCCTGAGAGTGGGGAATTCTTTGGCTGTCTTTGGATTCTTTAACTCATCTGAGGACAAAGCCATGTTTCCTCACCACAAAACTCCCACCGCACCTGCTGATTCTGGGCACATACGGAGTCTGAAGCAGAGTAGGTAAGGGCCAGAAGGGACACCTGAACTCATCCCTTATCCCTCCTCATCCCACCCCAGCACTTCCAAGCTATCTTCTTCCCACCTCCTGGGATAGCCTACAGAGGCCTTCTTTGTAGGCAATACTCAACCCCAAAGGGTGTACATCTGGATCCTAAGAGAGGATTTTGCAGTTTGAAAAAGCCTCTGTGTGACTTCTATTTACCCCTAAACGGACCTCTCTCCTGTTCCCCACCACTGGAAACCAAGTGGTTATTAAACACTTTACAGATGAAGAAACTGAGACTAGAAGGGCATCAGGAACCTTGTCAGTTCCAGGATTCGGGGTCATTGCCCACCACTCTCTTCCTGCTCTGCCCTCTGGCCACATGGAGCCTACCTCTTCCAGGAAGGCCTCAAGCCACCTCTCTGCCTGGAGTCCTCTCTCTTACCTCAGGTCTCGCTCAGACACCACCTCAGTCAAGGGTCTTCCCCCATGCTTGTCTCATGCAACAGTCCAGGACTCTGTTTGCACTCTCCTCTATGTGACTTTATAGCTCTTGTTACCACACAGCCCCGTAAGTATCTGCTTTTTATGTGTCTGAATACCCCAGAGTGTGAGTTCCATGAGGGCAGGAATCTGTTCTGTTCCTTGCTGAATTCCCAGGGCCTAGAAATGTCTGGAATGCACTAAAATGTAAACAAATATTTGTGCAAGAAGGGGAGCCAAGGGAAAGGAGGTCCTCATGGCTCTGAGTTGTTCAGTCTCGTGGGGAAGCCAGCTGGAGTGGCCCACAGAGCCAGAGCTCAGGAAAGGCCTGGGAGGGGGTCCAGAGGAGGTCCCCACTCTCTGACTAGCAACTGTGAGATGAAGCAGGGGCACAAGAGACCCAGTCTGGTTCCTCAGTCTCAGATGCCCTGGATACCCTGGCTTCATCATTCTACCTGGCTCAGAAGTCAAGTTGGCTCACTCACCTGGGAACACAGAGGTCAGCTTGGGTGTCCAGATATGTGTCTGGAGGGCAGGTACATCCCTCCACACACTCACCACTGCTGAAGTTGCTGCCACCATCAACCCCACAGGCCTCAGGACTGGCCAGGTCCTGGCAGGTTTGTTCACAAGGGGCCACACAGGGACTATACTCCTTGGTGGCTTCACAGGACAGTGCTGTAGTAGGAAGAAGGACTATGCTTTGTCTCTCTCATCTCCACAACTGTGTAGGAGTGGGGTTATCTCATTATCTGATAATGAGAACTGAGAATCAGAGAAGTTAAGACACTTGCCCAAGGTCACACAACAGGTCAAGGTCAAAGCTGGGATGTGAACCTGGTCTGGTTCCAGAGTCCTACTGCCTCTAACTACACTGGAAGGCAAAACAGCAGGTGAGTTTCTTCTACCCATCTATGTTCAGACAGAAAAACCACTAGCATTTGCTTTTCCCTGAAGGGCATCGCTCTTAGGGATACTGGGGAGGGGGGTTAGAGGTCACCACCCCAATAGCCTAGGACCAACCCCATCACTCACACATGGACGCGTGCACATGCACAGGTGTGTGAATAAACTTCAATGTCTACAACAATTGTGCTCCCTCTTGCAGCCTCTCAGGCCCTTTGTTCCAAGATTCAGGGCTGCCCTCTCCTTTTCTGGTCACTGTCTCACTCCTCAGTGTCAGGGCCAGCAAGTCACTGAGGTTGTCAAGCTCAGTTTTTCTCAGCCTGGGCTGCACATCAAAGCTACCCAGCTGATGCTTGGACCCCACAGCCAGCTGGATGAGTTGTTTCAGTGGATACTGGATGTGGCCCAGACCCACGCATTTTTAAAATCTCCCACAGTGTTCTAATGTGAGCCAAGGTTAAGAACCACCGGCTCTGTCAAATCACCTCTGGAGAAACTCTGATTCAGAGAAGGGCAAGGCCTTATGTGGGCTCACACAGCATGTTAAGTGCAGAGCTGGAGTAGAACTCAGGCCTCCTGACTCCCAGTACTGCGCCTTTTCTATTTATTCTAAATCTTTGCCAAAAGCTTACAGAGCCGTGCCTGTGCAGGGGCTGAGGGTGCAGAGATGAGTAAGACAGACAGCAACATTGCGTGGGGTTGGGAACCTCATAACTATTATGCCACCTGTGTGACAAGGGTCTCAGTGCTCTTTAGAAAGTCCATTCTGCTGCAATGAGAAGGTGGCTCTGCCTAAGGTGGTGGCAGTGGAGGTGATGAGAAGTGGTGAATTTGAACTGATGACAAGGGGACATTGGCAGAGATGGAGAACACAGGAGTAAAGCAGGCTGTGAGGCTGGAGGGAGTCTGGGGGACAAGCAAACACTCAGGTCTGGAGCCCAGGCTCCTGCAGCCCACCCTTAGGTGTTGCATAGGGGTGGGGCACTTACCACAGGCTGGCAGACGGGCACGGAAGTTGACAGGGAGCCCATGACGCCGGCATAGGTGTGCATAGTGGGCCAGCGTGGCACATAGGCAGGGCTGCCCACAGCGGCAGGCATCCCGCCGGCACTGTTCAAAGTAGGGCACCGGGCTCAGGTATGTGGAGCAGGGCGCAAACAGCTCCCCCATGAGTACGCTGCAGGACTGCAGTGCGTAGGAGGCTGAGGATGGGAAGACAGAGACCAAAGGACATGGAGGGGTGTGGCTTGCCTGGTGCACCAGGCAGGGTTCAGGGGACTGTGCATATATGGACATGCATGGGGGCACGTACAGTAGGAATGTGGGCAGGTACCTCAGTGCACGCTAGCTGGAAATGTGTGCATTTAATAAGTCTGAGTGTGAATAAGCTGGCCGTGATTGTATGTGTTGTGTGTGTGTGTGAGTATACATGCTCGTGTAATGATTCTTCCTCAGGCTAGGCATGAATCTATCTAGTAGAGGGACACACATGAGTGAACATAACCAAACTCTGTCCTCATGGAGCTTACATTCTGGCCAGAAGAGACATTCTGTAAATCATTTCTACAGTAAATTAGAAGGTGAAGAATCTGAGGAGGGAGAGAAAGCTCACAGGGAGCCTGTGACACTGGCATAAGTGTCACTCCTGCCACTATGTAGTGGGCAGGAGAGTGAGCTTTCTCTCCCTCCTTATATTCTTCACCTTCTAATTTACTATATGTGATGGGGCAGGAGAGGCTATTACAATTTTAACTGGATTGCCAGGAAGACCTCAACAAGAAGGGGTGATATTTGAAAGATTGAAAGAGTGGAGGTGGGAGCTGAGACAAGTGTCTATCTGAGGGAAGAACATGTGTGTGTGTGTGTGTGTGTGTGTGTGTGTGTGTGTGTGGTGGGGGAGCCAAGCAAGCACAAAAGCCTAGGAGGCAAGCAGAACTGGCTGTGTAGGAAGGACAGCAAGGAGGCCAGTGAGGCAGTGGGAGTAGGAGGTAGGATAAGAAGGTGGCAGAAAATGCAGAGTCTTGTGGGCCCACTCTGAGAAATCTGGTCTTGGACTTGAGATGAGGGAGCCAGTATAGGGATGAATGTACATGACAGTGGTAAGACATGAAGCTTCCCATCTCCTGTCCCCTCCTACAGCAACTCTTTTCCTTACCAATCCCATGAATCTGGCCAGCTCTTCATGCCTAGAGTTCCCATCTCAACTGTCTCAAAGCAATCCCACCCACACCCCACTTTTCCATGCTCCCTTCCCTCCACCTCACCAGCTTGCAGGTGCACATCGCAGGGGTCCAGTGGAGAGCCAGGGGTCAGTGGGGAACAGGCAGACAGTGTTTTCCAGGAATTGCCAAAAAGTTGTGGCGTGCTTTCAGGCACACCCACCGGGGACCTGCAACCATGACATGGTATATTCATCCACTTGCCTATGTAGACCCAGGAGCACAGATAGCATCCACCCAGGTAAGCACCCACTAGTGCATTTGCAGACATAGTCATGGACTAACTATAAGCACACACATACTCATCTACTAGTGTAACATGTATAGACCCATGTTCACCGCTTGCACACCCTCCCACACAGACACAGCAGAAATACATGCCAGACATGCAAGTAGTTAAGCTGATCTACACAGCCACATTCAAACCATACAACTATGGATGTACACATGTACACATTACATTACAAGTCCCATAAAACTCAGTATGGGCTTAGGGCTGCACACATTCAGCATACACCCTCACTCATCATGTCAGAAGCAAAAGTGGGCATCATGGAGATACCAGCCCTTGCTGGGTTCTGACTTTCTCCTTCTCCCCTTCCTGAAAGCTCCTTAGCTCTCCCTTTGTCTCTCTAGATAGGAAATCATGACACAATAGGCAGTAAAGAGAGAATGGTAGCTCTAGCATGTCCCTAGACATGACCAGTGCTCAAGAGTCAACAAACTCTGGCATAAGTAGTAAAGTGGAAAGAGACTGCAGTCTTCAGGGAGCCAGGTTTTTGCATGGCATCCACCATGCCACATGCACAGGTGAAAGCAATACTCTCACCTGGAATCCCCATTTAGGAAGAGGATTAGAAGCCCACACACTAAACCAAGGTCTGCCCCCACCATTCTGGCAAGCTACTCTTAACAGCAACCCTAACAGGCAAGACAGTGGAAAGCTACCTATTAAAATGTGCATTCATTGAAAAGCTCTTGGCTTTTACTTGGTTTTTGCAGCAAACCTGAACTCTAATTTCTGGCCAAAGGAAGCCTCCTGGATTTCTTTCTGCATTTCTCATTGCATGGCACTTGAAGGACTGGCTAGAACCTCCAACCTCAAGATGGATCCTTTGTTCAGCTTTCTGGAAGGACTTACTTTTTGTCCTCTCTTGAGTTCTTAAATTGTGACCATTCTCAAAAAAAGAGTCTTTCTCTCAACTCTGTTAGCTTTGCTCCTCATGGGAAACAGCCTTCCTCTGACTATTGGGAGGCTCACACGGTACAAGTTTAAAAGCATTCAAGTACCAGGTAGAAAGGCATATGGGTTATAGTGGCTTGCTGGGACAAAAACTGAGAATGTTGAGTGTCTGGTTCACTGGAGGCTTACATTCTCCTAATGTTGTTCACAGTCAATTAAAACAAACAAAGCTCTGAGCCAAAGCAAACCAACTTTAAGAGGTCCCCTATTTTAAGACCTCTCTATAGAATAGTATTTTTCAAGGTGTGGTCCATAGACCTCATGTACTAGGACAGCCATGGTGATTATCAAAACTGAGATTCTTGGGCTCTACCTTCTGTCAGATTCTGGATGAGTGGGGCCCAGGAATCAGTACTTAAACAAGCTCACCAAGTAATTGTTCTGCACATTGAAGACTGTGAACCAATGCTTTAAAGAAACAGTCTTCAGTTTGAACGCAGAGGAATAAGTAATTAATAGTGCATGTCAGGTACAGTGGAAGCCCATAAGAGACACACTTTCAGGCAGTGACTCTAGATACTTGGCCCTAAAGGGCACATGTCCTCCTCTCCTTCTGGTTCCAGGGCAGGAGCACGTACAGGAAGTCATCCTGTGTGTTGCCATTGAAGGTGCCACAGAGGCCCACGGTGTCCTCCACCCATCGCTGGTCCACCTGCAGGTAGAGCTGCAACCCTTCCCGGTCATACAGCACACGTACACCCACATTGGTCCTCACCCTCAGGAACACAGAGGATAGCCTCCGAATCTCAAAGGCATCTGGCATGAAATAAGAAATGGGATGTAGGGAGTTGGTACAACCCAACCAATCACCACCACCTGTCTGGCCCACTCTCACATCCACACTCAGCTCAGGCTTCACTCTCAGTGAGGTCCTGCCATTGGGTTGGTTTTTGCAGCCTTCAGAGAATCCTACTTAATGATGAAATCAGGACCCAGGGATAACCTACCAGGCTGCTGGGGCTAAGAAAGTTCTTTCACCATCAGGTACTAACAATTACAGCTTTACTCTCCCCAAAGAGCTGGTATGTTTCCTCTTGCAGCCCAGGACAATTCTGTAACCACCCACTCTTTCCACAATGCTTGCAATACAATTATAGATTTGATGTAGCACATTTAACCTTTAGATTCAACTGTAACAAGTTTTACATATTTTATGGTTTGCATTTCTGTGGTTCCTTCACTCAGTGCATCTCCACTCTTTTCAGTCTTGAGTAACTTTTCTTTTTTGGTCTTCCTTTCTTCTTTCTTCCCTCCTTCCTCCCTCCTTTCTTCCTTTTGTGCTGTACATATTAATAGTTTTGCCTTTTCTGTTAAATGTGTTTCCTATGGACTATCCATAAGTCCCTGATGGAATCAGGAATCAGGTACAATAATAAACTGAGTATAGGGACGGGAAAAAGCCTTATGCATGTTCTAATATCACAAGAAAAAACATCATACTGTTATAAAGATCATTGTCCTGTTGGGGCAGGGACAAAGACACATTTTATGAGTTCACATTCCTGTAACCAAAGTATTCCCTAGCTTGACCCACCACCCACTAGAATGTGAGGTCCTTGCCATATGGCAGTTCCTTTGGCCAGAGGAGACTGGGAAAAGATGCCTAAACAGCCAACTCCTAAATAACACACTTGGCCATCCAGAGCCATACCATCTGTGTAGGGTGGGATGATCTTGTACTGGTCAAACAGAAGGATGTCTCCCGCCTGGGTTAGGGTCACCTGCCTCCGAGGGTCCTGGTGCAGAATCACTGATACTGACTGGATACAGGCTCCATCCTGGTTCTGGAGAAAAAGAAGGGCCAGCAGGGCAGAATTGATTTATCTGTCTTGCTGTCCCCAACAAAGACTTCCAGGGACAGGGACACAGCACAGTTTGAGGAGGAGGCTCTTCAAAGTGAGACAGATATCCCAAAGAATATCAGGGGTCATCTAACCAAATGCCCTTATCTGGAGAATGATCAGACAGACTGGAGAAGGTTAGTGGCAGAGCTAGGATAACACTAATAAAAACAATAGTCAACTCTCAGTTTGTCTAAAGACACTGAGCAGAGGATGGAACACAGATGGCTGAGTCTAGCCTTGGAAATACTGGCTTCCCCACCTGACTGTAACACGGAACTTTGATTTATCCTTCTTTGGGAGTTTATATAGCTCTTTTCATGTGGCACATGTGGCACATGCACTGCATTAACGGACAAGAAGTGTACTAACATTCTCTGACCTCAGGTCCTCCAGCTCTGAAATGGCTAGTACGTTTTGTACCCATTCGTACCACCCTTCTGCAGGATGACATCCATACAATCATTCATTTAAACATTTCCTGAGAGCCCACCACCTGCCAAGTTTTGTAGATAAGTGATGAACAAGACAGATATAGTCCTTGTCCTCAAAGACATTACATATTCATTGGGACACAGACATTAAATAAGTAATTATAAAATTGACTAATGATAATTATGATTAGAACAGCAGACAGGGGTAGGGTGCTAAAAAGCACATGAAGGAACCAGACTTTGTCTGCAGAGGTAGGAAAGGCCATCCTAGAAAATGATAATAGTAATAATGTAAAATAATCACAACAATAATACAAGCCTTAGCATGACTGTATTATTGTGATAATAGATAACAGCTCATTTTCATGTGGAGTTTACTATGTTCCGGCACTGTTCCAATCTCTCTATCTATATTCATTCAAACCCCACAGTGATCTGATCAAGCAAGTACTACTGGAAACACAATTTTGCAGATCAGAAAACTGAAGCACAAAAAACTAACAATTGAGCTGAGATCTGCAGGATAAATACTTGTTAGCTGGGCAAAGAAAAGAGGAGGAGGGAGAAATCCAGACCAAGGGACAGCCTATACAAAAGCCCCAATGCCAAAAGGTGTTTAGTGCATTTAAGGACAAAAAGAAGACAAGAGGGACCAAAATACATTGGACAAACTGCTTTAAGATAAGGTTCAAGAGGTAGGCATGAAACAGATGGTAGGGAGCAACCTCTCTCTGGGACACTGGGAAGAAGTTAAGCATTGTTAGAACACTATTAAATAGTATTAAAGCACTGTTGTTGATAAGCCTTTGTTGTAAGCACCCTTCTGAAAGGTTATATTTTTTCTTTAAATGTGCTGAGACATTTGGGGTTGGGGAAACTTAATTCCCTCATTGAAAGATGCTAGCCCTTCTCTGGGGCCCTACTTCCTTAGCAAAAGAATGCCAACCAGGCAGCAGGACTCCCCTCAAGCACCCAAAGCACAACTCTAGCTCCAAAATGCATTGTCCCAGCCAGCAGCTGGTAAATTGGCTCAACAGACCTATCGCCACACGGTTACTTCCACCCAGACCAGCCAGAGGGCACTTTGGTCCAACAGAAGACCTGTTATTGGTGCAAACACAATCTTTCATTTGCATAATGGGCTATACCATGATTAGTGCAAACATGAGGGGACTGCTGTGATTGGTTCAGACACCTTTGTTCCTCTCCCCTCCTTTCTGGCTATATAAGTAAGAGGCTGCTTAACTTACTGTGTAAGCAGCTGGGAGACACCTTCCTTGCTGTCCCTTTGATATTATAACATCAATAAAGTCTTTCTCTCAAGTGGTCTCGCCCACATTTACTGAGCTGGTAACATGAAGAAGAGAGCAAGTAGCAGTGGCAAGGAGGAAGCTGCCCTGGCAGCAGGACATCAGTAAAGCCACAAGTTGAGTGACCCAAGCAAAACTGACCACAGAGGCAGGGGGAGGCAGTGACTAGCAGCAGAGAATATCAGTGGGAAATGGAGAAAGTAAAACTGACAGCAGCTGATTAGAATTGGCTGGTGGAGAGCACAGCAGGACCAGGCTGCAACACTTAAGGTCCCAAATCTATGTTGCCACACTAGTTGTTGGGGCCTGAGCCCCGAGGCCCAAATGCTGTGCTCCCACCTTAGCTGTAAGGTGCCTGAGACCCAAGCCCTGGGCTGCCACTCTAGCTGTCAAAGGTCCAGGACTGACTGCTGTTGCCTACTATCATCTACTTCACTGCCTCCAAATACCCACATGGGCTCCAGAATAACTGGAAGAGCTCCTCCGCATCTATCCATGATTTCTATCAGGATAGAGCAAAATAAGTCCAGCCATCTGGTTTGTATTAGCAGAGGCCAGCTTAGGCAAAACCTTGCAACAGAAAAACAGAACAAGTATAACAGGAGTGACACAATCAAATACAGTGAAATGTGGAAATGATCAGGACTTGAAACTTTTCAAAAGACACTGTTCAAAAAGCTGCAACCATCTTTTCAAGTTCCTGCTCAAGAGGACAGAATTTCTTAAAACAACTCAACGTCATAGTGTCTAAAACATCATCCTCATTGTTCAGACCACTCATCCTCTGGCCTCCTCTGCAAATGTCCATGGTACAAGAAGAAAGTCCATACCCTTTAGTCAAAGTATCTGATTCAAGACCTGATGTCACCAAAAGCCATGAGAACTTAAGGAAGTCACTTAATTTCTGCAGATATATTATTGCACAGATGCAACGATATTTGATTGGTCACACCTGGCTGGGTGTGTTTTTTTAAATGCATATAATACTTGGGAAGTTACATTTATTGTTCTCCACAGAGCTTTATGGCATAAACGGTAAACACCACTGCATGCAAAATTTTAAGAATCATATAGATGTAGGAGGTTGGGACAAGGATGAAAGCAGACCATGTCAAAAGAATCGAACTGTATAATAAATAGATGGAATGACCTCACTGAAGGAAGTGGGAGGGAAGATGTTAACCTAAGTAACTTTGGAAATAAGCTTGTAAGACTAAAGGCAAAAAGGAACTGTGTCTAAGCACTGTACTCTAGTTGATAAAGTAATTTACCATGGAAACACAGGTTTATCATTCTGATACTCCTATACACATGTACTGGAATTGAACAAATAAGTGATGCATGATGAAGACAGGTTTTTCACTGTTGATGTGATCATTTACTGATAAGCAAGGAGAAAAGGTTAGAATGAGCCATGTTTAGAAATGGAATGTCAGTATAAACTCATGTTTGGTACATACAAATACAGATATTTATATAGAAAAGTACTTAGAGCTATGGGTGCAAAGTTATACATGGGTTATACCTCTCTCTCAGCTGAGAGGGCCTAAAAGAAATGATACCCCAGTGGCAATGAATATATATAGTGTCCACATACTGGTTTCTAAAACCATTCTTCAATAAAAAGGAATCAGGAGAGCCTGGTAATATTTTTGGAGGAATGGATAATATTAGAGATGGGTCAGAAAATACACAGGATAAGTCAGTCACATTTTGTAGGGCTAGAAAGTGAAAAAGTGCACAGGCACACAAACCACACACGCACACACACACACACATACAACGATGGGAGGGTATGTCAAAGGGACAAAGATGCCAACTGAAAAATTTCCCAGTGGCCACAGTTGAAACATTTCAGTAACAGAATAAAGAAGCGGATTGACTGGAGTTGTAGCTTAAGTGATAGACCACTTACCTAATAAGCTAGAGGCCATGAGTTCAAATCCCAGTATCACCAAAAAAAAGAGTAGAGTAATGGATTATAACACAAAGTATGAAATAAATATCCACAAACCTATGCTAATATAAATAACAGAATAAGCAAATGAGGGAGAAGAAACAACTCTCCATGCTGAAAAATTCAAAAAAAAATTGTGCAGATTTTCTGTCTTTAAGGAGAGGAGCTTAACTCCCCACTCTAAGCGTGAGGTGCACATGGTGGCTTCCTTCGAAAGACAGAAGGGGGAATCACGTCACAGTTCAGAAACTAACAAACACTACCTCAGAAAAATGATCGAATTCAATGTCAACAGTGATAAACCATGTTGCAGTATTTGTCTTTGACAAGATTGATGAAAATGGCACTTAACCTCTGTGACCTTCCTCCCAAAATCTATAACCCTGCTTTAGCCTTGAGACAAAACATCAGGTAAGTTCCAATAGAGACGTCTACAAAATACCTAACTATTTTTCCGCAAAACCTTTAAGGTCATCATAAACAAAGAAAGTCTGAGAAACCATAACAGCCAAAAAGAGCCTGTGGGTACATGGTGACTACATGTAATGCAGTATTCTGGATGAGATCCTGAAACAAAAAATGATATTGGGTTAAAACTAATGAAATCTGAATAAGCTATGGACTTTAGCTAGTGACAGTGCATCTTTGTTGGTTCATTATTTGTAACAAATGTACCATACTATTGCAAGGTGTTAATAAAGGAAACTGAGTGGGAACCATGTCTTATCTTTGCAATATTTCTGTAAAGCTAAAGCTGTTTTGTATTTTAAAAGTCTACTTTAAAAACACATTGAAGACCATAAACACACCATGCTTCTAGGGTGGATGTATCAAGATGCTATGACAACATCCAACCTTGAGTCAGGCTCAGCTCTGCTTCCTGCTGACTATGGATTTTCAGGACTGCCCCAAGCCTCTGAAGACATATCCCACTAAATTGAGAATGGGAATAATAATTACTACTACATATATGACATGTTGTACATAAAAGTATTAGCCAGAGTTCAAAGCGCTGTGCAAATAGTTCACCACCACCATCACCATCACAATCATCATCACCACCATCTCTGTTAATGTGCCCAGTCCCCAACCCATCATGGTCACACAAGATTAAAGTCACAGCTTCAATATTGACTTTTTTTGCTTTTCTGCTCCCACCATCTTATCAGACATAGTCAGTTGTCAAGCCCTTCTTCATTGATTTTCTCATAAGATCTGAACAGCTCTTGAAATATCCTTCCTCAAAATCCCTATATTTGCCTTTCCAAGACCACTCTTTAGGTCTCTTAGCTCAAATGTCACCTCTGCCACAAGGGTTTTCCCTTTTCCTTTCTGCTGACATTCAGAACTATTTCTTCCTCCACCCTACTCCCCTTCCATGGCTTTGATCATGTATCTCATCCTGAAGCAACCTGAAGATACAAGTGACAGTGAGCTCTGGATGGTAGGGTCAAGGTCTGACCCATCTGTGTAGCCCTTACCGTGACTACACAGAGCTGGCATGGGCTGGTCCTCCACTGGTTCATCATGTGGATAAAATAACAATGAGGAACTCATTTCTGCACATGGCAGAAAGAACCTGCAATCAAGAGGCTCTGTCCAGCAATGAGGTGGATCACCTTAGGCCAAGGCTGTCCCAGCAGCTTATCAGGAAAATGGCAATAGGGGGCTGAATAAGGGACCCCTCAGGTGCTCTAAGACTCAAGCTGCATGAGTGGGAGGAGGAGCCAGCTATGCTGCATTTGTCTGCCTTTCCTCTCTCTTGTCACCCTCAGGATGCGTTGGGAGTGATCCCACCTTTGAAGACAAGTGGTCTCCTTTACAGAGGGCAGCTAAGGGCAGGCTAGGGAATTTTCTGTAAAAAGAAGGGAAGGGTCACTCAGGCCAAAACAGAAAGAAAGTCAGGCCTTCACATCATGATAGCCCAGTCTGTGCCCTCACATGTAAAGTTGGCCATTTTGCCAGTTATGTCCACAGGTGGCTGACAGAGCTCAGGTGACACATTCTCCAGGAAGCCTTCTCTGATCCACTCTACCTACCCCTGACACCCAATGCCCAGATAAAACAAAAACAATGAAAAAGTCCTCCATGGAGACCCACCTGTCTTCTCCATGTTCTTATAGCTGCTTTGACAAAGGTTATGGGTTCACTTGCCTGCCTCTCCCACCAGGCTGTAAGGCCCAGGAGGGCAGATCAGTGTCTAATTCATCCCAGTCTCCAAGACCCAGCACAGCTCTGGCACCAATAGATGGTCAGTATTTGCTGATTGAATGAATGAATGACCCTTACAGAGATTATGGAAGGTACAAGCCAAGGAAACACAAAGAGGAAGTAGAATTAGACCCATTGTAGAGATTTCTTTAAAACACTGAGGTCCAGGGAAGGGAAGTGACTTTCAGCCAGTAGAGAGGTTGGGGCCAGAACCCAGTCTCCCGACCTAGCTCTGTTCAGAGAAAAGAGATAGCATACAACTGGGTTGTGGAAAACCCTAGGCCCTGCCCTAAATCCTAATCCCTTCAGGGAGGAGGAGGGTGAGACCTGGATGTCCCAGCCTTACCAGACCACATGGGGCATTCTGCAGTGTCACTGTGAAGGTGCCTGAGGAGCGGCTCTTGGCTAGGATGTACTGACATGTGGCAGGGAACGTGTACCGGCGGCCATCAAAGGTCGTGAAGTGGATGTCACCAGTCACCGAGCATTCAGCTGAGGGACAGAGAACAGCTACTGACCCATCATGGAAGCTATTCACTGGGGACTGTCTGCACCCTGCAGACCTAAACCTGTGTAGGACACAGCCCTCTGTCCTCTGGAATCTGCAAAGTAGGAAGTCTTCTATCTGAGAGCCTTGGTCAGGGGCAGATATAGGCCTCCCCAGAGACTAATCTGAAGGCAGACACAGCCATACCTGGGGCTCTTTTGAGGAGTGACCAGACCCTAAGCTTGGGGCAAGTTTTAGTCTAAGTCCCCCATCCTCAGGAAGGGCCTTAGATATACAGGACCCCATGTAAAGCCCCTCCTTACAGGGCCTGGAACAAACCCTTAGTCAGGCAAAGAAGCTCTGAGGAAACACAGGGGAGCAGGCTTAGGCAAGGGAACTGAGTGCTCCCCAGCAGACCTGGCCCCATAGCATCCCTATAAAGACCAGTAGAAGGTAGCAGAGTCCAAGGTGAGGGTCAGACATACCTGGGCAGACAGCTGTGCTGCACACCCACTTGCCCGCAGTACAGGTGCTGGAATACAGAGCCCAAAGGAGCAAGGATCAGCTCTCTAGGCATAGGCTACATGCTTTCGACTGCAGGGCCCACAGAGGTCCTGACCCAACTCCAATCTCTAAAACGGTGGTAGAGATTCCCTCCCTTCAGCCCCCGTGGATCTAATGAGATCCTTTGAGACTCAGAGAAGCTAAGTGAGTGCTCCATGTCATCAGGGCTCCCAGACCCAAGATGGGCAGCCTTGACAGAGCCCCAGGCACTGAGGACCCCACCCTCGGGGCCATGGACACAGACCAGGCATTGCAGTCTTCCTTCACCACAGAGCCAGGTGGGTATGGGATCCCGTGGAACTCACAGGGACATTCAGCTGGTGCCACACAGCCCCCATCCTCAAAGATTAGCCCTAGGGTGACAGCAAAGGCCCACTTAACTCACATGTCTGATCTCTGAACCAGATTCTGACCCGCAAAAGGCATCTTAACTCTCCACCTAGCCAAGTGATGTATACACCATGAAAACTGCATAAAGTAACCGTACCTGGACAAATGTTTAAACAAAGATGTGTATTTACATGAATGAATGACTTGTCCTCATCTACACCCCTTACAAAGCTCTCAAGAAACTAGTTCCACCCCCACCCTCACGTTCCTTAAGCCATTCATTCATTTACATATCAGTTTCTTGCTCCTTCCTTCATTCATTCCACAAACAACCATCCTCTGAGCCACTGTTTCATGCTTATCTGTACCAAGCCAGGAAGAGGCTACCAGGCACCCATTCCTACCCCTTGCATACCATTGGGACAGTAGCAGCCGTCTACACAGGCAATCTCGCTATCTACACAGGACGTCCGGGACTGGCAGGAGGCTGGGCAGCAAGCGATGCACTCATTGTAGGTAAAGGCCTTCTCTTTGCAGTGCACAGCTTGGAAGGGAGGGAGCCTGTGGTCTGTGCTCTGTCAAGCCCCACTCTTACCCATGCCCTAAAATGGGGTGGGAAGGCCTTGGTGTGCCTGATCTCCTAGTACCAGAGATAGCACTGGGTGCCCAAATTGGTGAGGGCTTGGGAGCCTGTGAGGACCACCTTCATGTTATTCTGTGGTCCCAGCCAGTCCCAGTCCCTCTCACTCTGAGCCTCAGTTTTCCCATCTGTTACATGCAGATGGAACCTAAGGCTTAAAGCTGTGACAAATGTGGTTTTGAGTGGTACAGAACACTGAGCCAAGGACTGAAGATGCCACCCAGAGCCCCCATCAGAACTTGTCTGAAGCTCTCCATGCCAACCACCAGGCTACACCTACTGCATTGTTGGAGCTGGGTCCTCCAGCCCTGCAGGGGCCGCCCAGCCTGTGCGCATGCCCGCGCATACTCTGCAAGTGCTCGGCACCAGGTGGCGTCATCACCTCCTGATCTGTATAAGGAAACTGAGGGTCACATGGGAACAAGGTCCAACCTGCCGCCAGTCCCCCAGCATCTTGTAGAGACTGCCAGGGCTTTGGGGGCACCTGCTCTCCTTCAGTTGGGAAAGGGAGTTGGGAAAACATCTAGGTACACAGATCCCTAGACTCAAGTCAGGAAACCTGGATTCCAGTCCCATCATAGCTGGTCTCTTGCTGTGTGAGTCAGGCCCCATTCAAGGCCTCAGTTACATCTCCCACCTATGTAGATAACAATTACAGAGCTTTGGGAAGGAATTGTCAGTTCCTGGGATTATTAGGCTCAGTGGTCCATGCTGAGCCCTCACACCAATTCTGGGAGGGGTTCCCCACAATCCAACACTACCCAATGCCTGACTTTCCACTTACTGGCAGAGGTCACTGGTACAGCTGGCCGAGAAGGGCAGAGGGCTGACATAGGCATGGCAGGCATCAAAGGGGGTCCGCAGCAGTGCTTCACACCGCTCATACACACCCTAGGTGGGGCAGAGGCCAAGAGCTGGGGCTGTGGGGCTGGCAGCAACATGCACAGCTTTCTGACTTCACCAGCCCCACAGGGAATCCCAACTTGGGCTGGAAGAAGAGAGGTAGAAAGAAGAGGGGGGCCATGGGTACCAGCTGCTCTAGGCCCTTGCTGCCAATAGCTTTCAAGAATTGGACAGAAAGCCAACTGCAGCCAGGCAGTTGAACACTCTCCAGGGCTCAGACCTGCATGCTTCCTGGGGTCTGCTGCAGGCATGGTGGGCGAGGCAGGGAAGAAGTTATAAGCCCTGGAGAGTAGTTGGGCGTCTGCTCCTGCCAGCTGTGCACAAATTCAGCCACATCATCAGTCGACTTCCCTGTAGGAGAGAACTAATACAGTCATGAAGGGGTCTGGGCAGGAGGAACGGAGGGCTCTGAGTGAAGGGATGGGTAAGCTGTTTAGAAGACTCCAGCCTCTTGAGTTCCCAACAAGAAAAGCTGTTTGGTTGTGATCATCAGTAATGCTCAAGAACCTACAGTAGCTCCCTACTGCTCCAAACTCAGAGGTGGCAACACCATGAAATCAAGAGAGGACTGGTGTGTGAGCCCAAACAAATCCCTGCACCTCTCTGAGCCTCACGGTCCCCATGTGCAGAGGAGGAAATAATCCCCAGTGTGATTACTGCAAGAACTGCTTGAGAAAATGCAGTAAAGTGATTGGTACTGTGAATGCTCAAAAGATGCCTCTTCCCTTCTTTCAGACACAGCCACCGTGACCTGGCCCTGAGTTTGTCACTTTTACTTCCTATCACTCCTCCATAGATATCTTCAACTCCAGTGGGGCCCTTTCTCTTCCTGGTGGTCTCCTCTTCCTCCTCCTGCCACTTTGTGGGGTTGATCCCATCTGACAAAATACTCATTTGATCTGCACACAGCTCTGGTTGGAATTCTCATTATGATTTTTAAAATGAGGTAACTGGGGTCCAGAGTACCTGAGAAACTGTATGATCCAAGGCCATACAGTTTTAAAGCAACCCCTGGTATCCCACTGGTTTTTCATGCATGACCATGACCCCAGAGCTCTGACCCAAGTTCCAAGTTCCCTCCCTTTCCTCCCAGTCTGACCTGGTCCTCACCCCCACCAGAGGCCACCCTCCCTGTGCCTTACCATAGCTGGTCACCAGGTCATCCTGAGGGTCAGCATTGTTGTTACCACATAGCCCATGGGTCCAACCCAGGAACTCTGGGCTCATTTTGATGTAGACAGCTGAGACACCATCCCAAGCCAGTGTGAAAGCTGATCGATGGTGCACAATGACATAGCTGGCAAGTTGCTGCAGGTGCACAGCCCCCATCACATGTGGCAGTTGGACCCTGAAGGGCACAATCCAGAGCTTCAGGGTGTCCACACCACCTCCATGACCCCATCCCTTCACCAAAGGGATTCCCTACCCGGTCATCTGAGAGCCCCATATTCCCTCCCCCTGAATTTCCAAGTGCCTGGAAGTGCACCAGTGGAAAGGGATTCTTTTATCTTTTGAAAGTTTTTAAAATTGCAATTTCTCTGGCAGAGAAAAATCTCAGAGTGACTAAATTTTCCAGCTCTTTTATCCAAGACAGAAGAGAGGATATAAGCAGACTTTTACTTTATTTTTTTGGTGAGAAGGGAAGCCAAGAAAGGGAAAATAAAATGGAGGATAAAAAAAGACGTGGAGCTCCAGCACCAAGTTCCCAGTTTCACTAGTACACAGACTCCTAGCTAATCTGGAATTCAGCAATTTTCACTGAAGTGACAATCAGAAAAAGAAACAAAAGTAGTGTCTAATCAAATTCCAGCCCTTAATTTATAGGAGAAGCCCTTGGACTTCAATCTTACTCTCAGCCCCAGAAAACTTGGTACCCAGCTTCCAGATCTGAAGCAAGAGTTAAGGACAGACATCAGTCATTGCAGGAAGAGCTCCTCCAGCAGTGGTTCCTGAAGTGACAATAGACAGTGAGGGAAGGAGAGAACAGCGAGGAAGAGATGTAAGAAAGATTTCAGAGAGGGCCACACTCTGGGGCCATTTAGTGTGGGACAAAGAGAAAAGGGTGCACAGTGTCTCTCTGAGGACATAGGAACTGCATGTGATCCATTATCCATTTAGGAAGATTTGTGTCAAATTGTAAAGATAAAAAAATTAAGCATGTTTACAGTTATAAACTCTCAATTCTCTGGAAAGTTCTTCTATTTTCCTAAGAACTTTCTGTCTAGAAGCCCACAGGGTCTGAGAGTTCCAGAGAATCAGGAGAGATGCATCCTCTGGCAACCTCACTGACTACAAGTCAGCTGACCTGACAATGTGCTTCTGTGGACTTTCTGGTGGAAAATATTGTTTGTCCCCAGAAACAATTTTTTAGGCTTGACAAGGGTGGATGTCTGCTGCCTAGCGTTGCGGGGGACAGCTGAGGCTACAAGGGTCATAATTACCTCACACCTCCATAGGTGACTTCCTTGGTCAGACGGACTTCCTGCTCGCCCACAAGAAACAGGCTGACAGACCTCGAGCACGTGTAGGGGGCAGAGCCGCACTGGGGGTCATTGTGCACCTAATTGGGGGATTGCAGGTTCAGGGGCAGTTTGCAGCTCCTGTCATATGACCTTCTGTTCATTGTTGACCTTCTGCTAATGTGGAATGATTGCTTGACTCATGTGTGCTGAATGCCTTTTTTCTGTGACGTCTCCCAACCCCCACAGCACAACCAAGAGATTGGAGCTGATGGTATGTATTTTAGAGAGAATGCAACTGATATGCAGAGAGAAGAGACTAAGGCCACATGCACATACAACTAGGAAATAGCATAGCCATGTTTCTGATCCAGGTCTGGAAGCTCAGGTTCCAGAGCTTTTTCCTGACCATTGTGCTGTCTCCATGCTTCTGGACTGGTTTATTTATCTTTCCCAGGTTATCCCATCAGATTGCAGGCCAGTGTATGCACTCACACCATCTAACACTCCCACAGAACACAAATGTGCACACCCATACATCTTCCCATATATACTCATAGAACACTTTCAGTGCACACACTAGATACACTCCATTCCCACCAGTTCCCTGACAGGCAGGAACTATCTTCCCTTGCATGCAAGTCCCTCCTGTGCTACTTATTACATACACATCTTCTCTGCCCTCTGCTTCAGACAGAACCCATACTTCAAGACCATAGAAACAGAGGGTAAGGCAGGGATCCCAGAGTTCAGGGAAAAGGCTTGCAAATGTATTCCTGCCCTATGTGGAAACCCTTCCTAGGAATCAGCCTTCTACTAGATTACTGTTAAGTGTGGTTAAGCGGGTAGAAGTGACTTCAACTGAAAGAAAGACCTGCTAAAGTCACCCATGGTCTAATTAAATGTTTTCAAGCATTTTTGGTCATGACTTCCAGAAATAAACATATAAACAAAGTTTTTTTTTAAATCCTAATATTAATGCAGATTAGTTATATATAATATAATCTTTCTCTTTTTTAATCTTTCTCTTTTTTAATGCTGAGTGTGACTCATTAAGTTGATTTTATAACTCATTATTGTGTGGCATTCCATTAGTCTAAGTAATTAAAAACATATCCATTGTGAAATTACCTAGTCTGATGTGTGATATTCCTTAGTCTATCCAGGGAATGACCTCCAGGGCAGTCTTATGATAGGGTGACACTGAGCACTGGCTCTCCCTAAACCTTAATCCTTGGCTGTAACTCAGTACTGACTAGGTACCCTCTGGCACAGCTGGTTCCCCAATAGGTGGACCCAGAGAGGAGCTTGGGAGGTCAGGAAATCCATGATAGCTCCTTAGAGAAGGCAGTTCTAAATTAAGTTACTCAGAACCTCTATCATCTCCTCTGAGGCACCATGTTCTTTCTTATCTCTGGCCCTTAGCATCCCTTGCCTAGGATGCCTATTCTCATGTGTACCCCCACTGTTGTTTCTATTTACTTGACTAATTCCAATTCTTTCTTTAGAGCCAAACTTAAATACCACTCCTACAAGAAGCCTTCCCCAATCATCACCCTTCCCAACATATAAGATTAGTTTCCATGATGAGCTCTGCCTTCTCCATTAACCACATCTGTGTTGTTGTCCTCAGGGCCTCTCACTACCAGACCTTGTGCCCAGAAAAGAGTACTGAATGCATTTAAACACCTGACATACACATGATTAAATGAATGAATGGTTGGGACAACCAGGAAAAATGGGTGATCAAGAACTGTGGAGCCTTCAAGGAGGTGCTGGAGGAGTATTGGGTCAGGAAAGTGGTAACCTCCCTAGGACAAACAGAGCCCAGGCCGGCCCAGCCTCCAAGACCTACTGGAGCCTTTGTGGATACCAGAACAAGGAGGCCTCACCTGGATGGAGAAGCTCTGCCCCTCAGGTTCATGGTGCCCCACCAGTGTGTAGCTGCCCTTCCCAGACAGGTAGTAGTAGAGGCCATCGAATGTCTCCACATGGTGCTGCCCCCATGCCCGGCAGATGTTGTCCCTCTCAGGACCAGCATTGTACACTGAAGCAGGAGAAAGAGAGCTCTATCTGCACAGTGGTGGTGATGACCAGGCTAGAGTCCCATGGGTTCCAGCTCTGGCAAGAACACCCTCATTCCCCAGGCCCAGCACGCCAGGCCTCAGGCCCATAGCTTTCCCTGCACCAATGCTCCTCTAGGGGGTGGAATGGAGTCCAGATTCACCCATTTGGCAGCGTGGTCCAGTGGCATTGAAGCGTCTGCAGTCACAGAAGGCCTGGTGCACACACTCACCCCCATTGAAGCAGGAGAACAAGTCTGCAAAAGAGACACAGAATCATTTCCCCAGGGAGCTGAGACCAGCAGAACCTAGATGCACACCTCCTCACAACAGGTACAGAGCCCAGCCCTCCCAGGCAGCCCCGGAGTTCCTTAGCGCCCTGAATGGGGCCATGGAGGAGGCTCAGATCACAACACTGCTTCCTCCCTGACAGGTAGGCATGGTGGGGTCTCTGAGTCTCTGCATTCAGTAGGCATCAAGTGGCCCCCCAGGCCACCCTGCCTGGGCCTTCAGTTCCCTAAGCTAAATTCCTGGCTAGCAAGCAACACAGTGAAACAGAGAACTTGGAGCGGGTGGAGTGAGTAGGGAGACTGCCTCAAAATCCTCATGTACCTACTGTTCCATAAGGTCAGGGAAAAGGCCAAAGCATGAATTGGGGCAGACAAGACTGAGGCTTCTTGTGGAACACAGTAGTGAGAACAGCCACAGAGAAGAGGAGATAAAGCAGAGCAGAGCGTGGTGAGGGAAGGAGTCAAACACAGGACAGACGAGGGAGGAAGTCACACACACAGGATGTGCGAGTGCAAGGGGAGGCACAAACACAGGACAGGTGAAGGGAGGAAGCATAAGAAACAGGCCAGAAGGAAGGGCAATGCCATAGAAAGTAAGAAGAGGTCACAGAAACAGGGTCAGGTAGGTGGGGGGAACAGCCACTAAACAACCAGGGCCACAGTCCCATGTACAAGATCAGAGAGGAAGGTCTCCTTGGGCAGGAAGGAGAAAGCAGAGTGGCACTAGAGGCCAGGCTAGGGAAGGTGGAAAGAGATCCCAAATAGGGAAGAGGTCATAGGAGGCCTGAGAAAAGCCCCTGACTGTCCTCAGAGGACTGTCTATAGGCCAGGCCATTCCATTGACAGCCTGCTGGTAACAGGAAAGGTGCGACTTACAAGATGGTGCACACTTGGCCCGATGGAGCCGTCTTTCCCAGGAAGACATGGCCATGGAATCCAAAGCTTTGGCCTCCTTTTAGAGACAGAAGGGGGAGGAGAACAATCAAGGTTGACATCAGGACCCTGGATGGCTTTCTCAGAGATCACAGTTCTTATCTGCATCACTGGCAGGGACAGTTTTCCCGTCCCCTTCTCCACCTCTTTGTCAACACCTGAGAGGTACAGATTTTCAGACCTGCCCTAGGCCCAGAGGAGTGAAGTTCTGGCTTTTTCCTCCACAGAGGCATCTGCAGCAAGCTTTTGAAGTCTGCAGACTGAACACACCCTCCCCTCTGTGCCTCAGACCCCACCCTCCCTCCCCAGGAAACTTCCACAGTCCCCCACAACCACTTATCTGGAGAAGAAACCTGAGGCAGAGCTAAGGAACAAAGCAGCTCCTCACCATACCCACCTCACTTGCCCCTGGGGATCTTCCAACAAGGCAAAAATAGTGTCTCACAGATCACCACCCATTGTGCTTGGAACTGGGCTCTTTCTGAGACCACTCAGGGAGGAGTCAGGCAAGGGGAGCAAAGAAACCCTAGTTTCCTGACAAAACTCCCAGCACACAGTCTCTCCAGACACATAACATCTGGAAGGACTGTGATCAGCCACCATACCCTAGATAATATGGACACTTGACTTCTTGGGACTCCAGTCCAAAGGGTTTAATGTCACCTGGAAGTGGGACCCTGACATAGTGGACTCCTCCTCTCAAAGGCTCAACCTCCTCATTAGGTATGGTAAGGACAGAATCCCTGCCCTTGTGGAGACTATATTTTTGTTCACAGGACCAACAAGACATAAGCCACACGGTGATATCTGTCTTCATGTCTTCCTTCCTCATCTGTATCTCCGAGAGCATGGGCCAAACTCCCAGCAAAGGATTTCAAACATAGGGAGCATTCAGAAACTTTTGTCTCTGGAGCCCAGCCTCAGCTCTCTGCCCCTCCTTGGCAGGAAAAGTCTCTCTCCCTCAACCTCTGACACTCATACCCCCTCTCTCTGTCCTTCTGACCCCCTGGGAGGTCGCTATCTTTTGCCACGGTTTTCTGTGTTATCAACCTACTTTGGGCTCTGGTTCCTGGGCTCTTCCAGCAATTCTTAACTAGCCTGAGGCCCAACCCCAGGAGTCAGCTCCCCACCCTGGTAACAATCTATCCTAAGGGCCTTCAGAGACCACAGAAGTAACTGCCACCATCCTTCCACGGCCCCTGGAGAACTCCTAATTAAATTTAGCCTTTGTGTGTCCATACTTCTCCCCCACCTCAGATGTGGCCTCTGAAATTCATGCTGTTATGAGAATAAGACAGCCCCTGCTGCAAAGAGTCCAAGCCATTTTCTGGAGAATTCTTTAAATCCAGTGTGAATGATTAGTCTTCGGGACCAATTGGGGTCCTTTGTTGGGAACCAAAAGCCACAGTCTGACAAGGTCACTGTGGCTGAGCAGCATTCCGACAAGGTCGGAATCTGCAGGTGCACCATGTCTCTATCACGGTGGGAAGGAACGCTAAGTGGTTTCCCTTGACTGAAAAGAAGTTTATACTTAGTCAAGGACATTGGCAGTAAGAATGCAGGGTGGCAAAACAGAAAGATTGTAACTAGGTCAGAGTGTTTTGATGTTTAAGTCTCTTTTGTATAAAGCTTGATGAGAAAAATAAAATTTTGCCAGTTGGTCGTCAGCCTGCTGGCCCTCTTGATATGTGTCTTGCCTGTTCATTCCTTCCCTGAGCCCTTTCGGGTCAAGGACCTCTGCGATCCCAGCAGTCCTTAGTCATGAACCCCTTTGATAATCTAGTGAAATCTACGTGGACACCTTTTCAGAATAGTGTTTTTCAATAATAAAGTAAAGCATAAAATTACAAAGGAAATTATATATATTACAATATAATTATAAAAATACTTTATTGAAAGATGTGCTTTAATATTTATGTTTCTTTATTAACAAATGAAATAAGATCTGGCAGCAGGTCTTGCACAGTTAAAATTTTGAAACAGTAGGAACATAAATGATATCTTGAATATCAACAATAACTGTAAGGTGATAGGAAACTGTGATTTCTGAGGTGACGGTCACAGACACTGCTAATACTCTCATAGATTGTAGCCTACAGTAATCATAATTGACAGGCATACTAAATTTAGTTGGACTGAGGTTCCTGAAAATAACAATGGGCGGGGCATAGTGCCTGTAATCCTAACTACTCAAGAGCCTGAGATTAAGAGGATCCAGGTTCGAGGCCAGTCTGTGCAAAATGTTCACAAGATACCTCTCAACCAATAAAAGCTGGGCATGGTAAGTGTGATCTGTCCTCCTAGCTACCTGGGAAATAGGTCCAAGCTGGCCTGAGCATAAATGCAAGAGCCTACTCAAGGTTTGGAGGTGTGGTCTGCCTCACAACTGTGAATCCCTGAGTTTAAACTCCAGCACCACCGATAAACAAACAAACAAAAAAGGCTGGAGGTGTGGTTCAAGTGGTAGAGCATCTGCCTAGCAAGCATGAGGCTGAGTTTAAATCCCAGTGCTTCCAAAAAAAGAAAAAAGAAAGAAAGAAAAATAATAACTTTTTTTCCCTCATAGACCAGAGAATGGAGAGTGGCTAGACTCTGCAGAGGCAGGCAGCCTTGAAATGAATATTGGTTGGTTATTGGCCTGGGACTCACACCCACTGTCTTACCGATGAGGGCTTTCCAGATAGGAGTCCTTGAAGGGTCCCTGGTACATGGGCCTTAGTCTCCCCTCCAAACACCCCAGAGGAGTGGAACCATTTTGCTCCACAGAGCAATATGAGAAATCTGCCAGTGTTGCCTGGTCCAGATGCTTGGGACCCTTTCCTAAGGAAAAGGCAGAGGGGCTTGCCTATCCAGGATGACAGTGAGGAGGAAGCCTATTTGGGAATGAGATGTTTGGGTGAAGATTGTTTCCCTCATGAAAATGCATGGATTCCTAAAGTCCCATGGGCACTCATGTTACAGAGAGACAGGCCTGGTTCCATCAGGAGACTTCAGTCCACCTGCTCATTGTGGGTCCCAACAAGTCACCCACTTACCTTAGTTTCCTTATCTATAAAAAGAATAACTACATTACCTTTCAACTCAAACTGTGTCTGACTATGATTCTAGAACTTGGAGTCTGGAAAAGTAGGCAAATGAGAAGCAAAATGCCCAATATATTCTCCTTAGTGAAGGAGCATGCTCACCCCACCCCACATCAGCCCACCTTGGGCTTTTGGATCTATTTTTAAAGGGCAAATAGTGGGCACTTATCATTTTCCAATATAAATGATGCTCCCCAATCCACTGACCCCATAGCTTCTCAGAAATTATCCTTGGAGCTGGGGCACATGAGCTGAGCTGGGGAACCTCATCACAAGTAGGCTGAATGTGTAACATACCTATAGTTGTATAAAAAAAAAAAGAGAGAAATGCTGGCCAGGATTAGAAAGCGAATCAAGTCACCTGATTCAGAGACCAAAAGTTGGGCAAAAGGAGAAAACAAATCTGCCACTTCTTCCACTAGTGTGGAGGATCCCAGGAAGGTGGATTTCAGGGAGTGGTCACAACTCAAAGAGTAATAGCTCAGAGCTGTGCTCCTCAGCCAATCCTTCCTCACAACTCCCACCTGGTGGCCCAGTTTTTGTCTCTTCTCTTAGTGCAGCATTCCTGGGGTACTGCACAGGGTACTGAGAGGGGTCTGGGACAGGGTGGAGAGTCTTCATAGGCCAGGCAGGAAAAGAGAACTCCATTCTCCTAAACTCTCACCTGCCTGTTTTCACCTGGGGGAGAGGACAGCTTAACTGTCTCCTGAAAGGTCCTATGCTCATCTCCCCTAAAAAGATAACGAGCTGGTTATAGAGTCCCAAGAAACTTGAAAAGTGGGAATAGAAGTGTTCCACAAATTTGCACACTATGGACCACACCAGGTATCTGTTTGCTCCCTTCTGAATAACTCCAAAGACAGCCCTTCTGTAACCTACAGAGCTTCCTGGCAGCCTCAAACACAGACAGAAATAAGTCCCCTGCCCAAGGAAGTCCCCTTCCCCAGGCCTTTCTTACCTGGCCTCTCATAACTGTTGTGGTATCCCCCACATCAAGGGTCATCTCTTGGTAGCTGTGGCTAGATGAAAAACAAGCTTGGCATGGGTGGCTGGCTAGGAATGGCCATGCCTCCCCCCACCCCAGGCCCAATGCTCCCTACCTGCTAAGCCCCTGGGGTCATCTGTGCCAGGAATAAAGATGGGAGCAGTGGGTGGGGTTGCGGCAGCAATGTACCTACTCACCTAGGTTCTGGGGCTGGCTCAGGCTGCAGCTCTGCACTGGGCGTGGGCACTGTGGCTGGAGAGGGGGATTATTTGCCACTCCAGCTACTCAGCTTTGCTGAAGCCTCCTACCTCCACCTCCCACCTGCTAGGAAGCCTCTCTCACGCCACCATTTCCCAATTCTCTCTCTCCCTGCAGCCTTCTCAGGCTCGTTCTCCAACTCTTTGGTGACCCTTCTGAGACAAGAGTCTCTTTCTTCCCACTCTTTGGGCCCCAGTTTTTCCCGGTTCTCTTCCATATATCCCTTCTACCTGCCCAGTTTAGGACCCTTTTCCCCTCTAGGTGCCAGGCCCACCTCGGTTCTCTTTTGTCTCCCTTCTCCCAGGAAGCTCTCCCTCAGACCTTCTCTCTTTCTTCCCTCCCACACCCCCCTCACTGTTCCCCTACTTGTCCCCTCAGCCCCTGGCCTTCCCAGTCCCTGACGTTGGACCCCCCCAGGGTCGCAGCCTCTGACTCACCCCAGGACAGCCAGACGCAAGCAAGTAGCAAGCAGAGTGCAGGCTCCAACATTCCCATAGGGGAGTGGGAGGGGGGACTGGGATCCCGAGCGCAGGGTCCTGCTCCAAGTGCCTCTCTCCAAAGCCGGATCACACCTCCACTCCACAGTCGCTGTGGCTCTGGCTCTCATGCCCAGTGGCTCCCTTGGGCCCTCCTTTCAGGCGCTTGGCTCCTCCCCAAACGAGAGTGACAGGACAGCTCAGCTCATTACCATAAGTCAGGTGCCTGGCAATGGCCCAGCCTGTGTCTACCCCTCCCAGGGGACCCAGAGTTCAGCTCACTCAGTTTTCACCTCCCCTGGCCACCGCCCAGCCTCCAGCTCCTGATCTGGGTCCTGGAAGCCCCACCAAGGACTAGAGACACTGGTAGGAGTCTAGTCAGTCATAGCCTCTCCTTTTTTTTTTTAATTTTTATTTTATTCATATGTGCATACAATGTTTGGGTCATTTCTCCCCCTTCCCCTCCCCCCACCCCGCTTACCCCCCCTTATCCCTGGCTACCAGGCAGGAGCTATTCTGCCCTTATCTCTAATTTTGTTGAAGAGAGAGTATAAGCAATAATAGGAAGGACCAAGGGTTTTTGCTAGTTGAGATAAGACTAGCTATACAGGGAGTTATACTAGCTATGCACTGATTTCCTGTACATGTGTGTTACCTTCTAAGTTAATTCTTCTTGAACTAACCTTTTCTCTAGTTCCTGGTCCCCTTCTCCTATTGACCTCAGTTGCTTTAAAGTATCTGCTTTAGTTTCTCTGCATTGAGGGCAACAAATGCTATCTAGTTTTTTGAGTGTCTTACCTATCCTCATACCTTCCTTGTGTGTTCTTGCTTTATCACGTGATCCAAGTCCAATTCCCTTTGTGTTTGCCCTTGATCTAATGTCCACATATGAGGGAGAACATACGATTTTTGGTCTTTTGGGCCAGGCTAACCTCACTCAGAATGATGTTCTCCAATTCCATCCATTTACCTGTGAATGATAACATTTCGTTCTTCTTCATGGCTGCATAAAATTCCATTGTGTATAGATACCACATTTTCTTAATCCATTTGTCAGTAGTGGGGCATCTTGGCTGTTTCCATAACTTGGCTATTGTGAATAGTGCTGCAATAAACATGGGTGTGCAGGTGCCTCTGGAGTAACCTGTGTCACAGTCTTTTGGGTATATCCCCAAGAGTGGTATTGCTGGATCAAATGGTAGATCAATGTTTAGATTTTTAAGTAGCCTCCAAATTTTTTTCCAGAGTGTTTGTACTAGTCTACATCCCCACCAACAGTGTGAGAGGGTTACTTTTTCCCCCGCATCCTCACCAACACCTGTTGTTGGTGGTGTTGCTAATGATGGCTCTTCTAAGAGGGGTGAGGTGGAATCTTAGTGCGGTTTTAATTTGCATTTCCTTTATTGCTAGGGATGGTGAACATTTTTTCATGTGTTTTTTTGGCCATTTGAATTTCTTCTTTTGAGAAAGTTCTGTTTAGTTCACTTGCCCATTTCTTTATTGGTTCATTAATTTTGGGAGAATTTAGTTTTTTGAGTTCCCTATATATTCTGATTATCAGTCCTTTGTCTGATGTGTAGCTGGCAAATATTTTCTCCCACTCTGTGGGTGTTCTCTTCAGTTTAGAGGCCATTTCTTTTGTTGAGCAGAAGCTTTTTGGTTTTATGAAGTCCCATTTATCTATGCTATCTCTTAGTTGCTGTGCTGCTGGGGTTTCATTGAGAAAGTTCTTACCTATACCTACTAACTCCAGATTATTTCCTACTCTTTCCTGTATCAACTTTAGAGTTTGTGGTCTGATATTAAGATCCTTGATCCATTTTGAGTTAATCTTGGTATAGGGTGATATACATGGATCTAGTTTCAGTTTTTTGCAGACTGCTAACCAGTTTTCCCAGCAGTTTTTGTTGAAGATAGCCTCTCCTTTTATAGAGAGCCACACTGAAACCTGGGACACACCACCCATTGCTCAGTGGTCAGTAACAGAGCCAGGGCTCAGGTCTGCAAACCTAGTGGGTGCTCAGGCCTTAGTCCTCTAAATGCCAGCACTGGCTCAGGAAATGTTGACTGAATGACAGAGGTGCCTTAGACTCACATATCATTGCCCTTATCAAGGCTAGACTTGGCTAAAAACTTTTTTTTTGGGGGGTGGGTGTTTTTGAACAAATTGTACTCTGCCCAAAAGGAATTTTTAAATGGTGAAAGGTGGGCCTGGGAGTCTTGGGAACTTGTGCCAGCATTTAAGGAACACCAACTGAATGCAAGGCCTTGCAGATAATTATGATGAGGGAGAGAAAGAGGAGGAGGAGGAGGAGAAGATTGGACCCATCACACCCCTGGGTGGTTTGGGATGTTTTCATTCACTTAACAAATTGACTGAGCATCTGTTTTGTGCCATGCACTGATATAGTCATATGATGGACCTCACAGCAGGAATCCGAAGCTACAGACAAAAGGGAGGGTCAAGGATGGGGTTTTACCGAACATTAGTTAAGGAATGGGCAGGGTGGTCTCAGAGGAAACTTGAGAAGAGACATTCACAGAGAGTAGAATAAGGACTTTGCTGTCCTCAAAACTAAGCTGGGAGCATGTTAAAAGGAGGAGTTTTTGAGCTGTGGCCTGGGTGGTCATGGACTGCATTCTTTTGAGTTAGGGCATTCCCTGCTCTCCCTGGACTCTATAAAATATTCTACATGAAATAAACAGCCATGTGATACACTTAGGAAATGTGGAGAATCAAGGATGTAAGTTGGAGGGGAAATACATCATGTGTAGTCTTCTCTGGACTATTGAAAATCTCAGAAATCTTTCTCTTAATCTCCAAATTAACTTGTTAATACAAAAGTGAGGACATGGAAAACATTTTAAGGTTCTTCCTCAGGAGGGATTTACATCTTAAACTAGGTAATAATTTAGCCCACAGAAAATAGCCTGCTGGCAAAACTTTATGTACTGGGAGAGGGGTCCTCGATATGTCAATAAAATTGCATCTGTAAGCGGATGGATACCTGATTTGAGCCACTTCCATTTCCTTGCCTCTGTCCCGACACAATTCGAAAAGGTCAGGAGCCTACTTAGGGTTAAGTTCAAGCATAAATTAACAAGCCCCTACCCACACTTGTTTATCACCCCTCCCCTGGCTTCCTCTTTCCTCTCAGTCTGAACAGGAAGATCTGGGTAAAGGTCAACCATAAATCAGGGTGTCACTGCCAGGCCCTTCCAAGCTTCAGTGAAGCTTGTGTGTGTGTGTGTGTGTGTGTGTGTGTGCTTTGGTTCAGACCCCTGTGGTCCACTACAAGGCCCCGCCACCCAGGAGTTCACAGATCAAGGACTGATTTCTTCCTAGTGGAAAAAATGTTTGCAAAAAGTCACTGTGGAATGTACCTCAGTGTGAGATATGCGGCCAGGGTCCAGCTCAGGATGGCAGATGAGCCTCTATTGGTGTGTCCAGAGAAAACTGACTAGATTACTCCGCCTTTTACCCACCTAGGTGAAGAGTCACCGAAACTTTATATTCGCAACCCACAATAAAGTCCCAAACATCCTCCCCCACATCTCAACTGTCCTCTTCTTCAACCATGCCCAACTACTGCCATCACCCTTTTGCTCCCGGAGCTTCAATGGGAGGCGACGCCTTAGGGCAGATGTCTCTTACCTCCCAGTGACTCCGCCCCGCCTCCTCCCAGGCCCCGCCCCACCGCCCCTGGCCCCGCCCCTAGTCCCTGACCGGTCTGGCAGGTCACGGTCGCCGCTCTGGCCAGCTCCCAGCAGCCGGCCACCAAAGGAGCGGGTCGTGCAGCGACGCGGCTCGATCAGGCTCAGCCATGGACCGGAAAGTGGCCCGAGAATTCCGGCACAAGGTCAGAGCTGCGAGGGGCGCCCCAAAGAACCGGGACTGTAGAGTTCCTGGCAGGGTGGGAGGGGGATGGACAACCTCGGCGCTACCTTCTCTTTTCCAACCAGGGCTAAGGGCTTCTGGGTGAGCTGGGACCCCGGAGGGTGGAGCGTCGTTTGGCTGCCAGCCCTGAGGGCGGGGGCACTGGGAGTCCAGGTGTAGGAGCTGCTAAACTGATCCATCTCCAGGAAATGTCCTTTCTCCCTCTGCCCTGCAGGGCCTGGTAACTCTTTGGGGCTGAGATTCCTTCCAGCCCTAGTCAGAGACCAGACACTTTCTCTGAGGTGCCCCGCAATGGGCAAACCCCTCCCTCCTAGTTTCCCCAGCCCAGAACTGCTGGAACCTGTGGGCGCAAAGAGCCTGGAATGGTGCCTAAGAGGCAAGGGTTGGGGAAGGGAAATTGACCCTCTCCCTGCCCTTTGACCTGGAAAGATGAGACACTAGCATCTCAGGGAGACCCCTACGTGCCCAAGAGCATTTCTTGGGGCCTGAGGGGCAACCTCAAAACTGATACAGCCAGGCAGCCTCATCTCCTCAGGTGTGTCCCCATGAGCGGCCTCACCGAGGGCCTCCAAGACTTTCACTGGAAGCTGTGGACTCACCCAGGATGTTTCCAGAACTGCTCTCAAAGCTGCACAGGATCTGATGAGATCCTGAGGCCAGAGAAAGCCATTGAGGGGACCCAGGGAGTGGACCTCCCCACCAGGCTTTTGGACCAGGGTAAAGCCAGGAGTGTTGGGAGCTACCCACAGGCCCTGCCCAAAGGGTGATCAACTGTGTGCCCTGGGGCCATCCCAGAGCCCCAGGTGAGCAGTGTCTTTAGGCCAAGCCAAACCCCTTCCCAGTCTGAGGGGCAGAGTTCATGAGGCAAGGTCAATGTGATTCTCCCCTCCCTCCCACAGAGAAGCCAAGAGGAACCCAGGAGACCACAGGGGCACTGGCCAGGTGCATGGGCACAGTGGTTGGGGGGTCAACCGCTCATTTAATACATGTTTTGATCTGTGCCAGATCCAATCTGTGCCCTCAAATCACTAGTCTTGTGGGTAGGAGGCAAACCCTATACTAGTAGTTCCCATGGCTGGGCATAGAGTGTTGGGGCCAAGGTTGTGCCCCTGTCTGGCACAATGGGACAGTTCACACTGGCAGGAGTTTCCTAAAAACAAGGCCTCAGGCATCCCTGATCCTGCTCCCAGGGATAAGAGACAGCTGGAAGTTCAGCAGGAGTTGGGGGTGGGGGTGGGGCTGTTGAATATCAAAGAAAGCATTTAGCAGGGTTCACCAGTACAGCAGAGGGATGGGTAGGGAGAAATTTAAGCTCCTGAGGACATTTGGTGAGTGTAGATTTCAAGCAACACACTTTGAAGGAACTCAATCTCCCCTCCCCTCCACCAGCTTGAATTTCACTTTCCTGCCCTTGGGCTAGGGCAATGTCAGGGTTTCTTTTGTGTTCCTCCTCTTGGGGTACCTACTCTTTAACTCTTGAGAGAATCATCTACAGACATCCCTGATGTCTAACTTAACTCCAGATTCACCCTGTTCCTCCTCCCCAGGCCCCAGCAAGCTCCAAAGGGCCTCTGTGTTTCCACTGCCCTGCTCATCCTCATCCCAAGAGTCATTACCTATTAATGCCTCTGTGTGTGTAGGCAGAGCAGGTGCTGTGCAAGGCAAGGCCCAGGGCTGGACTTTGTGACCTGCTGCCTTGGAGACAGCAACAGCCTTCCCCTCCCAGGCTGGGGAGGAGAGAGGGTGAAGCAGCAGAGGATAGAGATGGGGTGTATTAGCCATGCTGCATGGAATTTACACCTTGTCATTGATTGCTTTCTAGAAGTCTCTTTCTCTGCATTTTTTGGAGCAAATTTACCACATGGGCAATGGTTTGTAATCTTAGTTCCTGGAGGTAGTATTCAAAATAATGTGCTGTTAGTGGATAGTGCTGGGTGGCCTTGGGCAATTTACTTACCCTCTGTGGCTTGGATGACCTAACAAGGTTATTATGAACGCTGAGTGAGATCTGTGCATGTGTAGGGGGCTTAAATAGACTCTGACACTCAGGGAGTCCTCAGCAAATGTGCATGGAGGTTTATTATCTGGAATTAGACAGAACTAGGGTCAAATATCAACCCTGTCATTCACTGTCAGTGAGACCTTCAGCAAGCCATTTAATCTGTCTGAACTTTAGTTTCCCCAGCCATGAGACAGAGTTTGTGGTGTTTTGAGCCGGTCAGAATTAAATAGGAATTCAAGCATTGGCGGCTCTGGGCCCCTAGTGACCCTGCCAGTCCCTGCCAGTGCCTGCAATGTCCTGTTGGTGAGCAAAGGGCTCTGGGCATCGCTCCTGGGGGCTTCTGTGTTTCCCTAAGGCCACCAGCAGCACTTGCTCTTCCCAGTGATGGGGAACAGTGTTGGGCCAGATGGACTGCAGGCACATGATGGAAGACTGAGTTCTCTCCCCCAGAGAACCAGCTTTTCAGAACGGCGTCCCCTCTCACAGCACCCACATGTCACAGGAACTTGGTTACTCATTTGCTCAGAAAGTGTTTATTGCCTCTTCAGCAATCATGTGAATTGTGGCCCTGGTGCACCCTGCCCAACACCAGGCAACTGAGGGTGCGGTAGGATGAATAAGATCAGAAAGAGACCCCACCTCCCAGGGATTTGCTAATCACTCACTCATTCATTCATGCATGAGTCCAACCAATGTGGACTGAGCTCCAGGCAGTATTCTAAGCACTGATGAGCAAGGCAAAGCTCTGCCCTCTTAGAGAGCACATCCCAGTGTGGAAAACAGACAGTTAACAAGGAAACCACTAAAGTATCACATGATACTAAGTAGTGATAAAAGCTATGGGAAAAATAAGCTGGACTGAGGGATAAACTAACAGGTGGCACTTTATATAGGGTCATCAGGAAGGCCTCTCTTAAAAAGGTGTCATTTGAGCAGACACCTGGAAGAAGAAAGGAGGAGCCATGGGGTATATGTGGAAGAGCATTCTAGGAAGAAGGAACAGAAAGTGCAAAGGCCCTGAGGCAAACATATGTTTGCTGCGTTTACAAATAGCATATAGGACAATGTGTCTGAAAGGAATTGTGGAGTGGAGAATAAAAGGGGAATAGGAGGTGAGGGGCCTGTAGAAGGTCAAGATTTTGAGTTTTGTTCTAAGGGTAATGAGAAGCCAGCAGCAGGGTGATTTTAAAGGGCTCTGCTGTCTGCTCTGTAGAGATGGAAAGACCAGATAGGAGTGGAAGGAGAACTCCAGTCAGGAGTCTCGCATACTAGCCTGGGCTAAAGAGCAGAGCTTGGACTAAGGGGACAGGGAGTCAGACTTGGGACCGAGCTTTGCTGGAGGTTGGCTGTGGTATGGAGAGAGGCAGCAGATGAGTCCATGTGCTGGGAGAAGCAGGTTGGTGGGGACACAGCAGGAAGTGATGGAGTGCAGAGGCCATTTGGGGTGTTTGAGGTTTGAGATGCCCTGGTGGAAAGGTGACTAAGAGGCTGGTGGCTGTAGGAGACTGGAGATGAGCACTGAGTAGTCACAGGGGCATTTAAAGCCCTGGGACTGATGAGGTCACTTTGAGAGAGAGTGAATGTGGGGAGAAGGCCCAGGACAGAGCCTGGCCCTAGCTTTGGGAGGAGGGAAGGGAGAAGGAAACCCAGAAGGAGAAGCTGGTGGCTGGGCCAAGCCTGGGGTCAAATGCTACAAACCAGCTGGCAAGACACAACTTCTTGAGGAGATGAAGGATGTGACCTTGATGGTGGTGACGATTTCACAGGTGTGTTTATCCCCAGACTCCCCAAGTCCTACACATTAAGTGTGTACAGCTTTTTACATGTCAATCATGCAGCAAGAAAGTGGCTTTTTAAAAAAGAAAGAAAAGATGAAGGATAATAAAGCACGAGTGAAATAAACCCAGTACAGACTGGAATGCACAATGAGGAAGTGTGGCTGGATCTGTCCGTCCCACCCACTCACTGCCTGTGCCAACGATATGGAATGCATTTACTCCTACCTAGTTTGATTAACAACACATAGGCACTGTTCTAAACTCTTCTTAATTGTTAACTCATTGAATTAATAATGAAAACAATTATTCATCTCTCATAAAAGGATTAAATCCTATATTTTAAAAAGGAGACAGGCCAGGGAGAATGGCTTGTGCCTGTAATCCTAGCTATTCAGGAAGCATAGGTAGGAGGATCATGGTCTCAGGCCAGCCTGGACAAAATAATGAGATACTATCTGAAAAATAACCTAAAGGAAAAAGGCAGGAGGTGCGGCTCAAGTGGTAGGGAGCCTGCCTAGCAAGCACAAGGCCCTGAGTTCAAACACCAGTACTGCTCCCTGCAAAGGAGACTTGTATGCCCATTGTACAGATGAGAAAACTGAAGCACAGAGAGGAACCAATCCAATGAGGAGCTTGTTGGTCCTGCCTCCCACTCCCAGGCCTGTGTCTGGGCCTCACATGGGTTTGGGCGAGGCTGCCGGGTAAAGAGAGAAAATCCAGCACAACTTAGGCGGAGACAAAGCCCTGTGTGTGTATAGAGAATGATAGGACAGAAGCCTGAGGAAAGTGTGGTCCAAGAAGAGGTGACACTTGGGGTGAATTTTAAGGGTGGAGGGAGAGTGCATAGAGAGGAGGAAATGAATGCTGTGGGTACCACAACTGCTTGAGGCTGACACATACTAGCCAGGGTCACAGCAGGAAGCAGGAGGCTCATCCAAAGAGGACAGCAAAGGGAGCCTTACGAAGGGCGGTAGGAGAGGGCAGGGACATAAGCACAGACAAGGCTTGGTGATGCACTTGGAACCAGTAGCAGGGAGTGCCTGCAGAAGGAGGGCCACCAGCACAGGGGAGAGCCAAGGGTATGGGGTCCCCTCAGGTAGAGGAACCTGCCTAAGGTGGCCCTGCAGGAGGTTAAGCCTCAGTTTTTTCTCCTCCCGTGCTCTCCACTGGCTGATGCAGAAGGCATGGGACCCTGGCAAAGCCCCCACCCCAGGACAAAGGGCCAGAGGAGGCTGGGGGTGTGAAAGGAAAAAACACAACACACATTTTGGAGCCTGTGCCAAGTGCTTTCCATACATCACCCATTTAAACTCTACTACAACCCAAGGAGGGCGCACCGAGTGGAACAATATGCACTATTTAATTTGTTCTCGCTCTCTTTCTCTCTTTGGCTAGGTGTGCGTATAAAGTCAGATGTTGTGTGGTTCCTCTGGGCAGCTGTCCTGAATGGCCAACCCCGTGGGGGTTACCAGGAGATGGGGCTTGAAAGGTGCCAAGGTCAAACCTGGATTTTGCCCCCGATGTCCCAAGCAAAGGGCCTAAACATGGTGAGGGCAGAGGTGCTCCCTCCCACCCCACAAGTACCCATAACACAGGGCCAGGGAGCATCAGCCAGTGAAAACTGGTAAAGCTGGGTAGAGATGGGGGTAATGGTGTGATAGAGACCCCCAAAGGTTTCCTATGAGTTCCGTTAGTGTACCCTACATCAACAGGGAACCAAGCAAAGGAAAAGCTTTCTGAATCCAGTTGAAGAAAGAAAACTGGTGTCTTGCACACAGTAGATGCTCAATAAATGTGTATTGGAAAATACATACAAAAGAGTTAAATATGGTAAGTGGATACCACGTTGTGGATTGAGAAAAAGCAGAGGTTTCAAAGCCGGCAGGCATAGGTTGGAGTCCCCGAGCCTCTACTTCCTCATCTGTATAATGGGGATAATGATAGCCACCTGAGAGCTGTTAGCAGATGAAAGGTAATACATGTGAAACTCCTCAGACATGACAGCCATCAGTATGCAGACTGTACCTTGATGAGCAAGCAGACAAGAAGAGCCACAGGAGGGAGGCAGGCAAGGCGGCTGATTCGTCACTTAGATTCACATCTAAAGAGCAGTCCACTAAACCAGATCTACTCTCCCAACCGTTCGGTGTATAGATGAGTTTTTGGATGGATGAGTTGGCCATGGACGTAGAGCAGATGCTCTAAGGGAAGCCAGGAAGTTTCCAGTGTGTCAGGGGAGGGCTTTGTCCATCTGCAGCCTCCGAGTCCTCCATGTATGGTAGGCAGGTTTGAGTGGCCTCAGTGGTGAGGGGTGATGGACATGAGGCTGGGAGCTGAACCCTGCAGCTGCCTCTCAAGGGCACTGGTAAGATGCAGTTGCCAGATGGGAACCCTGGATGTAGTGGTCAGCACTGAAGGGCTGTCCACAAAGGCCAGGTGCCTGGGACCCCCCCAGAAGCATGTTCTTTTCTACAAAGACCATCTCTTATGCTTGGCCCAGGGAAGGCAGACAACCAGAATCCTAGACCCCAAATTCCCCTAGTTTTCAATCTCAGCTTTCTACCCTACTTTCTAAATACCGTCTGCTGACGTCAGTAGATGACACTTAAACCTAAGGGTACAACAGGTGTAGTTCCGAAAGGAGGGACGGAGGGAACTTCAGTCCTAAGGCCTCAGGCAAGAGGAGAAGTCTTCTCCCGTCCTCTTCCTCCAGTCACCACCCACAGCTAGAGGTTGAGTAGAAGGCCTTTGGTCAGGGTGTCCTTATTCCAACCGCGCACATGGGATTTTTATGCTCCTCGTACAGACCCAAGCGTTTGGCTTCAAAACATCCTTTAAAAGATGTTCTGCGACTGGAGGTGTGGCTCAAGAGGTAGAGTGCCTGCCTAGCAAGCAGAAGGCCCTGAGTATCACCCCACATACACAAAAAAGATGTTCTGAAGCTGAGTGTGGTGGTACACACCTGTAATTCCAGCACTTGGGAGGCTGAGGTAGGAGGATTACAAGTTCAAGGCCAGCCTGGGCTACATGGCGAGACCCTCTTTGAAAAAAAAAAAAAAAACACAAAGAAGATGTTCTGTTTTCTTTCTCATTATGAACCAAACCAAATGTTTTCTTTTTTTTTTTTTTTTGTTCATTCATTCTTTTTCTTTTTCTGTGATGCTGGAAATGGAACCCAGACCCCCATGCATGCCAGGCACATACTTTTCCACTGAACTACATCCAGACCGCCAAAAGGTTTTCTCGACAGTGTAGAGGAGAGAACGAAGGATTAGAGATATCGCAAAAGCAAAGGGTTGGGATTTCTGGCCTGAAGGGGCCTTGGAGTTACTTCCCTGAGAGGCCTGAGTCATGCAGGGTAGATGTGGGAAAGCACCCAGAGCTTAGGTCTAGTGTCAGACCTGGGTTCAAGTCTTACTCTGCTTATGAGCTGTGGGGCCTCTGGTGAGGCAATTCTTCTTACAAAACCATGTAAGACTATGGGCCTCATAGGCTGGTGGGATGAAAATATGGGACACTGTCCATGAAAAGCTCCTGGTGCCATAGTGAGGAGGGCCCCTGGGGACTTTGCAAAGACCCTGCTGTCCCCATTGCTCCTTCCAGTGGCACTGCATGGGCATACCAGAAGACGGGACAAATCCACTCAATACTTGGTCATCGAACACTTACTGTGTTGGGCATGAGGGATTTGGAGCAAAACAGACCTCATCTTTCCCTTCATGGGTCTTTTTAGCAAAGAAGATAGAAAAAAAATTACAAACTCTTAAGTAATGCAATGGCAGAACTGAAACATCTTTGGGAGGGTTCTGTTTAGGTAAGTAGGCAGGGAAGACCTCTCTGAAAGGATGCCGCTATTCAGGGAGGGGAGAAACAGAGGCTCAGCATACACAAAGACCCTGGGGCTAGAAAGATTCTGTGAAAGAAACTGCAAGGAGCCCCACACAGTCAGGAAAAGTGGTAGGAGAGGAGGCAGGACTTGGATTAGTCAAGATAAAGATTTGGGATTTGGCTTTGGCTGTAAGTACAACAAGAAGCTATGAAGTAAGTGACATTATCTAGCTTATCATGGTATTTCTGGCCCTGGTCCTAGGAGAGTTCAGATTTTTCTCTGCTGTGACTCCTGTATCCTGGGCAGCCCAGACCTGGCAGAGTGAGGTCCCCAGTCCTCTCTCAGATGCCAGGGCAGAGCAGGTACAGAGAGCCTAGGTTGTGGGCAGCTCTGGGAACAGCTGATGCTGTGAGTCATGGAGAGCAGCCTTCTTCCATGAGCCAGCCTGATTTCAAGGGAAAGAGGGACTGCTAGGTCAAGACTGGAAATGTGCACTCTGCTCGGGCTAGAAATCCCCAGGGCTGGGCCCCACAGGTCCTCTCCGTGTTGGAGCAGACAGACTATCCCTGGTCTTCCAGACCTGGAGCTATCCACAGGAGCCAAGGCTGCCCCAGTCTCGCTGTGAGTACCAGACAGGTGAGAGTTCAAAGCTTCCACAGCAGCTTGTGGTGAAGGGCTGAGACTGGGACCATACTGTGGTGCCAATAAGCTGGAGGAGGGAGCAACACAGTGATTCTTCCAGCATCCACCTTGCCCTGCTACTCAGTCTTGAGCTGAAGAGAGAGCCCATAAAGATTCTCTCTGAGATATCCCAGAGAGTAAAATTTAGGGCTCTTGCTTTAACAGCTCCCTGGGAATTGAGGTACTAATGAAACAGCTCCTGAACCTGACCTTGGAGTCCCAGCCATTGACGTCAGCAAAGTTGAAATGATGTAACCTGACCCTCCTCCTGCGGGGGGGACAGGAAGGGACCTGGGGAGGGACAAGGAGTGGCTAGGAAGCTGACTAGTAGATAGGACTTAGGACATCCTATCTTAGGCCAGGACGGACAGGGCAGAGTTCCCCTGGCATAGGAGTCATAGAATTTAGTGGTAGGCTGCTTCCGGTGGGTGGGATGTGCTATCTGAGCGAGTGGCCCAAATCCTTTCTGAAAGCATTTATTCGGCATTACAGTCACCATCAGGTAAGACAGTGGGCTTCTTTCAGACACAGGTGACAAAGCCACAGGTAAGTGACAGCAGTGATGTCACTGTCACATGAGGGTCACATGTACACATATGTGTGTACATCCCTGTGTGTGTGTGTGCAAATCTCACTCTATCTGAGGACGAGGCTCAGCCTGGCTACACTGGATGTGCAGAAGGTCTCCTGGGCCATACCAGGGTGCTCTGTACAGGTCTGATACACTTGAGAGCCTGGTCCCTGTCTTCCCACCTCTTCTTGCAACCTCAGCCTAGGAAGCTGTTGGGGAGGTTCTGCTGAGCACCTCTCTTCCCTGGGTTTGCTGTAGGCACAATAGGTCTGGAGCTGTAATTATGCACATGGGTTTTCCAGGTGGATTTTCTGATTGAAAATGACGCGGAAAAGGACTATCTCTATGACGTGCTGCGGATGTACCACCAGTAAGTGTGCTGGGCCCAGCTCTCACAGTCCATCCATAGGGATGCCTCTGTGTTCAGGGAGTCTAGGGGTGGGGTTGTTCTGAGACAGAGGAGCTCAGGGCAGCACATGCTCTGTATTCCTGGGACTCCATGGCCATGCCATTGACTTGTCACAGCTCCTGCAGCTGTTCACACAAATATTTGTGCTTGGATCTGGGCTAGTGGTCACGGATTCAGTGTGAGCAAGACAGACTGACACCCACCTTCAGGTTGCTCACAGTCTGATGGGTGAAGGCTGTCATGTAGCCAGATGGAGTCAGTAGAATGTGATTGTTGGGATAAAAAAGAAGGCCAGCTGGCCCCAGCCACCACATCAGATGTCTCTGGTCACCCCTTGCTTTTTGACTCATTTGTGGTGTACAGCTCTCAGCTCTACCACTCTCGAAGCACTGAGCAGTAAGATTCACTTTCTTTCCTTGAGTAGCTTATGGCCCGGCGAAGGGAGGTGGACAGACAGTTCAAACGCCAAGAACACTCTAATGGAAAAAGGAAGGGAAAAGCAGGAATGTGTGGAAAGCTTTCACTTCTAGCTACCAGGCAGGGAAGTGCTGAGAAAGCTTGAGCTTTGAAGACAATGAAGGGTAAGGAGGATTTTGCTGGTAGGATATCAGGGAAAGGATTCCAGGATGAGCAATCAGCATCTGCAAAGAGGCCGAGGCATGGGAGTACAGGGGAACTCGAGGGAATGACAGATAACCCAGGGTAGGAGGAGAGGTAGCACTTGGGTTACACAGAGAGCATTCATAGTATCCACAAGGCTAGAAGTTGTGAGGACACAGATCATGGAGGGCCCTGAGCCCACCAAGGAGGCTGGATTGTATTCTCTGGGCAGTAGAGAGCCATAGAAGGGTTTTGAAAAGGGGAATGACTTATACTTGGAGAAGATTAGAGTGAGCAAGTCGGAAGGCAGCTGTAGATGTTGAGGGTCTGAATATGTGAAGGCATGTGTGAGACAGTGTAAGGAAGAATTTCTAGAGCTTAGCAGCAGATCAAAGTGGGAGACATCGTCAACATCTCACACAGTGCTCTGCTGTCTTGAACAATCCTGGAATTCAGAACTGTGTTTAAAATCATGGCTTGATTTCATCTGCAAAATGGGTTAACAACTCCTAACCCATGGACTGGGGTTACAGAAAATCTCTTCCATGGCATGTGGCCCTCAGTTAGGAGTGGGGACCCAACTGGGACATGGCCAGAAGGGAGGCTCCCAGCATTCCTTACCCCCACCCCCAGGACCATGGATGTGGCTGTGCTTGTGGGGGACCTGAAGCTGGTAATCAATGAACCCAGCCGCCTGCCACTGTTTGATGCCATCCGGCCCCTGATCCCGCTGAAGCACCAGGTGGAATATGACCAGCTGACCCCCCGGCGCTCCAGGTGTGGAGGAAAGGCAGGAGTGGGGCAAGGTTTGGGGTGGGTGGGAGGGGTCACCCTGGGACCAACAGAGCCCCTCACTAGCAGGTGAAGCAACACTGGCTATCAGACCCTAGCTGAACCATCACTGACCCCCTACTTCCACCATGGCAGGAAGCTGAAGGAGGTGCGTCTGGACCGACTGCACCCAGAAGGCCTTGGACTCAGCGTGCGTGGTGGCCTTGAGTTTGGCTGTGGGCTCTTCATCTCCCACCTTATCAAAGGTGGCCAGGCAGACAGTGTTGGGCTCCAGGTGAGTGAGTAGATTCCAGGGGAATGGGACCCAGGGCTTCAGACTTCCTGTCTTCCCTCATCTGCTAGACTGTGTGGCACACTGTAGTCACCCATCCTTCTGAGCCTCTAGGAGAGGAAGAGGCTGTTATACTCTGACAGGCATTCACAGGTCCACAGAATCAGGGCACAGGCAATCCTGTTTTCTTGAGTCAAGCTGGGGACCTGGCTGCTGTCTCCTCCCAGCTGCTGTTGCTGTCTTTTCCCTACCTCCCCTACTTCCTGAAGGAGGAGCATGGTCATGTTTGGACACCTGAAGCTTGGTACAGGTTATCTGCAGCAGGGAAAAAAGAAAGCCCCACACAGCAAGATGCTTTAGGGCGTAGACTCTGCAGCTTTGCTGCTCCTTAAGTTGCATGAATTTTGTGAAATGACTTAGCCCTGGGCCTCAGTTTACTTTCCTCATCTGTAAAATGGGATGATGATAAAACGATCTACCTCCTCAGGTTGTAGGAGGAACAAGTGAACTAATATTAAAAAGCGCTTATTACAGTGTGTGACACGTAAGTGTTATATGCTTGGTAAGTCACCAGAGAGAGGGAAATTCACTGAATACCTACGGTGTTCAAGGTAACATGCCCACACTCGTTTCTCACTAGTCATTCCCGTCTTACAGTTAATAGAGGCTCAGAGGCCAGTAAGTGTTAGATCCAAGACTTGAACCTAGATCTCTCTGTGCCTAGCTAGGGACCTCTCTTCAGCACCTAAGGAACCTCTCCCTTGGGGTCCTTGCAGGTCTGTGTCTGTGGTTTTGTCTGTCCAGGTAAAGGAGTGTTTGTTATCATCATCCCAATCAGTGGTCAAGCTACAAGACCATGAGGAGGGGGGTGGGGACGGGAGCTGACAGACATTGCTTTGTTCCCTGTCTCACAGCTCCCAGTGGCGGCTGAAATTTCAACCCTTTCATTATTCCTTTCCTCTGCGGCACATTTTCCAGCCTAGAAACACAGGCAGAGAAGAAAACATAATGAGTTAGCTCCTTTCTTGGCGTCAGCTGGGGCCCTCTCTTTTCCTAGATCGTGTTCTCTTCCTAGGACAAGCGTTTCTCAGCTGTGCCCCATGGCTGGGGGTGGGAGGCCATTTTAATGAAACTCAGACTTTCCCCTTCCTAGCTGCTTCTTGGGCTTGTGAATCATCCATCTTTTCTTGGGCTGACAGGCTCATCTCTCCTTTGTCTCTCTGTCCCTCAGATCGTCATGTCACTGTGGTCCCCACACAAAGGCCCTTTTGCAGAGTTCCACTTGGACTAAGAGGGAGATGGAAGTTAATCCTGCAACCCGAGCAAGGGGCTGGGTGGGAATCATTCTAATGAGGTCCTGGGTGAGTTCCCTTTAGGAAAAAGACAGAGAACTCCACTCAAAGGAGCTTGGGGGAAAAATGGCTGCATTCTTTGATCTATCTGGGATTCAAGTTTCTCATGGCTTAAACACTGGGGAGAAGATTCTGGAAGGCAGGGGTGGGGCAAGTTCACACACAACTTGGCTGGATTAAAGATACTGTGCTGATTTGTCCTATGAGGCATCCTGGGCTCAGACCCTCCAATAGGACCTGGGTCCCTCTGCTCTTGTCCTCACCTGGATACTTCAGTTTTTCTTCAAGTCTATTCTGTCCTCTGCCCTGTGTAGGGCAGCCTGTACTTGCTCTATGTTCTAGGCCTAGAAAATGACCCTCTTGTGCCTTTATTGTCCCAGCTATAAAATGGACAAAGTTTTCTCTGCCTTCCTATGGTTCTTGAAGGCTCTGGCAGGTTATACGGATCCAGAGGGGGCAAGATGCAGGGAATTGCAGCCAGGCTTGGCCACATGCCCTTCTTTTTTGCTTCCAGACACCCAAGAGACAATGCTTGTTGTTGTCTGTCAGGGAGATCTGACTACAAATCCCAGCAGCCCTGTTTACTGACTGGTGTCCTCGAACAAGTCACTTCACTTCTCTCAGCCTCCGTTTCCTCATCTGATTCACAGAGGCACAAATTCCTGCCTTGTAGAGTTGTTGCTAAAAATAGGTGCAAAGAGCTAGTCCAGCTGTTTTCCTTGAATTCAGTGTTTCCAGAATCCTAGAGAGTTCTTTAGCAAGCCCCTCTCTATTGTGACTTTTTGAGCCCCTCAAAACTTTCTTCAGGACCCTGAGAAGACTGGGTGGGGTCTGCATCCTGGAGAGAGCAAGAGATGTTCTTGGCCATAGTAAGAGATGACTGTAGGAGCATTGTAGGCTAGGATTTGGTCTGGAGGACCCTTCAGAGGCTGTGTGCCCCCTCTCCAGAGTCTAGCTTGTGTCCTTCGCATGTACCAGCAAGTCTCCAAGAACCAGCATATGTGGTTTGAATTAAATGCCCATCTGGCTTGCACTGGCCTCTGACTGAAGAGGGCACCTAGATCCAGTTTCTGTTTTGCAGTAACTGCCTGTGTGACCTTGGACATGACACCACCTCCCTGGCCTCTGTCTCCCCTGATACTGGAGGGTCCTTCAGCTCTGTGGTTATTCCACAATGAGCTTCAGAGCTGATCCCCAGGGCAGAAGTCCTTGGAGGAGGGAGCAGCAGTGTCCAGCAGGGGGCAGTCTCACCACAGTCTGTATCTATGGCTGGCCTTGGCACTGGGCCCCACAGGCCCTTATCTCCCAGTCAGCTGTGGCCTAAGCTCTGAGAAGAAGAATCTGAGCAGAGTACTGAGGGCTCAGGCTTAACTAATGATGACAATAGCAACCATTTATTGAGCACTAGCTGTGTGCTAGACTCTGGTCGTTCTTACCTGAACAAGTTTACTTAATTCTCACAGCAACCACATTATCCCCTGTTTAACAGATGAGGGAAAGTGAGGTTCAGAGAGTTCAAGAGATTTGCCTCAGTTATATAGCTAATAATAAAAGCAGGTATTTGAACCCAGGACACTGGAAGCAAGTGTATTGATACACCGTTCTTTGCATGCTCCTAGAATAGGAATTCAGAAGTTAGGACCACAGCAGAGTTAAAATGTTTAAGTTTCCCTCAAATGGAAAAAAAGAGATTATGTGTTTGTGTTGATGAAGTGAGCTTGGGTCATGAGTCATAGGTCCCCACCCCGTCTCAGTTACAGTGTTGGAGTAATTAACATAGACAGGGCACCTGCCACTCAGGGGTGGAGTGGGACAAAGGCCAGGCAGGGCTGTTTGGAGCTGGGTAAAGGATTTGCATGGATTCCAGAACCTGATGGTGTCCCAATAAGGTGAAAAGGGCACCCTTTTGGGTGAGGGAACAGAGTCCTAAATCCTACTCTAGTTTTGCTCCCACTGTGTACCTTACCCTCCTTCTTGGTTTCCCCATCTGTAAAATGGGATAGAAAGACTGCTTGGAAGTGCCACTTGCCCTGGGGTCCCTCATGCTGGTGGAGGTTGGGTTGGCTGGGACAAGGTAGTAGGACACATATCAAGATTTTTTCCTGGGGACGGTATGGCAATCAGTCCCTTCTCTGAAGAGCAGGCCAGGAGTTTCTGGTGGGCCTGCCGCATTGCCTGATGTTCCCTTTCCCTGGTGCCGGTCCTTCTCTCTGTGACCAAGGTAGGGGATGAGATCGTCCGGATCAATGGATATTCCATCTCCTCCTGCACACATGAGGAGGTCATCAATCTCATCCGCACCAAGAAGACTGTGTCTATCAAAGTGAGACGTGAGTGAGGCCAGTGGGCCTGGGGCTTGGTGGCAAGGGTGGGGGTGGGCTGTAGAGGTGCCTAGCCCCACGGGTAGTGGAGCCATCCTAACTCCAGTGTCTTTCTCCCACAGACATCGGCCTGATCCCTGTGAAGAGGTGAGCAGGACCCTCCTTTACAGCAGCCTTTTCCCATGGGTCCCTGGGTCCTGGAATCAGCCCTGGGGTCTGGCTTTCTGTCATCTCCTAGGCCAGTGCCACTCCTGAGCAAGTGGAGGCAAAGGTTCCAGGTGTGGCAGATCTGGACTTAGGGCCTGGGCCTTCAAACATCTCTTACTAACAACTTCCTTTCTATTTTTCTGTTCCATCAGTTCTCCTGATGAGCCCCTCAAATGGCAGTATGTGGATCAATTTGTGTCGGAATCTGGGGTAAGGGCCATACCACCTGTGATGGGTAGGAGGGAAACTGGTCTTAAAGGGAAGGATTGCTCTGGAGATATATCCTTATGGGTTTCTCACAGTCCCCCAGCACAGCCAGAATGCCCCTGTGGGTGGTGGGCCCTCAGCTAGTGCAGACCCCCGGGGACAGGGTGGCCTTGTATGAATTTGAGAGGGTTCATAAACTCAAGAGGCTACTTATCTGCATGTGGATACCCAGGAACTCTGCTTCTGTCTCTCTTCCAGGGTGGGCGGGGCAGCCTGGACTCCTCTGGGAGTCGGACAAGCAAGGAGAAGAAAGTCTTCATCAGCCTGGTGGGCTCCCGGGGCCTTGGCTGCAGGTGGGTGGTAGGCACACCTGGGCCTCTGACATGACCAACAGACCCCAGCAGGCCTCTGCTGCCTCTCCCCTTCCTCACTGCTGATTCTGAGGACACTTGTCCGCCCGTGATAGGACTCGTGCATAGGTGATAACACTTTTTGGTGCCTGATTTCTCCTCTGAGATTCATAAGCACCCTGTAGGGTCAGAGGGGCAGTGCTAACAGTTTCCATTTCATGGGTGAGGAAATTGAGAACCAGAGACAGAGTCACATTCCTTGGATAAGCCCTTGAGTCACTGCATAAGGATGCTATCCTTTGTTCATCTCTGTCACAGTTCCCTTGTCACCAGTTACCTTGCTACCAGTTACTTCCTTAACAGGTAGCCAGAGAATTCTAAACAGGTGTGGGGCCACACAAGGACTTCTTGTTAAGTATGCAGGTGCCACAGCCACTCAGATGTCACTTCCAGCCCTGCTGTGCCATGCATGAGCTGTAACACCTTGGAATTACACAACCACTCAGCTTCAGTTTTTTTCCTCTATAAATGGGGAATAATAATACCCATCTCTAGGTTGTTGTAAGAAAAGTAAAATACCAAGCAAGTACCTGGCAAGCAGCAAGTACTTGGTAAATGTTAGCTATTATTATGTAAGTTACTCTTATTCTTTCCTTTCATTCGCATTTATCTAACATTATTATAATTGATTTTTTAAAAAGTCCCTCCTTTCTGGGAGATGGCAGCCTAATATAGAAGCCAACTACACAAATAGTTACAACATAGGGCGACAAGGATTCTGATGAAACTACATCCCGAGTCAGGGGTGACAAATAGGTTTCCTGTCTGTGTCATCTCTAATCAATTAGTCATGGCTGCCTGTAGCACTGTTCTGTAAGGGATTCTAAGATTGCATCCAGCTTGCTGGGAAATTGTGCTGTGACTGATTAGTGATGTCTGCCACAGATCTAGAAGGGGAGATTAACAGTATGAGTGCCATTCTTGCTTTAGATGTTTTAGGACCACTGAGAAGGGAGAGACTAGCTTAATCTTGGGATAGAATACAGGGTCTGGTGAAAATCTTATAGAGGAGTTAACACTTGAGTTGTAAGGGATGAGCAGGAAAGTCCTAGAGAGGAAACAGTCCATGTGGTATAGTGGGTGAGGGGCTGGATAAGGAGATTCACAAGTGCTTTTCTGCAGCTGTTGCACAGGGGAACAGTAGAAATAAGGTTGGAAGGGGGGACAGAGGCAGAGAACCTTGCATCTGCAGCTTGCGGATGGCCTATATCCTGAGCACTGGATACCCAGGCAGAGGGTGACAGAAGGACACACAATAAGCAAGTGCTGCAGGATGCGAACAACGAGGACAAAGCCTTACCTGCGTTTCCACCTCTCGCAGCATTTCCAGTGGTCCCATCCAAAAGCCCGGCATCTTCATCAGTCACGTGAAACCTGGCTCCCTGTCTGCGGAGGTGGGATTGGAGGTGAGTGGCCCGGGGCTGGCTCCAGTGGCAGCAGAGTCAGATTATGATCACACATTGATGCAGGCTCTCTTGGCCATAACTGTCTGATGATTCCTTTCCTACTTGTCCCCTGATGAAGGCTTCACAGAGGGGGTGACATTTGACCCCCTCCATGGTGCTCTCCAGCTCTGAAAGTCATTCGTCCTGTGTTTGAGAAAGTAGTGATAACCATCAGAGTTGATATTCTAGGTTTACTTGCATTGAACTTTGTTCTAAGCCCTACAAGAACTCTGAGGATTAGTTCCTATTGTTACCCCCAGTTTACAGATGAGGAAACTGAGATCCAGAGAAAGTTTGTGATTTTTTTTTTATAAGATTATGTATCTTGTACAGTAGGACTGAGATTCAAACCTATGTGATCTGATACAACAGATCACAACCTCTTTTTTTGGATAAGTTACTTACTTCATGTCTCTGTGCTTCAGTTTCCTCACCTGTAAAATGGGATTCTAGAGCCTTTCTTCTAGGGCTGTTGTGTGGATTAAATGAACACATATGTTCTCTCTGTGCCAGCACACAGAAGTGATCAATGAATGTTAGGTACAATTCTATTATGATCGTGACTCAACACAGCCTCTGCTATGTGAGAAGCCCAAAGGCTCCTGTGTCTATGAAAGGAGATTTATTAAGCAAATATCATAACTGAGTCAAAGAAATTAACCTCTGGTGACATAACTGCCCCAGAGTTATGGGGTATAGGGACGCCAGGATGATCTTGAGGCCCTCCTAAAGCTGTGAAATCGATGTGCAATCACTTGAAGATCCAGTGTCTATGCCTGGAGTGTTGGGGGACCCCTGCCTGCAGGGTGAGTGACAATAAGGAGGCACAAACACAATGTCCTTCTTCATTTCCCCATCAGACAGGTGACCAGATTGTCGAAGTCAATGGCATCGACTTCTCCAACCTGGACCACAAGGAGGTGAGACGTGGGGGTCTTCACCTGTGGCCCTTATTATCTATCTACCCTATTTCTCACCCCCAACACACTGGTGTCTGAGACCTTCTGTACTCTCTGCCTGGACTGCTGACGTCTGTCAGGCCCTAGCTGACAGTACCCCATCCCACAGGCTGTGAATGTGCTGAAGAGTAGCCGCAGTCTGACCATCTCCATTGTAGCTGGAGCTGTAAGTTAGAGGGTGGGGCCCCCATGACCCCTGACCCAAAACCCAGTCCCTCTGACCCTGGATTTCTGCCACACACTCCCAGAAAGGGCTAAGGGCTCTTCTTCCCTCAAGCTCTGACAGCAGAGGGAAAGGGCTTCTACCCAGCAAGAAGTTTGGGACAGAAACCACTAGAGTCACAGTGGGTGACCCTGGGGGGCAGGGGGCACAGCACTGAGATGACAACCTGCATCTTGATACCGCCCCCCCAAAGCCGAGGCAATACACGCCCAGGTTCCCCAGGGAGCTAAGCAAGGGGCCTCTTTTTCCCCCACAAGGGTCGAGAGCTGTTCATGACCGACCGGGAACGTTTGGAAGAGGTGCGGCAGCGTGAGCTGCAGCGGCAGGAGCTTCTGATGCAGAAGCGGCTGGCCATGGAGTCCAACAAGATCCTCCAGGAGCAGCAGGAGATGGAGCGGCAGTGAGTGGTCAGCCCCAGACACCTCGCCCAGGCTCCCGGACCCTGCCCTGACCCTTAAACCCGGCCCAGTTGCCTCCTCCCTACTTCTCCCTACTTTGCCTGTTTTGCCTGGGCCAACTTCTCAGACTGGATGGGTCCAGTGGCATGTCAACCTGTCCATTCTCTGCCTCAGACCATCTGGCTCCTCCCTCGTTGCTAAGGTACTCCTAGTTTCTAGACTCCAGAACTATGCAAAATGAGGCTCCCACCAGCCGTAACTAACAGGCTGAGAACCTACTGCAGGGTTATTGATGTATTAGGGCCTTCCTTATGTTACTTAGTCCAATTCCTACAATAGCCTTGGGAGGTGGATGATATTAACTCAATTTTACAGGTAAGGAGGCTGAGACTTAGAGAGGTAAAACCACTTGTGTCCAAAGTCACACAAGGCCAAGCTGGGATTCATACGCAGACAATCTGGCTTAAATGCCTGGCAGTCCCCACAGGGCCACCCAACCCTGGTGATAAGTCCCTGCTCCTTCATTATGTGGTGAGATAATAGACTAGAGAATCGATGGGGTGATCAATAGATCAAAAACTACTGTCAAAATACAAAAGCAAATACATTCTCAGCACTTAGTATTTGGAAAGGAAGGTAAGATGTCCTCATCTCCCCCAACACAGAATTAGCCTGAAGAGTCATGCCTGGTTAGTAGTCTCTGCTTTACCTGGACCCTCCTCTTGTAGGACCACCACCTAGTCCAGGTTCTGCCTGTCATCAGTCACTTCATCCAAGAGTTTGGAGGAGGATGCATGGAGTGTGACCCTCACATGGGTGCCACCTGTCTTCTGTGGGCCAGAATATCTGCCCAGCAATGCCAGACAAAGCCACCGAGGCACACAGAGCTCAGACTTGTTGGAGAGCTTCCCTAAACCCCAAAGCTGGTATAGACATCCTTGAAAGGGAGCCTAATGAAAACACTTAAAAACTTTTCTCGAATCAGGAATCAGCCATGGGAAAGGGTTCTTGCATAGACTCACTAACCTGCATTTGTGTTTCAGAAGGAGAAAGGAGATTGCCCAGAAGGCAGCTGAGGAAAATGAGAGATATCGGAAGGAGATGGAGCAGTGAGTACTTTTGACCTGTGTTTGTCTGCATACGTGTGTCTGTGAGTGGGCATGAGTGTGGCCAGCCAGAAGTCCCCTCCAGACCCAGTTTACCTGGGCCTGTGGATTCTTCTTTATCTGTAGCTATCCCTTAGTCCTAGTATAGCCCATCACACCACACCAGGGCAACCAGAGCACAGTCTTATATAATTGTCAAAGCTGTGTTCACATCCAGATTAGAACTCCAGCTCCAGGGACTGGCCTGCTCCTCACACTAGAACTACAAAGGCCTCTCTCAGGCTGGTTGGGGTCCTCTGGTAGGCAGGAGGTGGGCCTGTGAAAGTCCTGACTCTGATCACAGGTGTGTGGCGGGGGTCTCATTTCAGGATCATGGAGGAAGAAGAAAAGTTTAAGAAGCAGTGGGAAGAAGACTGGGGCTCAAAGGATCAGCTCATTTTGCCTAAAACCATCACTGCGGAGGGGCACCCAGTTCCCCTTCGCAAGCCAAAGTGTATGTATTGTGCGTGTGGCAAGAGGGGGGATGTCCTTCTAGGGTCTGGGGCTAAGGGAGCTAGACAGAAATGCTGGTCCCCCCTCCACTCACCACCAGCTCCTCAGAAAAATGGCCCATGGCTTTCTGGGCTATATTTCATTCGTAGAGGAACAGTCATGTACCGGGGCCTCAGGGTGGGAGAGCATCAGGGTTGGAGGAATCTGTCTGCCTTCCTTGTTCTGGGCCTGCCCCACACATCAGTTCCCAGGCTCTCCCCAACAACACAGTCCCAGGCAGGCTGCTGGGCTTCTGCAAACGTATGGAGAACTGTGCACAAGAGGAGCCGGTCCATGAAATGACAATCTTAGCTTGTGGGTGATGTGCCCTCTTCCTGCCTGGTTCTGAACTGGGGCTGGGGTGAAGCCAGTGGCAAGAAAGAGGAAGAAACTCTAGTTGATGGGCAACTAAAGGAGGAGCTAGCTCTTCTATGCCATTCCAGGGATAGAGGCAGAGAGAGGACCATGAGACCTCTCCAGGCACCAACTGTGATCTGCTGGCTGTGCCACTCTAGAGCCACAGATCCCTCACTTACTATCCCCTCTTCATGGACCCTGATTGTTCACCTCCAGTTTCAGTCCAGGCCTCCACCAGCTGCTTCCACAGCTTCCTATCAAAATGGGCTCAAACTTTCAGGGCAGAAAGAAATCTCAGTCTCAGTGTCTCTTCTTGAGCTAGAGGGGAAATATAGGAACAAGGCAGTAGAGGAGTCGGGGGATGGCCATCACAAGTACAGGTTGGATCTTCACCCCACTTCCCATCTAGTTTGATTTATAATTGACATGCACAGGTTCTATGGTGGCTTACAAGAGCACAGGGCCAGACTTGGGAAACTCCCAGATGAGGGTGAATCTGGACCTGAGAACCAAGGCATCCCATCTCTGTTATGTGGCAGCCAGTTGGGTTGCCGTGTTGAAGGGGTCTAGATAGCTCTGGCCCCACTTTGGACCAAGCTCTAAATGTTCCTCAACTTGCCAACACAGGCCACTTGGACTAAGAAAGAAGTGTGGGACATCTGTGTGGTGCCTTTTTGCCCTTCCCTGGTGCAGGGCAAATAGCTCCCAGTGGATTCCTTCCTGGCAGTAGGGTATGGTGTCATCTCATGGTCCTTTCAGAAGGACAAAGCATGTTCTCATCAGCTTCCTCCATGACATTCAGTATTAGCTGAGGATGTGGGCCAAGTTAAGTTCCCAGTGAATAATCTGTGTTTTTGACAGGTAGCTAATTTGCTCTTATGAGTGAAATAGGAGCTCCAGAAGGAGAGAAATCGATTTTAATTGCTCCTCATGAAAGTAATCCTAGTCAATGTAGTACCTTCCTAGAAACTGAGTCTTGTCCTAACAGCACCCTCATCCTCTTAGTAACTATGGAAAATAAAAATCTTTTACTTGCTAGCTATTTATTTAGTACTCTTTAACCAAATCAAGTTTCTTGAATAGAAGGAACAAAAGAATTCTGCTATTGCTCTAAATACCTGCATTCACATTTTGTGGCAGGGTCACAAATCAAGGGATTGATGGCCTGAGTCCTCTGGCCCACCTGGAGCCAGAGTCATCCATCTCCATATGCTCTGACAATTCAGTTCCAATTTGGAGCTGAGTCAGGAGATGCAATGAGGCCTCTGATGCAGCTCAGTACATCTTTCTCCCCACTCCCAGAAGGCTGGAATGGCCAGGACTGTACTGGGCCAGCAGGACCTTGTCCCAACCAACTCCTCCCGGACTACCCTTCAACTCTGGGACCCTGTTAGCCAGCAGGTTAGACCTGACTCAGGTTTCTGTGCCTGCAAGTGGTGGATCCTGCATTTTTTAAACAAACAGGAAAGAGCATGGAGCATCTCAACCCTGGGATATAAAACCACTAGTCTAAGCATATATGGAACTGACTGTGCCTCCACCCCAGCTCTCCAGGGTGCTCTCCAGTTAACTTCAGCCACCACCCTGGCCAACCAGCAGCACCCTGACGTTCTGCTGAGCCCTCAGAGCTAGGACACACTGTCCCAGAGGCCCCTAAATGACCCTTCCTTAGCTATAACAGCAGAGCAAGGGGATCTTTATTAAGTACTCCAGAGCTGGAAGATGAGGTTTAAATGAAAGATCTTGATTTCTCTCCCTTAAGGACCCCCTCATTTACCCCACCAATAGACCCATAATTTGGAAGTTGAGTTTTTTTTCCTGCTGAACCATTAAGTAATCCTTTGTGTTCCCATTGCTTCACTCTTGTTGCAAGGGAACATCAGTGTTGCACTGTTAAGGAAATGTGAGTATAGCTGTCTCATAGGCCCATGGTCAGGGAAGGCTTTGGAAATATTAAAAAGCAGCTCACAAGTAGGTTCTTACACTATCTACCAAGGTCCCAGGGAGGCCATTGTTCAGTAACTGGAATAGATAATTTGCTATTCTCTCCACATGAAGTCAAAATTCCTGTTTTCCTAATTACATATGCCCATTTCCTTTGAATGGGATTCAGATGTGTTCAGGTTGTATGGTCATAGGCTGCCACCTCCTCAGGGAAGCAGATAGAGGCTGCCCATACCCTCAGACATCACCCAAGGCAAGGGTGATGAGTAGGCAAGATCCGTTATCCCACAGCAAGCCTATGCCTCAAACATGTATAATTCTCAGACAGTCCCATCTTGTACCTCCAACTTTCGACCTAATGCCTAAAAAATGGTTCTCATGCTGCTGTCAGATCAGAGGCCCCTACTGTTAATCCCTTAATCTGGGACTCCTGAGCCCTACCACTGGCCCAGACCCCAAAGTTCTGGAGGAAGCTGGCCACAGGCCCAGGCTACTGGGAAACCCCTCTTGCCTCTCAGTCTCCCACAGTCTCTTGGTTCACCAGCTTGTCCCTCTTTTCCCTGGGTAGATGGTCAGGGAATGGAGGCCGAGTTCCAGCCTGCAGACGACCTGGACAGAGGCACGAAGGAGCAGGGACAGCAGGTTGGCACCCCCGCTTCACTCTCTGGCTTGACTGCCCTGCTTGCCCTGCCTGCCTCCTGCTAAATCAGCGCAGACACCAGCTCCAAGGGCCCAGCACGTGTTGGGGATCTCTGGAGTCTGGGAAGCTCCTCCAAACCTCTGCTTGGCCCAAGTACTGTGCATAAAACCTTAAGGACAGGACTCCTGGCCTGGATGAAAAAGCAGTGAACAACTGAACTGTAGGTTTACATATTTAAACATTGCCCCCTGTTGCTCTGGCTTCTCCCTCAGAAATTCCTAGACCCCAGTGAGATCCAGCAACTAAGGAGGTAGTACCTAGTCTAGCACTTAGAACCAAGTGTGTGTATGGCGGGGGGCGGGCAGGAGCTCTGGGCTTGGGTATCACTCATGGCCAGGTGAAGGAAAGGGAGCAGTGCCCTGTTTATCAGGCCTGAATTGGGATATGCTTTTCTGAGAGCACATCTTCTGCCCACTGCCATTTCATCCTTTCCAGAGCTGACCTGTCCACTGTTTCTTCCCACATTGAAAGGGGAGGACTCAGCCTGAACTGTGAGACAAGACAGTTTTGTTCTGTCTGACAGCAGTCCTAGGCAGAAACCCAGGCTAGCTTTTGTCTGAAGCCATTTCTTGGATGGAGGGAAGAGGCATCGGATAGGAGAGGGCTTTTTCTCTTTCATCAGGGCTTTATGTTTAGAGACTGTTTGTGATTTGGGAAAGCTCATTCTTCCGCAGAGAGTTTTCTGGCTCTGACTTCTAAAACTATTGTCCTGGGAGAGGCATTTGAGTAACATAGGCTGGGAATCAGGGCTTTTCTCAGGTGGTCTTGGGCCTGCTTTGCTCCAGGTGAAGCCAGGTAAGTGGAGAGTTAGACAGAAGGTGTGGATTTGCTCCTGGATCTGCCACACTGCTCTTCATCTCACAAAGCCACATTTTCTTTGGGAAGCCATCTTCCAGCTGCATCCATTCCCAGGGATGCTGTAGCTCAGCTGGACTGTGTCTCATCATTTTGTTCTCTGTTCTTATAGCTTTTGGGTGGTTTTACCGTTACGACGGCAAATTCCCAAGTATCCGGAAGGTAGGACAAGCCTAGGTGAGGTGCTGGTTTGCTGCTGAATTTGCTGTGGGTTGTAGTTTTTTCCAAACATTTCTTTTCCTGTTGACTCTGAATGGTGTGCCCTGGCTCATTCAGTGGGAGGGCTAGCCCTACCTGCACTTATACGTCTGACATCCAATGGCGGTGTGCTGTGGCAGAGGCAACATGCAAGGCAGGAGTGCCTGGAGTGAGAGATGCCCAAGGACCATCAGGCTCCACATGGGTCTGTACCAGTTCTAATGGGCACAGGGCAGGGGGCAAGAGGTTCTGATTTGTTCTGTCAAGTGGAACCAGGAGTCTGGGGTCAGCCAGAGTGAACTACAAGGGTGGGTGTACACAGAGCAGGTCATGACACCAACAGTGCCAGAAGCAGACCAGCTGCCCAGGAGAGGGATTTACTATTTCAGGTTGGGACAGGGAGCCATACAAATCACATAGCTGTCTTAGAAATATCTGCATGTACCCATGATTATGTAACTTTCCATCCTCTAGGGTGTTTAATCTTCTGTCTAAACCTTATTACACTATCTCCAGACCCTATAAAACTCTATTATCATTTGTCCTTCTAAATCACTTGATTATAAAAATGCCACCATTAAAATCTGTAGATTGGATGTTCAAGATGGTGTGATATTTGGAAATCAGGCTACTGGCATAAATCTGAGTGAGCTAAATTGTATGTTATCACTCACCCAGCTCTCTGACAAGGAGTTTGTCTCCCAGAAACCAAAGCACTGGCAGTTAGATGACTTTGATGATGCTTCACTTCTTCCTGGACTATAAAATGGGAATATGCCAGGAAAATCAACACATTCCCATTAAAATAATAGACAGCACTGTTACCTTTACTCAGGAGCACAGGTTATGATTTGTACAACAGTACAAACTTAGAACACAGCTCCTAAGGATTCCATCCTACACTGTCATGTTCTCAGAAAGTCGTAAGACTATCCTCTTCATCTTACAGGCTAAACCCATGGCTTAGGGTATCTCATTGAGTTAGACTCCTAATTTTATTTTCTGCCTACACAACACATACACACAGGATTTTACTGGAAAAATTATAAAAGCATACAGATAAGTCACATGTTTTCTAGGCACTAATAACTATGCAAATGTAAAATGAGCTGGAATCTTCTCCACACACACACCACAAATCATGCATTTGAGAGTTGCCGTTAGTAAAAAGGCAGTGCTGGTCTTCCCCTATTCATCAATTCCATCAAATTCCAGAAACAGCTGGTATTTTGGTTTTCATTTTCATTTCCAAAAGAGAGAACAGTTGCTTGGTGGTAGAAGCAAGAGCACTCCCCATCTGCCTCTCCTCTCAGTGTGAACTGAAAGGAATATTTGCCATGAATTTAACTGAAAGCTAAAAGGACAACATAATTGTGTCCCTCAGACTGGCTTGGAAAATGTACCATCATTTTGCCTAGAGCCACAGGAAATATTTCTCAGCAACTGGACCACCAAGTCCCTGGAAACGTAAGGGGATATCCATGGCCATGACCATCAGTGCACAAAATCCCTCTTACCTAAAAAAGGAAAGATTCCATGCTCCTGCCCTGACAGTAAGTTCCTCTGGGGCTCAGGCCCCAGCCTGTGGTCCTACAGCTATGCCAGGGCCTGAAGGATTCACAGTTCTGTCTAAGACCCCTCACCAGCACTGCTTGAGTAAATCATGCATAGCAGCCTTTCCCACAGCCTGGCAGGGAAGGCAGAGTCTATGGGCAACTTGCCCTTTTGCATCTTTAAGCAGATGCTACTTTAAGCAGAATTATACAGAAACTGTCTGCCATCAGGCTGCCTTACCCAGGAACCGTGGCTCTAAAATCTTGGCACTGCTGTTTTTTTAAAAACAACAGAGAGGCCATCTATATCATGGTGGTCCCTATGGGAGGCCATGCTCTTATTTTAGCAAGCTGCCACTATGCAGAATGTTCCTGGCTGCTCTGGGGAATTGCTGTCTGAACCTATAACATGATGGCAGGGATTCATCTTTCAACTGAGCTAAGGAGTTTAGTGAACAGGGTAGGCAAGGAACCAAGCAGGACTTGGAAGCATGGAGAACCATTTTCTCAATGAAGCTGTGGATGTGGGTCCCTTTTCCAAAGTGAATTAGATGGGGGTTGTCTTTATGGGTACAGGTTGAGTTTGTCAGAAGTCCACAATGACCCACCATCCCTCCAGTTTGGATGGAAGTTGTATGTCCATTGCTGGGAATCTCCATTCCTCATTCCTGGCCATGGATGCTGAGTTGATTCAGGAAACCCCATAGCAGACCCCAGGAAGGGTGGAGATCACTCAGCAAACAAGGGGTTTCCTCCTTGTCCCAGAAACTGCTCAGAGTGTTGACTTTCTGCATCCCTTCTCCTGAGTGCTAGCTCTGTGCTCTGTGCTGTGTGCAAAAGGGGCTGACCTCCCTCCTGACATCTTCTCCCTTACCCCCAGCTCATCAAGGCACAGTAGAAAACCTGGGATCTTCAAATCCAGGTACCATCACTTGCTAGATGTCTGAACTCAAGGAAGGGACTTCACCTCCCTGAGCCTCAACTCCCTCATCAAGAGAAGGCACAGTACCTACATAGTAGGTACTGTAATAATCAGGGAAAGCCTTGGCACATAGGCAGCCCATAAATACTCATCCTCTTTCCTCCTTACCTCACCCCAGCTTTCCTGTGACCCCATGAGAGAAGCAGTCAGGAAAACAGGCTCTGTGGATCTAATTCTAACAGGCTCTGTTTGCCTCCCCATTTCCCTCCCCAAATCTACCTGACCCCTGTGGCCCTGTATAAAGGAGTTAGGCCCTCCTCCCCACCCCACATCTCCTAGTTCTGTGGTTTTCAGCTAATGCTCAGTTGAGGAAGCCCTGGGTTTGGACGCTCCAGGATAGAGAAGTCTAGAGCTTACACATTGGGACAAAATCAGATGTCCCTGGCTATGGTACCAGGTCTGGTCTGCTCCTACCTCCTAGTTTGGGACAGAGGATCTCTGCAAAAGAGATTTATGCGCTCTCCCATATTTTTTAGAATCTCCCAGGACACATCTCTGGTATCTGAAAATAATCTACCTTTTTCTTCAGATGCTAGAGAAGGCATGCACACAGGTACTAGGAGATAAATACAATGCCTTTTATTTAGACAGCACTTTGAAGTTCACAAAGCCCTTTCATAGATGCTATTTCATGGGCACTGGATGAAAGCCGGTGGGGCAGAAATTTCCCCCATTTTAGAGATGAGGTGAATCAGGTCCAGAGAGGTTAAGGAACTTAGTCAAGGTCACACAGTCACTAATTAGTGAACTAGTAAGTAAAACTAGTAACCAGTTTTTCCGACTGGCAGAGGACTGTGTCTCCCACTTGGCCATGAGTAGCAGTGGTGTGCCTGTCCTTAACTTGAGGTCTGATGCCCAGAGCAGTGGAGCAGAGCTGGGGGTATGGCTCACTGCAGAGTGGTTGCTTGCGTTGTCTGAGTCCTGGATGCCTTGTTTGCTGTCCTGTGCTAAGTGCCAATACTACCTCATAACCCTTGTTATGTAAACAATGCCACATCTGCTCAGAAAGGAAAAGATAAGAAGAAGGCCAAGTATGACAGCCTGCAGGAGTTGAGAAAGAATAAGAAGGAACTGGAGTTTGAGCAAAAGCTTTACAAAGAGAAAGAGGAAATGCTGGAAAAGGAAAAACAACTAAAGATCAACCGGTTGGCCCAGGAGGTATGTGTTCTGCTCACAGGCCAGGTGAGCACCCTGGGACACAGTTTGGTTGTTCCCCATCAGGCTGCCAGGGGGCCAGCTGGAGTTGTTCTTCACAGATGGAGTCTACGAACGGGCCCTGCCCCACTCCCCAGTCTAGAGAGTGAGACCATCTCTCCTGCAAGAGCTTTCTGAGATTAGCTCCTGGGTTAGGTGCATGTTTGAGATTGAGGTTAACCTCTTTGCCTGGATTGTGGGTCTCAGGCTAGTCATTGATATACCTAGCAAGAGGCATGAGTCTGTTCTCTTCTCCCTCCCCTACACGAGTGTGAGTCTAAGGCTAGGCCTCTCCACCTTAGTTGTGAGGATAAGACTGGTATCCTTGCTCAGGGTTTGAGTCTGAGGCTAACCCCTCTGCCTAGCTTATAGATCTGAAGTTAGCTTTCTACTCACCTGTATATAGTCTAGCATCCTACCCAAGTTATGAATGCAAGACTAGATTTCCCCAAGATGGCTGGACTCTGAGTGTATAAGTGCATAGATAGTAAGTCTGAAGATATCCCTGGTTAATCACACTATGATTCTGAGGCTGCTCCCATCAACAGAGGATCGATCTGAGGCTAAACCTCTTTGACCTGAGAGTTTATCTAAGGCCGTCGCCTGCCAGATGTGTTCAAAGCAACCTCACAGCATGAGAATTCCTATTTTCGAAGCCTTACCTCCCTAGTGCAGGTATTCTTTCTGCTCCTTTTAAATGCTTTCATGAATCAGAATGTCAACCTGATTAGATTATAAAGCCAGAGAAGTCCTGGAAAATGTTAAGTGTATTAGGTCTGGCATTAGGAACAAATTAGCTACAAAATTAAAAATAAGATTGAATTTGTGCTTCTGAGGACATGGCAGCCTGGAGGGGAATTTAAAAAAATAGAGTAAGTCAAACTCTCAGAATGCACAGGGAGGCTACAAAAGGACCATTCTTGGGGAATCCTAGGAGTCTTGGGGTTCATGAGGATCCTGGGATCCAGCTAATATCATGCAATGCATAAATCCCTTCTCTGATTTTTATCTGAAAGTGCTATGAAGTCAACCTGACACCCTGTCCCCTCCTTCCCCCTTGTTTCTGCCTCCTGAGGGCCAGGTGAGACAATCCTGAGAATTTTTTCTAAACAGGTAACACACTCACTGGAACTCTGAGGTTTTTAGAGCAGTGTTCCCGTGCTATTGCTGCCACGTGATTCAAGTGTGCCCTCTGTCCTCTCCTTTTGCGCGGTCCTGGGTCCCAGGTGTCTGAGACTGAGCGGGAAGACCTTGAGGAATCAGAAAAGATTCAGTACTGGGTGGAAAGGCTCTGTCAGACGCGCCTCGAGCAGATTTCCTCTGCCGATAATGAAATTTCAGAGGTAACAGAGTCCTTCTTTCCACAGACACTCCCACTGTCTTCAGAATGA